TGATCATCTCAATAGATGCAAATAAAATATTCTTCTGACAAAATCCAACATCCAGATAAAAACTCGGCAAATTGCTACCTGAAGGGAACCCCGTAAGTGCCTGGGTGAAGGTACTTTTGCAGAACCCACAGCTCACAGCCTTCTCGCCGATGAAACCACGTGCCCCCCTCAGACTGGCGACAGGACAGGACGCCGCTCGCACCGCCTCTATTCGACGCGGTGCAGGGTGTCCTGGCCGGCATGGCCAAGCGAGAAGAACAAACAACAGAGCTCCATCTTGGGAAAGAAGAACTAACACTTCCTTACTCACATATGGCATGGCCATCTACACAGAAAACCGGATGGACTCTGCAAAGAAAAGCTACTGGAACTGAGGTTTCACGATGCAAAATCAAAATACAAAAATAAGGCGTATATCTACATACTGGCAATGAACACTCAGATAGAAACAATCCAATTTACAGCAGTACCAAAAGTAAGAAACACTTAAAGATAAATCTGACAAAACATTCACAAAGGCCTGTACCCTGAAAACTACAAAACCTTGCCAAGAGAAATTAGTTAAGACCCAAATGGATGACGCGACATGCCCTTCTAAAGAGATGGCAGATTAAACGCTGTGAAAACGTGAATCCCCCTAAATCGAGTTCTAGGTTCAATGTAATCCCAGGGCAAAACTCAGCAGACCGTGTGGTAGACATTTAAAAACTGATTATGAAGTTCCGATGAAAACACAAAAGACCCAGAATAACCAGACTGCTTCCTAAAAAGGACAGTGTGGGCAGAGTCACACTCCCGGTGGAAACTGAGTGAGTCCGTCCCGGGACGGACACCGCATGTGTCGGGGTGTCCGGGCGTCGCATGGAGACTACCGCCGTGCCGTGCCGTGCGCAGGGCGGGGCCCAGGCAGGCTGGCGGCTGCGAGTGTGTGGAGCGGGCTCTATCCTTGCGTGGTGGTCTGCTAATCGTTGTATTTTTTCCACACCAACAACTGTAAACCTACCTTTGCCCCCCGCCCTGCCCCCGTCCCAGTATCTGAAAACTGCCAGGAGAGTGGAGCTTAAAGATGCCGTCACCAGGACAACCCTGGAACTCGGAGTGCCCATGTCGCCGACCGGACTCCCGGTGGACAGGGAGGAGCCCGGCACCACGGGGTGGTTTGTGAGCCGCTGGGCTCGGCCTGGGGCTGCACACGGGCAGCTGTCGCCCTGCACGACGTCCCCAAGGCTCGAGAACCGAAGGGACAGACGGGTCACAGCTTGAGTCCCAGACCAGCCACTGGGCGGTCATCATTTGGGGACATCCGAACGAGCCGACAGGTGCTTTGGAGCCTGAGCATGCACTGGAACCAGTGCTCATGGAACGCAGGTCACGGCTTGCAGCCTGAACCCAACCAGGTTGACTGCCGAGTGAAACAAAAACACCCACATTTTAACGCGATTCCTAAACAAGACCCATCACAACACCAAGTTCAAAATGCCCAGTACACAGCCCCAAGTCACCGGGCACGTGGGGAAGCACACAGTTGTTCCCGAGTCGCAGGAGACACCGAACACGAGACGACACAGGCGCCGGCACTGCCTGACGCAGACCTCGCAACAGCTTCCACATGGACGCTCCAACGTGCCTATCAAAACGTCGAAATACGGGGAAGACGTGCACCCACCAAAGACAGAAACACCTCCCGCCTTCCCGTTCCCAGAGCCCACCACGCGGCAGACCGCACGAGTGCACGGTGGGAGCACTTCCTGACGATCGCTTCCTCGGGGCGGGGGGGGGGGGGACCTGTGTGTGTGTGAGAGAGAGACCAGCTTTCCGGAGGTGCTGAAGAACAGCTATCATCTGATTCTTTAAGATGCTACTCGGGTGTACTTTGTGCACTTTCAACAAAAAACAGTGCCCTTCAGGCTGCAGGCGCGTTAGGGCACAGGACGCACTACCTGTTGAATTAGGTGTGGCCGGACCCAGGCTGTACGTGTGAGAGGACGGAAACGCAGGAGTCCTCTGAGAAGACAGGGCGACCGCCTCGGTCATCTGGAGCTGAGGAAGGCCACCCCAAGGTGACAGCGGGCAGGGACAGAGGACACGGCCTCAGTCCAGGAGCTACCGCAGACGGCAGGAAGGAGCGGCCGCAGCCCGCTCCGGGCCACGCCAGGAGCTGAGCGCGTCTGGGGGCCGAGCTAAGAGCGGCTGCGAGAGAGCACCAGCGCGGTGCCCTTGGACCTGGCAACTCCCCGCCTGACCGTCCACCCCACCAAGTACAGGCACCAACACACCGGGGCACACGTGCTCGGTGCCGCCCGCCGCGGGCTCCAGAGCGCAGCAGAGCGACGCGGGAGACGCCGGACCAGAGTCCAGCAGGGGCTGCCGGGGCCTGCAGGCAGCCGAGGAGCCGAGGAGGAGCCGCCGCCGGGGAGAGAAGCAGCGGGTGTGGGAGAACGAGGCTCCCCTCCTGCGCAGAAGTGGGTGAGCGCCGGTCTGTGCGAGGCCTGGGTGTCCGTCTGCAGGAACGCGTGGACGCCCACACTCCCGGCTGCCAGCGTGGGCGACCGGGGCACGGGGCTGGAGGGCGCGGGCTGCCGGCTGGTGTGACGACGGGGGGCTGCGGTCACTGACGGCACGCAGCGTGCAACCCTGTTCACGGACACGCGCGTGTGTGCGTGCGTGGACAGAAACATTACAGGGCAGGCACCCAGAGGCGCAAGGCCGTTACCACAGGCTCTGCACGTCCGGGTGACCCTTGCCTTGTTGTTTACATTTTTATGTGCTGTTTGAAGTTTTTACCGTGGCCACACACTATTGGTAAAGTAAAAAGCCACTGGAAGTACGGCAAACAGAATATACTTTAGGAGTGAAAGGGCAATGGAAAACGCAGGAAAGTGCTCCGATGCTCTGCGGAGGGTGAGTCCTTGTTGAACGGAGGGCGCCCCTGCACCCACGTGACAAACCGCACCCTGCAGGGACAGGACAGGCGGCGCGGGCAGACAAGTCCCGGAAGAGGGACTGTTCCGTGCAGTCAGCCTCCCTTACTCGAGAACAACCACTTCAGGTGGAAATGTAAAAGCCTGGCCAGGAAACAGTGGGCTCAGCGACGACTCTTACTGGCAAGAGTGCGGGCACCCAGCCCTCCACACACGGGTGCTTGGGGACGTAAATGGTTTTTCTCTGGAGGACAGTCTAGTCATGTGGAGCCTTAAAAATAAACGCGTGTTTTGACTCCGAAGTCCCATCTCTGGGAATTTACACCATGGAAATCCTCGAGAAGATGTAGCCAAAACGTGGCATTTCAGCATAAAATAACTGCAACGGAAAGCAGCCTAAGTGGCCACCGGCAGGGACAGCCGCTGGGCAGAGCGCAGCGCGGACCCGCGGGCAAAGGCGGTGCCGGAGGACGCACGTGTCACGCCCGCATCTCCCCCTTGCAAAGTGCGGCTGAAACGGCGGCCGGAGAGGTAACACCGGAGCCTCACTCAACACCTGGGAGGAGCGCGCCCACAAACCAGCGACGCTAGAGACGTCCGGAAGCGCGGGAAGCAGAGCACGAGGTTACCCTGGAAATGCGGTAAAAACAGGGAAGAGCAAGAACCTCCCTGAAAAGTGACTTTTCCCAGGAGAATTCTGGGTAAGTGGCACCAACCGGGAGGCGGGTGCAGCGGGCACAGGAGGCGGAGCCGCTGCGTGAAGACGCTCCGCGAAAGGACCGGACGCTGCGCCTGCTCCGGGGGCGGGGCGACGGCGCACTCGAGTGGGACTCGGCGCAGGTACTAGTGTTAGCGCCAGTGTCAGTGCCGGTTCTCGCCGGCGGGGTAAAGACACGGGCCTGCTCTCTGAAGGGGAAGTCCAAAATCGGACCCTCCCTCCTGGAAAGGGCTCGAAGTTCAAGAGACAGCCGGGGACTCGAGAGTGCCCAGAGGGCGTCCTCCACCGAGAGCCGCCGCTCCCGCCCCCGGCCCAGGGGAGGCCGGTCCGGTCCCAGCCTCGTCCTGCTCCGCTGTCACCCGCTGGCCTGCGCCCGCCAGGCACCCGCACACCCGCGGGCCGCTGCCGGCCTGGCGGGACGCGGTGCAGACTGTGTACGGAGGGGACCCGCGGGACAGACACAGGCAGTGCAACGGAAGGGAGAGAGGCCTCCCGGTTCCTATCCTGTAAGCTTCTGCCTCACTTGCATTTCTTTACCATGAACATATATTCGTGCGTAAACATAACACAGTGCATGTTTAAACAATTCATGTACTTAATTCATATACTTAAATTATTCAACTGTTTAAATCTAAACATAGATTCAGATACATATATATTGATATGCAGTATCAAGACTTCTTAAATAAAGTTAAAAAACATAAAACAGAAGTGTGGTTTCATTTTTGTAGAAAGGTAGCATTTCACAAGCACATGCATTCGGCAAAGCTCCTGGGAGGACCGGCCCCGGCGTGGGAGCCGCGGTTAGTTCTGCGTGCCGGGACCCCGGGGGACTTCCGTTAGTATTTTGTTTCACATTTCTTCCCTGCACTCAAGGGCCTGCTCCTGCGGCGAGAAACTCGTAGTTCAAAAACACACAGCCATTTAAAAAGCTGATTGCTGTAAGCACTGTCAAACCTGCGCCCGACACCGCGGGCGTCTGCAACGCTTCTCTAGGGGGCGGCCTGGAGCAGCACCGTGGGGGCGGGCGTCGGGGCCTCAGGCAGCTCCGCCCACTTCTGCACGTCAGGAGCCACCCGTGCAGCACAAGCCTGAGAGATGACGGTGGGGTGGGAACGGGGCGCCGGTCGGCCCCCCCCCCCCAGCGCCGCGGGCACAGCTCTCTGGCTGGGAGGAGCCCATCCCCCAACTGAGCACGACAGTCCAGTGGGGACCGTGCGTCTTCCCCGCCTCTGTGCTCCCCAAACACGGCAGGTGCTGCGTAAGCATTAGCTGGACGAACCAACAGGGAAAAAGGCGACCTGTCGGCACGGGCCCCTCTCGGGACGGAGGCTGACGGCCAGCAAGGAGCGCGGACTCACCGGGTGCTTGGCGGAGAGTCTCCCGGTCACAGTCCCGGTCTGGTTCCACGTGGAGGACACGGAGCCCTGCGCCGGTCAGAAGGCGCCCGTCACAGCTCCGGCAGTGCGCCGTGGAGTCGGGCGCCTGCTGCGCCCCCGGCCTCTGCCCCTCCAGACACCTCCTCCCGGCTCCCGCCCACAGGCCCCGGGTGCCAGGCACGGCTGATGTGCGGTCAGGGTGGACAAGGAGACGTCCCCTCGCCGATGGGACACTGCAGTGGGACACACAGGTCTCTGAGCCACTTAAAAACCCTGTGCATGGGGACATGGGCTGCAGGGCTCCAGCATGAGCTGGGCATCCCACCAGGCGGCCGTGTGGCTTCTGAGTGCAGACCTCCTGCAGTGACCACAGAAGTGAGCCGCAGCCCTGGGTGCGGCCGCACGAGGCCAGCTCCCGAGGCCCCACACCTGCCCCAGCGTCCGTAGAGAGGCCTGACTTGCAGCCAAGCCATGGCTCACAGCTGCAGGTTGGGTGGGTTATTTCACCGTCAACCAAAGTTTAAAGGACTCCTACACCCGAACTCACGTGTAAACCGCACTCCTACTGTTTTTTAGCTGCAGTTACCTTGTTCACGCAAGCTAGCAGTCCGTCTACGAAGCTGGACTTGACCTTGTGAACCTAAATTACAAAGACACCAACGACCATTTTCTTTGTGCAGGTAGGAGCAAGCGTCAAAGCCACGTTTCATCGAGTGCCGGGCACGGACCGTCGAGTGGGTGGCACCTGAGGTGACTCCGGGGGGCCCTGAGGTGGCCTCGCCTGGCTCCCAGAATGGAGCAGCACCGACCCACACGGAAAGGCGTCCCTACCCCTCTCCGGATGACTGCGTCACTCTGGAATAATTCTTTCACAGACGAGTCACGGAGATGAACGGGCGCCCCCACCCACCCATCTCCCGGTGTCCCCCGTGGTGCCCCTCTACGTTCTCTCTGAACCCCTCTGTTACGTCAGGGACGAGGGTCAGTTGCCACCGCCAAGCCCTCCAACAGCTGCCCAGCCCTAGCAGAGACACCAAGTCACAGGTTCAGCAGATGAAACGCCGAGGGTTCCGGCTCTAGTGAAAGCGACACACACGGCTCACGAACAGCAGAGAGTGAACGCAGGTGTGCGAGCGGAGAACCCAGGAGGGGCCGGAAGGGGAGGCGGGTCAGTGAGCAGCACCACCGCCACCCGGTGCACCTGGGACCGCAGAGCTGCGGAGCGGCTGCAGCAGCCCCGGTGCAGGGGGCGGGAGGGGGCTTCCCAGAGAGGCCCCTACGGAGCCCACCTCACACGGAAGTCGGTGACGACGGCGCACCAGACGCTTCCGTCTGAGGCCTGCCCGTCTGAGGTCCGCAGTGCCAAGTGGGGCGGATGCAGACGTGACGTGAGCCGAACCACGTCGGGGCGCACGTCAGCAGCGCTAGTAACACACGGTCAGCGCGCACGGACGCTGTGCCCCTGGGGCCGCGTCAGGGCCACCACCTGGGCATCACGACTCTGCTGGCAGAGCGGCACCACACGCTTCCCCTTCTCGCCGGCTCACAGGACAGGAACCTCGACTCACCTGCCGGTACTCCAAAATGATCTTGGGCAACGGGTGGAGGTCTTGCAGAGCATGCAACTGAGAAAGGAGAATAAACGTCACCGAAATAACTCCTTCCTTTAATTTCAACATCCCAAGCGCTTGTTTTCAGCGGGAGAGAGTCCCCGTCAGAAAACGGCCTGCGCGGCGCACGCTCTCCAGAACGAAGGCACACAGCCGGTCCGTTTACCGGGGGTGCTGCCCCTAGCGCCTTACAGGCCGCTGTCGGCCCCACAGGGCCCGGAGACGAGGTTTCGCTCGGGATTTCGATGAGTGGACCTAGAGCCAGGGGTGGGCAGTGCCTCCCGGGAGCGTCAACTGGGAGAAACGCCCACCAGTGGGTGACGAGAGCCCAGGAACACCCAACGTCGGAACCACGGCGACGGGGCCGCCGTCGGGGACGTAACACCGGAGCATGATGGTGGGTTTTGACGTTACCGTCCAAAAGTCAAAATGGAACACACAGCCAAGCACAAGGTCATAGGAATGCAAACTGTGAACCCCCTCAGGTGCGCCCAGGTGGGACGTTCCAGGTTCCCGAGCAGGTCCCTGCCCCTCCACTGCCGACCTCCGCCATCCCGGCCACCTCCCCCGGTCGTTGGACATTTTGTCAGTGGAACAGGACGGGCACACTCTGTGCGTGGCTCCCTGCCTTTGACATTCTGGCTTAAGGTTCATCCACGTTGTGGGAAGAGTGCATTGCCTACTTGTGATGCTGCCGTGTGTGAAGGCGGGAACGATGCTTGCCTGTCCCACCACGGCTGGCTGCGTGGGAGGGGCGCCGACTCGAACCTTCCGGCACACAGAGGTGCAAGGTGGCCCTGCCACGGGGACAGCACCAGCCAGTCCACCAGCAACACTCGGAAGCCCGGTGGCCCCGCATTCCTGGTGACACACACGTTCCTCGGTTGTTGTTCTCGCTGGCTTGCTTGTTTGGCCGCCCTCAGTCTCAGTTCCAGCCATTCTGCTAGACCGAAGTGGTACCTCACCATGGTTTTAAGGTCTGTTTCCCAGCGGGTGAGAAGGTGAGCGGTAGCCAGATCGTTGCTGCCTAGTTGCATACCTCTCATTAAACCTCTTTCATGTCTTTTGCCCATTTGAAACACTGGTTTGTGTCTTTTTCCTCCTGGTTTGTAAACGTTCACTCGCCTGAAAAGGGTTTTCTTTTGGCGGGTTATGTGTACGGGAAATGCCTCCTCCCCGTGGGGCTTGCCTTCTCACGTGTTTGGCGCTGTCTTTTCACACACTGAGGCCCTCGATTGCACTGGCGCCCGATCGGCCCGTCTCTGTCTCTGCGGCTGATGTGCTTTGTGTCCTGTTGGCCGACCTCAAGGACTCCGGGACGTTCCCTAGGGCATTGTATCTTCTACAGTCTTCGTTGTTTCGCTTTTTATGTGTTGATGTACAGTTCACTTGGAATTTGCTTCCGTGTAGGGTGTGGCCCAGGGAGGGGTCCAGAGGCGCGGGCCCCAAATCGTCTGTGGCCCCAGCTGCGGGTTCTGTCTCGGTCCCGTGGCTGCCTGCTTGTCCGAGGGTCGGCACTGCATCGCACCGGCTGACTCCTGCTCGCTTCCGCTGCTTTGTGGCCAGTCTTGATTCCTAACACACTGTCTCCCAGTAGTGCCTCATTGCCCAAGGTCACCTCGGCCCTTCTTCGTTTTTGCATTTCCATATACATTTGGGAATCAGCTTGCCGATTTCTACAGAAAACTCCCGCTAAGGTTCTGAGTAGGACCATCTTTTCAATCTGCATGTTAATTTGAGGAGAGCTGGTGCGCTGACTTCAATGTGACGGTGTAAACCACGGAACGGTATCGCCGTCGGCAGACAGACGGAGGACAGAGCTCCAGCCGCCCCGGGGAGCTCGGGCGGGAGTGTCCACGCTGCTCCTGGGAGCAGGCACTGCCCGGGTGGCGGGGTGGGGGCAGCGGCTCTCGACTCAGTCTCAGCCAGACGTGTTGTTTTCTTAGAGAAGCTATTCTTAGGGGGTGAAAGTGCATGAAAATACTTAGCCACACACACACACACACACACACACACCCCAAAAAACCCTGATTAGGATCAACTGCCTCTCCTTACCCTGATACCTTCCCAGCAAAACAACTTTCTGACCACAGTCTCCCCATGTATCTCACAGGAGCGGCCTGAGAACACTTGAAAAGGATGAAGTGTTTGATCTCGCACGAACTCTGGACGCGGCCCAGAGCCGGCCAGAGATCGGGGCCGAGTGCCCTGCTGCCCCGGGAGCTTATCGACACTCCCCGCGCTGGCTCCCGACACCACGCTCTTCTCGTCCCCTGTGCTCTCCGCGGCCGCGCGGTGGCACCTGCTCTCCCTCCCGCTTCCCATGGGCAGTCCCCGAGTGGCTCTCTGGTCGTCAGTGCCGGCTGCCTGTCAGCACCAGCTGGGGAGCTCCAAGGGCAGGCCCGTGACTGGGCCGCCCAGCCCCAGACTCTGACCCCGTGGCCCCGTCGTGGGCCTGGCATGCGTGTTTCCCCAAAGCTCCTGCCCGGGCCGAGGACCGCCAACCCAGCTGACTCCATTAAAACCAGCCGGCCAGCTCCAAGTGTGTGTCTCTAGCGCAAAGAATCCTCAAAGACCCAACAGCTCACGTGACATCTGCGTCACTGCCTCTGTCTGAAGTCCGAGATGCAACTCCTTACCCCCCCGCCCCAGTAGTCTGTTCCCTTCCCAGTTTCCCCTCAGCAGTTGCCATCTCTGCTCAGGCGCAGAAAACCAGGAATTACCCCGCAGTCCTGACTCTTGCTCACACTCACCAAGTTTCTTTCTGTTCTAAAACTGCTCTGAAAGCCCTGGCTGGTGTGGCTCAGCGGGCTGAGCGCCGGCCTGCAAACCAAAAGATCTCCAGTTGGATGCCCAGTCAGGGCACACGCCTGGACCCCAGTAGGGGCATATGAGAGGTAACCGATGGCTGTATCTCTCACACACCGATGTTTCTCTACCTCTTTTCTTCCCATCCTTCCCTTCTCTCTAAACATAAGTAAAATATATTTTTAAAAACGCTCTGAAGATCCACCCACTTTGCCCCATCTTCACTGCCGTCACTTGGACTGTGGCAACATCAGTCCCCACATACAGTAACAATGGCAGCCTGTTAGTGAGCCTCCAGCCAGCTCTAAGACGCACCACACACCTGTCAGACGGCCAGAACCCAGGAGCCAATGCAGCAGGTGCCGGCAGGACCAGGAGCAGCAGGACCCCACTCCCACCGATGGGGGGTGGTGGTGACGTGGCGCGGTGACTCTGGGAGGTGGTGTGGTGGTTTCTCACAAGACTGACTGTAGCACCCTCACCACTCCGCCCAACAATCGGGCTCCCTGGTCATTCACCCAAAGGGGCTGAAAACTCACACCCACAGAGCCCTGTGCACGGACGTAAGCTTTAGTCATCATCACCGAAAGTTGGAGGTGACCAAGATGTCCCTCAGTAGAGGAACAGAAAAATAAACGGTCACATCCAGACACGGAATATCATTCAGCACTAAAAAGACGTGAGCTATCAAAGCCATGACAAGACGTGGAGGGGCCATCAATGCACGTGACGGAGTGACAGAGGCCAGTGTGAAAAGGCTCCACACTGTGTGATTCCAAGCACTGGACATTCTAGAAAAGACAGAACCATGAGACAGTGGGAAGATGAGTGAGTGGTCGCCAGCGGGCTACAGGGAAGGCAGAGCACAGAGGACATTTGGGGCAGTGAGACTGCTCCGCACGGGGTTATAATGTGGACACAGGTCACCACACGCTTGTCCGAACCCGTGGCGTGTACAGCCCCAGGAGTGACCCTACCGCACCCCGGACTCGGGGCGATGATGACGTGCCAGTGCAGGTTCGGTGACCGTAACAAACGTCCCCCTCTGGTGGGGGGTGCTGATCGTGCGGGAGGCGGGGGGGGAGGGGTGTGTGAGACTGCTGTGTACCTTGCACCCAGTTTTGCCGAGACCCTAACACTGCTCTCAAGGGTGGAGTCTGATAAAACCACAGCTGGGAGGGCAGTGCACCTTCCCTGAACGGCCCCGGGCCACCCCGACCTGAGGTCCACAGCGAGGGGCAGGGGCTGCGGAGAGAAGGCGGCTTCATGCTGAGTCTGACTGCGTGCGTGTGCTGCCGAGTAAAAGTGCGTCTTGTTGGAAGGCACAGAACCGTGCGGCTCGTCCGGCTAACTAAGAGAGTGAGGCTGATGTGATTTAGGTCAACCAAGTCTTTGTGGGAAAAAATTAAGGTCACCCTCTAATTCTGCCTGCGAGGAAGCATACCAATGCAGAGAGAGTCCCTTTCCCTTTCTTCGTGGCTGTCATCTCGAGGAGCTGAGGTGCGGCCAGGGAAGGGCAGCACCGCCAGCTGGCGCCGGGACGGAGAAGCAGCCAGCCCAGGACCCCACTCAGGCAGGGCCGGGGCGGGGGAGCTTGGACGGCTTCCCCAGGTCCCACCCCGCCAGGACCTGGGCAGGCTGCCCGGACTGGCCGGAGTGTACTGAAATCCACGCCAGGCTCCCCAGCAAGCCGGGTCCTGCCCCCTGCTGTCCGGCGCTCCGTGCGCAGCCCACAGGCGTCCGGCAGCCCACCGGGCTGGCTCTGGGCAGTGTGGCTCTGGGAGTGCCGTGCACCAGGCAGATGAGGCCTCTGCTCCGTGCAGCCCACGTCCCCGTGGATAAGCAACAACTAAGGCACCTTTAGGTGGTGGTGAGTTGTGTGCAGAGAAGAAACTGCGGTGAAGAAACGGGCTGTGACTGGGGCCTTGCTGTCCTCTGAGGCACCAGAGGGGGTGTTTCTGAAAGCGACTCCTGAGCTGCCAACCTGAAGCCGAGCAGGCTCTGGGGGAAGAGTCCTGGGGGAGGACAGGGGGCTGTGCCTGCTCCATGGGTGCCGGGTGCCGGTGTGCGGAGGGAGTGAGGCGAGGGAAGGGGCGGGGCCACACCCGCGGCCCTGGGGGGCACGCACGAGAGCTGGGGTTTTACTCCAAGCGTCCCCACTGGAAGTTCAAGTCACGGGCCCGACGTGGTTTTCCTGACGCTTTAGAAGACCACTCTGCCCGGATGCAGGCGAGCACGGGGGCCGACCTGCTGCCCTGGCTTCCCCACGGCTGGCCCCCAGGGGTGCAGAGCGGGACAGGCCACTCACCGAGGGTGGAGGCTCGTGGCCGAGGACGGACTCAGGGCCCTGCAGTGGACCCCGGCTCCGCGGCAGTCCGCACCTCGCTCGACGACGGCCACCCGAGCCCCCGAGGGACAGGGGTGCAGACAGGCAGCAAACAAGGGGCCCCCCAGGGCTCAGACGAGCAGACAGCGGAATGACGGAGGAGCCTCGAAGGACACTGTCCTCCTCTGCTGCACAGCCAAACACTGGATGGGCCTGGAGGGTACGGGCCGGTGCACGTCACACTGCCCCCCCACCCCCACTGCCTCTCCACAGAGGACACGGCCCGGGCTCTGGGTGTGCGTCCAGGCTTCGTGCTGAGAGCAGCACCCCACTACGCCATCTTCTAAACCCTCTCCTTCCCGAGGGAAGGGCAGCTAACACTCCCTGAAGCGAGCGTGGGAGAGGGGAGGGGAGGGGAGGGGAGGACGGATGCCCTGCCCCCTCCCCGGTCTCCTGTGGGGCACGAGACAGACGGTCAAGAACCTGGTTCTCGGAGCAAAACCCCACCAACTGCCCTTGCGGGGACGGGGCTGCTGGGTTGCTTCCGGACAACAGCAGAGCTGTCTCCTCTGCCCGCTGCATAAGCAGGGGGGCTGCACGCGCGGGGTGCGGGCAGGGACCACTTCGAACCGCCCGCCATGCGCGCTGCTGGCACGTCCCGCCCAGGACGCGGGCGGGCGGGCCGAGAGTCGACTCTCACGGGCTGCGGACACGCTATCGTTCCACAAAAAGGGGGACAACCGTCGAGCCTTACCACAGCCTCAGACGTGGACCAGTGTCTCTGCGGCCCGGTCCTGGGCAGTGTCTCCGCTGGGCCCCGCAGGTGCAGCTTCAGTTTGCCAAACAGGATCTTCAACGAAGAAGGTCACGCACAGAGGGGTCGCAGGTGTGGGAGCAGCCACATCCCGCCCCGACGGGGCAGAGCGGCCAGCCAGAGAAGACACGCCGGCCGCACCGCGCAAGGCGCTCATGTGCCTGTTCAGTGCCTGCTCCTGGGCTTAAAGGCGGCTGCAAGGTAATGACTCTCCGTGTGTGAGAACCTGAGCGGACGTGCTTCTCAGGTGAGCCACGTGCAACAGCACAGGTGAGTTCAGAATAAATCTCCCTTTAACCCCTGAGTAAGACGTACACTTTATCAAAGGACCAAAATGGCCCTGGCTGGTGTGGCTCGGTGGACTGAGCGCCAGCCTATGAACTGAAGGGTCACCGGTTCGATTCCCAGTCAGGGCACATGCCTGGGTAGCAGGCCAGGTCCCCAGTAGGGGGGGCATGAGAGGTAACCACACACTGGTGTTTCTTTCCCTCTATCTCCCTCCCTCCCCCTCCCTAAAAATAAATAAATAAAATCTTTTAAAAAGGACGAAAATGTGGCTTTACCTCGCGAAGCTGATTACTACTTGTTATAAGAAACTGCTCTCCTGCCACAAAATGGGCCTCCTGCTCCAGCTCCTTGAGACGAGACTGTGAACGGGGTGGAAACAGAGTCTCATCACCGGTTTGCCAGCAGCACCACCACCCCTGAGCTTCAGGCCTTTGTTGTGTAACATTAGGGCAACCTGAACCCAAGCCCGGTGCTGCCCCAACAGGCATCTGATCACCGAGACTGCTGCTGCGGGACCACCGGAACCATGAGACCAACCTTCGAAACAACCATCCCAGAGATGCTCTGGTAAGTAAAGGAAGATGGGGGAGTCAGGAGGGAAACAATGCAAACTGCCGAGGTTGTGGAACAGAAGCATTAAGACAGAAGAAACAAGAACAGAGTCCAAGGAACCTCTGGGCGCCACCAAGCATAGAAGTCCTGAAGGAGAAGAGAGAGAGAAAGGGCAGCAAGAATATGTAAGGACAGGTGGCCCAGAACCCCTCAAAGTGACGAACGGCATGGATACGGACATCCAAGCAGCTCAGCAAACGTCTAGTGGACGAACTCGAAGAGCTCGTCAGAGAGATCAATACCGAGACACATCACAACCAAACGTTCAAGAACACAAACAAGGGGAGAATCTTGGAAGGAGCAAGAGAGACGAGAGTTCCTCAGTAAGATGATAAGCAGATTTCTTATCAAAAACTTCAGAGGCCAGAATAAGCAGACCGTTACATTTAAAACGCTAAAAGAAAACAGCTGTCACCCAAGATGCCTACTGGGCAAAACCGTCCTTCCAGGGTGCGGGGGGCACCGAGAAGTATCCAGACGAGCAGAAGCTGGCGGAGGAGCAACCTCGGCCCTGGGGGAAGAGCTCCGGGTGGGCCTGGGGGCCGAGATGGAGGACGGAACCGGCAGCCCGAGCTGCAGGGCGAGAGAGAGCTCCCCGTGAGACAAACACGCAGGCCAGGAGTTAGGAACTACATCATTGTTACTGCTGTCCGCAACTGCACCTTTGGAGTGGAGACGCTGATACTGCTGAAACTTTAGCTTGTATCTTCTCCATCTTGGTTTCCATGTAATTCAAGAAACTAATGCATTTAAAAAATTGCTAGTTTATGTTTGAGGGAACACGATGCATAAAAATGTGATTCTGCGACATCAACGGCCCAGGGGCGGGGCCGAGCTGCAAAGGAGCAGAGCTGTTGTGTGTTGCAGGAGTCAGGCTGGTGTATATTCAAATTAGAGTGTGGCAGCGTTACGGTGCCATCCCTATGGCAACCACAAAGAAAAGAGCTGTAGAATATACACAAAAGGAAATGAGAAAGGGTTTTAAATACCGAGAAGACGGTAATGCAGGGAACGAGGAACAACAAGAGCCACGGAGCTCACAGAAAACGAGCAGCACAGTGACAGATCGGAGGCCCTCCTTATCGGTAATTACTCGGCTATAAATGGAGTCAAGTCTTCAAGAGAGAGGCAGAGGCTGGCAGAGTGGGTAAAAGCACATGATCCAACTACGTGCTGTCTGTGAGAGACTCCCTTTACATCCAAAGAAGCAACCTGGTTAAAAGTGAAAAGATGGAAAAAGATACTGCATGCGAACAGTAACCATCACAGAGCAGGGGTGGCTATATTAACATCAGACAAAACGGGCTTTGCATCGGAAGTGGTGACAGGGACGAAAGATGACATTTTATATCTGATAGAGCACAATGACACAACAGTTATAAACATGCACGCCCCCAATGGCAGGCCATCAAGTCTACGAAGGAACTGTAACAGAACTGCAGGGAAACACAGACAGTTCTGCCACGGCTGGAGGCTTGAACACCCGGGTCACAGGGACGAACAGAACAATCAAGTTGATAGCGATGAAAAACTCTGCAGGAATTCTGACCGGGGTTGTGTTAAATTTACGGGTCAGTTTGGGGGTCACTGGCACACTGAGTGTTTTCAGCCCCGAATATGGTGTCATGGGGCTTCCTCGATTCCTTTCATCAGTATGTTGTAGTCTTCAGCATACAGGTTTGTACCTAAGATTTTGGGAGGCTATTGTCAGAGCACTATTTATTTCAGTATCTTGTGTATTGGCAATACGTAGACATACAATTGACTTTTGTGTATTGACTTTACATCCTGGTACCTGGGTAATCTCATTTATCATTCCTGGGAAGCTTTACTGTTGTTTCCAGAAACAACATCTTCTAGAGAAGGTTTCAATTTACTTTGCCCGTATCCATGAAAGGAATCACCGTAGCCCTAAAAAACGTACTTCTTCAATAACAAGACTTGGAAACTGAAATTGCTGCTTGGTCCACAGGCTGCAGGATGGGTTAGCAGGTGTGGAAATAACATTCATCTCCTTCAGAGCTCTTGGGTGACCAGGTGCACTGTCAGTGGGCAGCAACATTTTGAATGGATTCTTTTTTTCCTAAGCAGTAGTTCTCAACAGTGGGCTCAAAACATCCAGTAAACCATGTGATAAACCAGGGGTGTCCAGTCTGCAGCCGGTGGGTCGCATGCAACCCAGGAAGGCTGTGAATGCAGCCCAACACAAAATCGTAAATTTACTTAAAACATTATGAGGTCTTTTTTGTGACTACATGTCACAGTGTATCTAATGTGTGGCCCCGAGATGCCAGAAGGGCGGACACCCTTGTATGTGCTGTGCTCCGGGCTCCGTTGCTGCGTTTACAGAGCCCAGGCGGAGCAGATTTAGCACAGTTCCCAAGGGCCCTAGGGTTTTCACGGTGAATGGGCACTGGCTTCCCCTTAAAGCCCCCAGCTGCACCAGCCCCTCACAGGAGAGAGAGCCAGACCGTCCCTGCCCCTCTGAAGCTGGGCCCCGATATCGCCTCTCCAGCCATGAGGTTCCTGGATGGTGTCTTCCTCCAGCAGAAGGCTGGCTCGCCCCCACTGAAAACCTGTTGTTCAGTGCAGCCGCCGTCACGACTTGTCTTTGCTGACCTTCTGGAGAACTTGCTGCAGCGCCTGCGTCAGCTCTTGCTGCTTCAGCAGGCACTTGTTGAGGCTGGTTGGACCTGTCCAGATCCCTAAAACGGTCGTGTGTTCACTGGAGTAGCACTTTTGATTTCCCTCAAGAATGTTTCCTTTGCACTCACACTTGCTTGTTCTGTACAAGAAGCCTAGCGTCAGCCTGTGTCGGCTTCCGACATGCTTTCCTCACCAAGCTAATCGTTTCCAGCTTCTGACGTCCAGTTAGAGATGTGAGACTCTTCCCTTCACTTGAATGCTTAGAGGCCACTGTAGGGCTATTAACTGACCCAATTTCAATATCGCTGGGGTTTAGGGAGAAGGGAGGTCTGAGGGAAGGGAGAGAGCTGTCGGAATGGCCAGTGAGTAGAACAATCAGAACACACACTTATGCCCTGGCCGGTGCGGCTCAGTGGACTGAGTGCCGGCCTGCAAACCAAAGGGTCACCGGTTCGATTCCCAGTCAGGGCACGTGCCTGGGTTGCGGGTCAGGTCCCCAACACAGGGCACACAAGAGGCAACCTCACACTGATGTTTCTCTCCTTTTCTTTCTCCCTCCCTTCCCCTCTGTCTAAAAATAAGATAAATAAAATCTAAAAAAGAACACACATTTATTGATTAAGTTCTCTGTCTTACGTGGATTGGTTACTGGCACCCCAAAACAATGACCAACAGTAACATCAAAGATCACTGGTCACAAGTCACCGAGACCGACGTCATAATGAAAGAATCTCGAAATGCTGTGAGAATGAGTAAAACGTGACGCAAGGACGCGAAGCGAGTACGTGCTGCTGGGGAGCTGGTGCCGACAGACGCACCGACGCGGGAGCGCCACTGACCCCGGGTCTGCGCACACGCAGTAGCCGTGAGGCCGGGCGCAGCATGCGGGCCGCGGGGCCGCGACACGCGGGCGGTCGGCGCCACAGCACGTCGCTGAGCGCGCAGAGAAGGGCACTGGAGCGCGCGAACCGTGCCCGCGTCCCGGACGGAAGACCCCGCGCACACCGGGGTGCGGGTGCCGCTCCAGCGGTCTGCACAGTCAGCTCGGCCCCTCTCGCGTCCAGAGGCCTCTGCTCTCCAGGAGCAGAAGAACCCTCCCGAAACGCATGTGGAATTCCAAGGGACACCGAGTAGCCAAAGGTCTTGAAACGGAAGAACACAGCTGGAGGCCTCACGCGTCCTGACTCCAAAACTCACTGCAGGGCACAGACATCAAACGGCGCCGTGGCCCTGGCGCAGGGACGGCACAGGGACCGGGGAGGAGGGCAGCGCGCCGGGGATGGGCTCGCATGTGCGCTCACGGGAGGAGGCCGCGTTCCCCGTCCTCACCAGAACGGCTGCTGCGAAGCCTGACGTCCCGGGGGTGGGGGTGGGGGTGGGGGTGGGCCACGGCAGGACCCTGTGTGCCCTGCTGGCCAGTGAGGCCGGGGAAGCATCACCCGGGCATCCCGCCCCCGTGCCCCTGACCCCAGCAGCCCCAGCCTGCCCTGCACTCCCGAGAAGCGTGTGCTTACGCCCCGGAGACACACTCGGGGGCTGCAGCGTGGGCTGTGGTGACCGCAAACTGGGACAGCCCAGATGCCTGCCATCAGAGCAGTGCGATAGAGACCCCAGCGCAAGCGACACAGGGTGCCCCGGAGCGAGAGCAGTCGGGCCCAGCCAGGGCCCTGCAGCTCGAGGAGGGGAAGGCGGGGCGCTGCCGGGGCACCGGGTGGAAAGACTGTGAAAGCAGCGGCGCAAGGACCGCAGACCGGGGGCGGGCGGGCGGGGGCCCTGACAGGCAGGGTGCTGCCGGAGGTTTAGGGGGAACATTTCAATGCCTCTTGTCGTGCACCTTTGCGCGTCTCTCTGTGGCCTGTATTACTCACTGTTACAAAGTTGTATTTTTGCTTTTTAAAGAATCCAAGAAGCCCATCAACTCCCCTCATCAAACCAGGGGGCGATGCCCTTGCAAGAACCTCGCGTGAGCAGGTCGCTGCAGCCCCGTTAAGCCCAGTGCACACACAGGTCGGACAGTGACCACAGGCAGCCGCCTCTGAGCCCCCTGCCCACGGGGTTGCCCGGCTCTGGCCTCCGAGGGAGGCGGCGCTGGCCTGGGTCTGGGAAGGGAGGGAAGTCGCTCCAGACCAGCCGCAGGGCGACCTGTCCGGGAGGAGGGTGCCGGCAGCACAAAGGGTCTCCAGGACGACGTACCCCGAGAAGCGCTGAGGTCCTCTCTAATTCTTCCTGGTTCACCCGGATGCTGTGGCTTTCCATCACTGCGGTGCAGAAACCAGGCGGAGAAAAACCGCGTCAGGGCCTCCCTTCCGTGGGAGGCGGCGGGTGGGGGCGCGCCGCACCGCCTCCAGAGGCAAAGGGTCCCTGAGGCCCAGTGCCCGAGCCCTGCAACGGTGGCGATGGGCGTGGGGACACACTCGGGCCAGCCACACTCTGTCGAGGCAGCCGGGTGAGGCTTTGCTCTCCCGCACCCAGCAGGACCTGGGCAGAGGGGCGGGGTGAGCCCGGGGTTGCACGGAGGGTCGGAGGGTCAGTGGACACCTGCTGATGCACAGCGTCCAGACAGGCTCCGCCCCCACGCTCTGCTCCCAAGAGCCAGGGAGCAGGAGGGCAGCGGTCCCTCGGCCAGGGCGCCCGCGGCTGGACAGTCCAGAAGGGACCCCACAGGAGAGAATGTCAGAGCCCGCTGGCCCCTCCACACCAAGACGCGATGTGGTCCAACGCCTCCTGTTACTGCAAGGGAAGGTCAAGGGCCCGCTCCCTCGCCAGGGCTCGCACGAGACGCTGCCACCCCTGAAGGCGTGAACACGCCATCCTCCCAGCAGTGCGAGGGGCTCTCCAGAGAGTGACCGCACGCCATCCTCGTGGGGACTCACCTGCCAGAATCGGTGTCAGAGGGAGCTCCAGCGTACAGAACAGCCGCCATAAACCGCAGACCTGTTTCGTAGGAAGACACAGCAACGTCACGTCTAAAGGACCATTTCTACCTGCACGTTGCGGAACAGCCTCCTGATTTCGGTGAGCTGCGTCCAGGCGACTCCTGCGCCGGGCAGGGAGGGTTCGCCTGCAGCAGCCACGCCTCCCCCCCTGCCCCCCCGCCCCCCCCCCCCCCGTCCGTGCTGCGGTGTCCTAGGGCGTCAACATTCCCGGACCGAGGGGAGGTATTCAGAGCTGGGAAAGCACACCCCACCCCGACTCTCTCTGCTCTTTCGCGTCTGTGTGACACAGGTGTTTGCGGACTCTCAGGCTTCTGCTTTAACTTCAGAACAGGTTGCCTGGATTCCCAGAAATGGGGTTAGCGCTGTCGCTGATTTTGCACCGACTGCACAGATGAAGGTGGGGAGAAGTGGGGCCGTCCCGCCGGGTCACGAGGAGCACTGCTCCGTCTGCCCAATCCCCCCCCCCCCCGCCCCGCGCTCTCCCACTCCTGCCTGCTGCCCTCTGGCGGGTCCTCGGCCTCATCCGTCCCTCCACGGCCCTCACGTCCTCCGCCTGCCCTGCAGACCCCTCCTCTGCCCCCCCGACGCCCTCCACCCTTATCGCCTGGGCTCCCCCTCTGCTCCCGGGCGGCAGGAGGAGAGAGCAGCGGGGCTCCTCTCTCCACCGGCCCACAGTGCACTGCGGGCCGTGCGCCTCTGCCTGCAGCCACAGCCCCGGGCACCCGCTCCTGTCCAGCGGCCCCTGCAGGGCCAACTGCTCTCCCAGGCCCTAGGAGCAGCCAGCCCTTCAGGCCGAGGGACGGAGAAACGTCCCGTCAGTGCCTGTGCCTGGGGGCTTCTGCAGCCTGGACTGGCCCCCGTCTCATACCCAGTCCCTTCCCTCCGCTCTTCTGGATCGAATGCCCTCTGCTTCGCCACGAGCCGAGTCCAGGTCACCGCTCACTGAAAAGCACTCTCGGCTTTCACGTTAACTGTAGCGTAAGAAGCGTTCCTATTGAGTTGGAGGCTTTTAAAAACGCTGCAACGGCTAACCCATGGAACACCCTTAGGAACTTCAGGCCCTTTCATCCGGACTCCCCCTGGAAGAGGGACGCCGGTGAACCTGGCCCCAGCCCTCCACGCTTGTTCCCCGCACACTGGGGGCGCGGGGGAATGCCTCCGGTGCGTGTGGGTGCAGGGGGACACAGCGCCTGCCCCCACGAGGGGTGGGGCGCCTTGCCTTCAGCTGCGAACAAAGGTCCATCGTGAGCCTGTAGAGAATCCTCAGGTTTGCACGTATGTTCCGATGCTTTAAGAGAGCAAAAGAATTTAGAGTTAGGCGCACTGGGCAGCAATGGCCATCACGACCGAGGAAGTGGCGGGACTCTCAGCAGCGCCCGCCAGCTAGGCCGCAAGCGCCTTTCCACGGCAGACAGCACCCACCCGCGGCAGCATCACCCGTCGCTTCCGGGAGACCGGCTGCTGCTGGGCAGACCCGGGCGGCCCAGCGCCTGGCCCTCTCCCAGGCCCTCTGTTCTGCTCGTCCTCTCGGCCATGCGCCACCAAGAGGCCAAGCGCCCGGAGTGGGAGGTTACACGGGGCAGAGACAGGAGGCCGGGGACCTGGCCTCTGGGCCCCCACAGCTCCATCCTACGTGAGCAGGCAGAGGGGCCAGGCCACCACACCCACCGTCCACTCCCACCTGGACAACGGTCAGGGTCTGCCGCAGCCCCCACAGTGGCCTCTTTCTCACGGCCCGCCTGCCTGGAGCTCCCGCGTCTGCCAGGTGAAAGCCCCGGCCCCGGGCGGTCAGACTCGGGACGCAGCAGTGCCTGGGGCGGGGCGGGCTGCACACCCGCAGCAGGGCTTTTCCCGTCAGCCCTGCGCCCCGCTCCCCGACCGACCGACCGACGACTGGGCGGGGCCCTGCGAGAGCACTCACGTCCACCTCCGGGCCACACTGCCGCCGCGTGGGCCTCCTCCTGCCCAGAGCTTCCCAGGACAAGACCGAGCTCCTGGGCGGCCCAGCGCCCAGAGTCTCCTCCTCCTCCTCCTCACGTGGGGCCTTGCGGCTCCCCACAGGAGCCACCTCCTCCCGTGACTCCGACTGTCCCCACGCTGCCTCTCCGCCCAGAGTCCCCGTCCCCTTCCTGACCTCCCCGCAGCCCCTCAGAGCAGCACGCGGCGGCCGGCCTCCCCTCCCACCGCGTGCAGCGCAGGCCAGTGAGACACAGGGGAAGCTCCCGCGAGGCTGGCAGGGACGAGGCCCCGGAAGCGCTCCCAGGTGGAACCAGAGGGGCGGGCCTGCAGGGGCAGCGGAGTGAACACGCCCCCAGCACTGGTCAGGGGGAAGTCAGGCCAGGTGCTTTGCCCCCACGGCCACCACCCCCTCATCACAGGTTACACTAGGAAGAACATAGACACCAGGGCCAGAGAGCCCAACATCGGCCTCAGACGGGACGCGTGACGCTGACCTCTCCGCACCCCCATCCTCCCACCTGTGAGCTGGGACTGGTGAGACCGAGGTGGAGGACTCCTTTCAGCACTAAGAAGATCTCAGCTTGCGTCTGGGGACAGCTTGGAATCCGGGTGGGACTGCCCCTCCCTCCCCTCCAGGGGGCAAAGGTGACAAAAGGGGCACATGGCAAAGAGGTCATGGTTCGGTGCTGGCCCAGGCCTGGGGGCTCCTGCTCCCTGGGTCCTCAGAGCCTGCTTCTGCTGTTCCTAGGAGTCTGGGAACTACCACATATCCCTCTGACAAATCTTTTTAAATTGAGGGACCGTGGCATTCTCCGTTTTCAACCCCAAGCCCCCATGAGACACAGACCGTGTGCGAGATGAAGGGCAGGCTGCAGCTCAGGGAGGCAGGCACGGCCGGCTCACACCGCCCCCCGCGTGCTCCCCAGGCTGCCACCTGCAGCAACACCACCGCCTGCTGCCCCCAGCACGATCTATATTAGTCATGCTCCTGACCCGCCGCTGTGAGCTCCCGCCCAGGAGGCCTGAAAAGACAGGCCCGCTGTGCCCCCAAGGCTCCCACGGGAGTGCCTGGGGCAGGGTCTCGCTGGGCTCAGGGCACGGCTCCCGAGCTGCGGGCAGCCCCGCTTGTCCGGGAGGCGCTGTGCACTGGAGAGGGGCCGTCCCAGACCCTCTGCCCAGCTGCCGCGGCACCAGCACCGAGGACTGCTGAACACGCAGCTCCTGCTCTTAGAGCAGGCGGCTCCGACGCCGGAGTCTGTTCAGAAGACAGGCCGGGAGTGGGGTTTCCCAGGAGCAGAGGAGTCGCGCGACCTGACGCCCGTCCTCTCCCTGACAGCGGTGTCCACCCACAGCCCACCGCCCGCCTGCAGCCCGGGGTGGCTATGAGTGCAACCCGACACAAACTGTTAATTTACTTGAAACCTTTTTTTTTTAGCTCATCAGTTGTCATTATTGCTTGTGCATTTTTTTAAAGATTTATTTTTAGAGAGAGGGGAATTGAAGGAGAAAAACAGGGAGAGAAACACGGATGTGTGGTTGCCTCTCCTGCGTCCCCTGCTGGGGACCTGGGCCGTAACCCAGGCTTGTGCCCTGACTGGGAATCGAACCAGCAACCCTTTGGTTTGCAGGCCAGAGCTCTATCCACTGAACCATACCAGCCAGGGCTAGTGTTTGTGTATTGAATGTGCGGCCCAGAGACGCCAAAAGCTGGGACACCCGTGGAAAACGTCGGGGCAGAAAGCACTCGTGCTGAGCGAGTGGAAACGAACCCCAGCAACGTCCCTTTCGCTACTGCACTGCCTCTGAAGCAGCGTTTCCGGAGAAACGTGAGTGCTGCCTTAAGGCTGATAAAATCTTATCGTAAAACGACTCACCACAGTACTTTTCGAGGCGTTCCCGTATGTGCTGCTCACTTTAACTGTGATGGGGTTCCCCGAGTATTTTGCCACTAAATCTTCAAAGGACAGCGCAGCGTCACGAGGGTCGATGAGCCAGGCGGCAACGCTGGGGTCCAGCCCCGTAAACTCAGCAGCTGGAGAGAAAGAGCATGCCCAGTCGCTCCCAGGTCACGGGGCGTTGCGCCTTCCCCTGCGTTACAAGGTTCTCAAGGGCCAAATGAATGATCCTAGCATCACCGTCCGCTCGGACACAGAGCGAAGTACCAAAAGATACTCTCCCAATACGAAGGAATTCCGACACTTTGGTAAGCGGCCTCCACAAACCCCGGGGTCCCAAAAGGCCAACCTCCACGGGAATTGATCCCCCCGAACCCCCAAAGGGGTAGAGACTCCCGACTAACTTGGAATTTGAATCTCTCAGAATGTTCAACGAGCTCCAAGCCAGAATGCTCAGCCAGACTCCCCACCTCCTCCCTCTCTTTCTCTCCGGTTCCCAAGCCCCTCCCTGGCCCAGGCACCTCCGTCCCTTCCTGCCCCCTCTTCCCACCTCTCAATCCCTGTGACAGCTCTGTCCAAGTCCTCCCTCCTCCAGCCGCCTTCCCAGGCCACCCTGACCCCACAGCAGCACATCGGGGTGCTCGGGAACCCAAGTGTCATGACTCAGGGCCGCCGACCCCATAGCACGGAGTTTGGGGAGGGCGGGGGGGCTGCTCGAGAACAAGACACTGGGCACACTGGGCATGTGCCCGGCCTGCGGGAGGACACCCCGTGAGACAGCCAGGTGCGTGAAACGAGCCGGAGGGGGCCAGGCGGGGAGCCTGGCAGGTCAGGCGGCTTCAAGTGCGTCCCCGCCCTGACAGCTGGGCGGGAAGAGGGCTGGGTGTATGTGCGAGACACATGAGAAGGCGCTTTCTCCAAAGTAAGAGCACTTGCTGAACAGGTGCGTTTTTGTGCCGGAGTATTCTAGACACAGCGGGGGTGTCATAAAAGGCTGGGGAGCTCGTAGTTAAGAAGTAAATCTGAGCCCTGGGGGACTGCTTTTCGAGTTCCCGTGACATCCCGCCCGGTGCTGTACAGAGACGAGGACTTTGCCCTCGGACAACCCGCGGCCTCAGAGCACTCTGCGGTGCACATGCCACCGTCCGGCAGGCCCGCATCGTGCTCGTGCTGGTGGGGGAGATCTGCGTTTCCCGGGGCGCCAGCGCCACGCGGTTTTTGTTTGCTGTCTGGGAGCCCCTCACGCTGGCAGAGCGGGAGCTCTGGCGGAGGAAGTCGGCGGCTGCTGGCTGCCCGCCACCCCCGCCAGCAGTGCGTGACCCGACATAACACTGGCTGGTGACGCCGACCCACCCAGCAGGGCTTTTCCCTCCCAGCTGCCCCTTCCCAGCTCTGCTGGTCCAGAACCAAGGATCCTCATCAAGGCCCAGCTCTGAAAATCCTCCAGGAACGCCTGGCTGTGCTGGAACCCTGTGGGGCTGGTCCCCATGTCCCCTGCAGCCAGTGCGAGGAGGCCTGCCAGGGCAGACGCCACACGGGGGGGGGGGGGGGGACAGACCAGCAGTGCAGAAAGAAGTGACAACAAGACAGATTTTGAATGAGCTAAGAAAAATCAAGAAAATAATAACATCTGTAAAAAATAAATCAGAATTAGAAATACTTAGAAATCAGGTGACGTAGGAAAAAACTGAAGAAAGAATTCAGGAAAAAAATAAAACAAACAAATTTTCATAAATAAAAATATTTCAGAAATAAAAACTGGCAATACATAAAAGCAGATAAATGTAATAAATAATGCCTTAAGTAAAAAAGAAAATAGAGGAGAGGAATATTTTTAAAAATAAAAAAGAAATGGAGAGGTTAAAACCAGATTCTAGGTAAGCACTAAATGTGAAAGACAAGCATTAACATGTGCAACAGGAGTTGAAACACCACAAAAAAAGACAAACGACCAACAAGAAGTAGCTCCTGACAGAAGGACACACCCCCGGTTAGGGTTGGCACTAGAGCTAGGGTCAGGGTCAGGGTCAAGGTCAGAGCTCTGAAGCGGCCTTGCCGGCCCGCGGTCTGACCCGGCCTCCGGACCTAGCGGCCAGTGTGCAAGCACTGGGGGAGCGAGGGGGGCCTGCTCACTGGCAAGAAGGGGTGTGGTCGCCAGGCCCAGGCGTGGGGACCCCGCGGGACCAACAGGCTGGCTCCGTCGACCACGGCAAAGGAGCCGCGAGGACGCGGAACAGGGAGACAACACACAGGCCACAGAGCAACACCTCTCCCAGGTACGGCTCTCAGTTCACACAAGCTGTAAAAAACACTGACAGACAAACAGGAATATTTAAAGACAACTGGGAAGTACTGCACAAACACTGACTGGATAGCTAATAATATTAAAAAATCATTGCTAGCCCTGGCTGGTGTGGCTCAGTGGATTGAGCACGGGCTGCGAACCAAAGCATCGCAGGTTCGATTCCCAGCCAGGGCACATGCCTGGGTTGCAGGCCACGGCCCCCACCAATCGCACATTGATGTCTCTCTCTCTCTTTCTCCCTCCCTTCCCTCTCTGAAAATAAATAAATAAAATCTTAAAAGACAATCGTTGCTACTTGTAGGGGGGAGATAACAATGATGGTCCCATCTTAAAAATGAAATCCTGGGCCCTGGCTGGTGTGGCTCAGTGGACTGAGTGCTGGCCTGTGAACCAAAGGGTTGCAGGTTTGAACCCTAGCCAGGGCACATGCCTGGGTTGCAGGCCAGGTCCCCAGTAGGGGGTGCGCTGGAGGCAACTACACAGTGATGTTTCTCTCCCTTTCTCCCTCCCTTCTGCTCTCTCTAAAAATAAATAAAATCTGCCCTGGCTGGCGTAGCTCAGTGAATGGAGCGCGGGCTGGGAACCAAAGTGTCCCAGGTTCGATTCCCAGCCAGGGTACATTCCTGGGTTGCAGGCCATAACCCCCAGCAACCACACATTGATGTTTCTCTCTCTCTCTCTCTCTCCCTTCCCTCTCTAAAAATAAATAAATAAAATCTTAAAAATAAATAAAAATAAATAAAATCTTTAAAAAAATGAAATCCTTGTATTTGGCCGTATGACCGAAATGTCTGCAGGTTCATCACACGGTGCTTGGGATCTGCTGTGGACAACCAGGGGCGTGGAAGTGGGGGAGCTGCAGAGGAAGAAGGCTGGGCACGGTGGCAACCGCTGTGACCGGGTGACGGTGCCCTGCTGTCCTCCGGCACCCCTCTGACACCAGGTGTGTGGGCCTCCACGCCTCACCTCTCCAGTTCTCTGCGGGCACCAGCTGGGGCCCAACAACTCAGTCTGGTTCTGACGCCAAGTACCCAGAGCGGCTGCGGACCCCGCAGACCCAGGGCTCGGGCCCAGGAGTCTGCGCCCACGCCAGCTGCTTGTCCGAAGTCCAGGGCTTCCCGCACGTCCAACTGACCAGCTGTCACTCACCATGCTTCCAACTGCCATCGTCCCCCAAAAACTGCAGCGCTGTTCTCACAAAATCCTTAGCATTGTAACAGATGACAGGACAGCCACATTTCAGTATTCGAAACAGCAAGTTCCTGGAAGGTGAAAAGAAATTCACTGACTTGGACATGGGTGGACAATTCCAACCTTGGTGAAACACCGGTGCTGCCGCACTAACGGCGTGTCAGACCCTCTCCTCCTAAGGCTTTACACACATCAACGCAAAAGCCCCGTGAGGCAGGCAGTACTCATTCCCTGTGATTTACAGATGATGAAACTGAGACACAGAGAGGCCTAATGTTGAGGTCTCCCCTGGGCTGCCTCGGATGGCCGCAGCGGAGGTCGGAGGGGTCAGAGTCTACGGCTCTATTCTGAAGGCAGAGCCGATGGGATTCACGGAGTCTGGAGGTCGTACGTGAAAGAAAGACAGGCATTCAAGGCAATACCGAGGCGTTTGGCCTGAGCCCACGGTGGGCCGAGCTGCCGTGAGCTAGAATGACGAGGGCGGCAGAGGGCAGGCTTCAGGGAAGACGGGGGGCCGGTTCTGCACGCACTAAGGCTGGAGTGACTGTCAGGTGTCCGAGTGGAATGTCGGGCAGGCCACTTACAGCCAGGATTCAGAAAAGGCCGTCCGGGCACAGGGCTGTCCTCCGCAGCACAGACCGGACTGTTCTTCCCAAGTGACAGAAAAGGAGGGCCATGGGGCTCTCGGGAGCGTAGTGCTGTGTCTGTCACGGTCCCATTCTCACCCAAAAGGATCGCGTGCGAGTGCCTGGCATAGGTTTCTGACTGCCAGGGCAGCCGTCCCGAAGCCACCCCCTGTGCAGACCTGCTGCCAGCCAGCAACATGCTCCCAGAGAAGCAGCCCCAGGAGGCCCGCCCCCCTGCCCCCCCACCCGTGGGGGCCCCTCGCTCAGACAGCCCGGGTGCTCAAGCAGCCCCGCTTTCCCTCCCCAGGCCCCGACTCCCACTCTCAGGCCCTAAATCAGCCAACAGAGGGTGAACCCTGGAAGCCCGGGGCGTCCCTCCACCTCCCTCCCCCTACACAGCAGCCTCTCTGGGTGGCCTGGTGGCACGCTGCGCACCCTCCGGAACCTACGAATAACACGGGCGCTTGCTGAAGCGTGTGCTGTGACCACAGTGAGCACCGCGGGAGCCGGTCCAGCCGCACGGTGGCCTCTGTGGGGACACATCTCTGAGGCCCCCTCCGGGTAACACAGGCTGCGGAGAGGGCCGCAGACGCTCCCAGCAGAGAGCAGCACGGTCCGTAGGCTGGGAGCCACACAAACACAGCGGGACCTAAGCCCCCACCCAGGGCCCAGGGAGACGGTGCTGGAGGAAGGGACAGGACCAGGCCCACCTACCCACCCTGAGCCTCCCAGGACTCCTCATGGGGCAGCTAACTGCACCTGCACCCCAAGGGCCAGGCACACAGGAAGCGGGTGCCCCCGGCCAGGGTGGAAGCCCCAGACGGCTGACGCCACCAGCAAAGAAACAGTGAGGGGCGCAGGCTGCACCCCACGAGAGGGCCTCTCGCGATTGAGCGAGGCGGGGAGACGGGGGCACCCTGCCTGGGCCAACATTCTCTGAGGTGCCCCTCCGGAGGACAGGTCCAGGCAAGCCCTGTCTCACCTACTGTGGCTGAATGAGGCTCGGTGGCGCTGGGGACAGTCCCTGTGTGAAGGCAGTGAGAACCTGCCTTTCCGACACCGTCACGGAGTTACCCAGTGTGACGGGGAAAACCACATGGGCCTCTGGCGTGGCGTGGGCTCTCGGGCTGGGGAGGGTGCTTCTCCCACCAGCTGCTTGCTAAGGCGGGATGCGAGCCCTGGGGCAGGTCCCCACGGACACTCTCTGGGGGAGAGGACCGGGGTCTAGAGGCTCCTGTCACTCAGGTCCACTGTACTGTCGCAGGCCCACCTGAAACACCTAAACGTTTACATACAATCGAAGCCTGGGAAACTCTACACTGGGCTAGATCAGGCGGGTAAGCAGATTTTAAGGTAAGGAGTGAACACGGCTTACCTGGCAAACGGGCTGTGAGCCTCTGGCTCCTGGCCCCAGACAGAAGAGCGCTCCGTTTTTATGTAGATGCACCGGTCCCCGGGGGAGAAGCCTCCCTCCGGACCCTGGCCAGCGGCCACGGCAGCCGGAAGACCACGGCCTCCTCCTGCTCGGCTCTGCAGCAACAGGGCGACGACCCCTTTAACGGACGGGGCCGGAGCCTGCGGACACACAGGGAGCTGAGGTCTCAGTGATGAGCACAGTGGCTTACTTGAGACAGGGCTGTCGGGTTCGTAATTCGGAAGGGAGACAGGGCCTCAAATTACACGTGTAAGTGAACAGCTCTTTAATCACCATCAAGGCCAGACACCAAGCCAATGACCTTGCTCTCCAAATCTGTTCTCCTTCCTGTCCAACGGCATAACAGAGGTCTCAGCCAGTGTGATGCAACAGGGAAAAATAAAATAAAATAAAAGGCAATAAAATAAATCAGAAAGGAAGAATTACACTGTCTCTATTTACAGATGACACAAATGTCTGCATACCAAACCCAAAGGAATTGACAAAAAATCAGCGAGGTTGCAGGATACAAGATTAAAACACTGAACCTAATTGTATTCCTATACACTAGCAATAAACATGTAAAAATAAACTTGTTTAAAAAAACAAATTACCATTGTTAATAACTACTTCACAAAACACAATACTTAGAAATCAACAAAATAGGCACAGGATGTGAATGCTGAAAACGACACAATATGGTGAAACAAATCAGAGGAGACCTAAACACTAACTGAGAGGCATACCGTGCTCAAGGACTACAAGGAAAGAGTAAGACGCTAGAAGGGGAATCGCATTACTTCGAAACAAAGCAAGTTAAAAGACAGTGGAGTAACATCTTCTAGTTACTGAAAGAAAAAAAAGTATCATAATTTTTTAGCCAGCAAAACTGTCTTTAAAAAAAATCAAAGATAAAGCAAGATTTGTATTCTACACTAAAAACTACAAAATACTGTTAAAAGAAATTGAAATTTTAAATGGATGAAAGGATACCCCCATTCACTGATCAGAAAACTCAAACCTGTTAAGATAGCAAACCTCCCAAAATTAATCTATAGACTCAACGCCGTTTGTATGAAAAACCACCTTGGATGTTCACAGAAATTGACAAATTGACCCTAAACTCTGTATGGAAATGCGAAGGAGCCGGAATAGCCTGTACAACCTTGAAAAGACAGACAGAGCAGGAGGACTCATACTTCCTGATTTCAAAACTTACCACCACGAAGCTGCAGTAATCGGGACAGTGCGGTACTGGCATGAGGATGTACAATTAGATCAATGGAAAGACCTGAATGTCCAAAAATAAACCCTTACATTTTATAGTCAGTTGATGTTTAGTAAAAGTGTCAAAAAAAAATTCAATGGGGAAAGAAGAGTCTTTTCAACCAAGAGTGTTTGGAAAACTAGATACGCACATGCAAAAGGGTGGATCTACGCCTGTCTCGCTCCATACACAAACCCTAACTCAAAACGGCCCTGGCTGGTGTGGCTCCGTGGACTGAGCACCAGCCTGCAAGCCAAAGGGTCGCCTCTTCCATTCCCAGTCAGGGCTCGTGCCTGGGTTGCGGGTCAGGTCTCCTGTTGGGGGTGCGCAAGGGGCAACCACACACTGATGTTTCTCCTCCTCTCTTTCCCCCTCCCTTCCCCTCTCTCTAAAAATAAATAAATAAAATCTTTTTAAAAACTTAACTCAAAATGGGTCTTAGATTTAAAGGTAAGAGCTTTAACTACCAACTCTGGAGAAAACAAGAGTAAATCATCATGAATAAATCATCATGAACTGGGATGGCAAAGCATTCTTACATATAGCAACAAAAGTGTAGGCAATACAATGTAAAAATTTGATAGAGTTCATTAAACTTAAAAAAATGTTGTGCTTCAAAAGACACTATCAAGAAACCAAGAAGAGAAGCCACAGAGTCGGACAACGGCAAACCACGTCCCCGACAACAGACTCGTATCTGAGCACATAAAGAGCCCTTACAGATCCAAGACAAAACACAAACAGCCCAACTTAAACATAAGCGAGAGGTCTGAACACGCATTTTACCGAAGAAGGTATGCAAACGACTAATCAGCACATAAGACGACGCCCACTGCCGTCACTTTTTAGGGAAATCCAACTTAAAGCCACGGTGAACTCGTCACACCTGCCCAGATGGCTGAGACACAGAAGACAGCAAGAGCGGGCAAGGAGATGGTGATCGGGGGGCTCCTGCACATTGCTGGTGGGGTGCACAGCGCCACAACCACTCTGGAAAATATTTTGGCACTTTCTTAAAAAAACATTATAAATTATACATTATCAATATCTTACTTTTGTGGGAGAAGGGAAGGCTTAAAATCTTATTTCTAGCTCTCCCATCAAAATCAGACGCTAAGAAAATGGGTTTCTTTTATGGTGCCAGAAACGCAGAACAAACAAAAACCACACTGTTTACGCACCTGGTCAGATCTTAGCTGGGTTGAACCATCCTTATACAGCAGAGTTACCACCACAGCTGCTGCCTGTCTGAGCATGCCAATCAGCTGGCTTTTCTCCAAATCATCCAAATACCTGGTGTCACAAAAGTGGTCTCTGAATGCTCTCGAGTCCCCCGAGTTTGGGGAGACTTCCACCTTGTCAGCATCTCCCGGTGCTTCCTGTTCAGTGGTTTTCTCTGGTGAATTATTACATGTAATACGTTTTCTTTTAAGATTCATGCTTTCTTCATTTTCATTATTCATATGTTTTTTAAGGAAGTATTTTCTTTTATGTTCCATTTTCTGTAGAACGGAAGCCTCTCGGTTATGCTGGGGCATCAGACAACTGGCAGGAGCCACTGAGCTGATGTTCTGCTGTTGGTCCGTGGGCAGCTGCTCGGTCAGTCTGCTGGTGGTGGGCCGAGGAGAGAGTCTGATGGAAGCCCCTGGTGTCTGGCTCGTGAGAGAACTATGACGCTACAGAAAAGCAGAAAGTATTTCATGAGCATATAGCCTCGTAAGACAGAGGTCTAGAAACCAGACTGATTTCTGGCAAGTCATCTAAAACAAAGTAGAACACAGCTGCGTACGATCTAGATCCAGCTTTCTAACGAAGTTACACCGTGCCTTCGAGGGCAGTCGCCTTCTCCGCCCAGGCAGGAGCGCCCACGGGAATCGTGGGCGGGGCGGAGCTCCAGGGTGCAGCCACACCCTGCGCTGGAGTCTGCGAGTGGGGAGACGCTGTGGGCGGAGTCGGGTGCGGAGGCGCAGAAGACGGAGGTTACCAACTTCCAAATCAAGGCCATGATAGAGAAAGTGAAATCACTGCAACTATTTGATACGTGAATCTACCCACTAAGTGGTTTGTTTTTTTTTAATCCGAAATGTGTTTATCGGGTCGGTTCCCCACGCGTCTTGACTCGGGTGCTCTGAGTGCGGCCTCCTCCCGAAGCAGCGCCCTTCCGTCTGCCTTGCGGTGCCCCCTGCGGGCTGCCAGGGCACGGCGGGGCGGCCCGCACGCGAGACCCCCGTGCGCGCAGGGCTGCGGACGGGGGTGGTTCTACCGCATCCTGGGCCCTCCGCATCCGTGAGGCAGGAGCTGGCGCTCTGACCAGGTGCTGCCGCTTGTGCTTCTTCTTCCGTCCGGAGAGGGGCGCAGGAGGTCCTTAGCGAGAGGCGTGTTGCCGTGGGGCGGCCCCCGGACAGGCCGGGACTTCTCCAAAACGGGGCCCAGCAGGAATGCGCTTTCTGTCCCAGTCTAACAGCATGCACGTTTCACCCGCGGGATCACAGAGTAACCAAGGGGGGAATCGTGTCTACCCATTTCATGACAGGATTCACTTGCCTAAAACATTATCTTTAATATGTATCTTTCAAATTTTATGATACAGGTATGTTGGGGTTTTTTAAAGATTTATTTATTTTTAGACAGATGGGAAAGGAAGGAGAGAGGGAGAGAAACACTGATTGGTTGCCTCTCGCACGCCCCCAACTGGGGACCTGGCCCACAACTTAGGCCTGTGCCCAGACTGGGAATTGAACCGGCGACTTTTCAGTTTGCTGTATGATGCCCAAACCACTGAGCGACACCAGCCAGGGCCACTGATGATGTTCTGAACAACTGTTTCCTCACAAACAGTAGTTTTAAATAATTTTGAGAGAAAATGTTTTAACACATGGTCATTGGGTCATAGAAAATTTTAATATATACTCATTTTATCGCAGAGAAATACCATATGGTCTTCAAGAGAAGACTTTCAAGTATAAAATTGTATTACATTAAAAATTCTGTGGAGGTGTATGGAAGAAAAGGAGTTCATGGAGAAAAGGAAAGTATGAAAATTCGGATTGTTGAAGAATGTCTGGCTGAAGTACTTTTTAAAGGGACGATCGTGGATATCAAGCTACCAGAGCACAGTGTGCATTTAGGTTTTAGTGGCTGTGCTCTAGACGATGACACTACAGTTTCCATTGATGTCGACGCGTCTCAGAGCTTCTGACGACTTTCGTCTCACCTCTTCCACGCTGGCAAAACATTTCCCTTCGAGGTCTTTTCTCATACAGGGGGAAAAAAAAGTCATCCAGGGTGAGATCTGGTGAACAGGGAGGACGAGGCATGGGGATCATGCCGTTTTGGGCCAAAAACTGCTGAACACGCAGCGCAGTGTGGGCAGGTGTGCTCATAGATCACCCATCATGAAGTGGGCAAATGCATGGAGAGTCTTCAAAACACCTTTCTGAAGCCAAACGCAGCCTCTCACAACAACACCAGCTGGTACACTGCTTCAGATGGGTTCGTAGAACACTCATCCAGCAGGAGAAGGTTGTTACAAGGGGACCACCCTCCAAAAGACAATTCCAGTTTTCTTGGCGGTCCCCCTCGTACAAGGCCTTTGGTGATGCGACCTTGTCTCTCTCTCCTCTTGAGCCCAAATCACGCGACTCAATCTGTTGTGAATTTTATATCCTTTCCCTTATGAATATCTCTTTATGCCCACTGTCCAGAAGTTCCAAGCTCCCTTCCCTTAGCCCCCAAACTCCACTCTCCAAAGGGTAACCATCTCCTAACTATCCTTTAGACCCCAACTCAGGTATACATTTCACATTAAAAGAGAGACATCCCAGGCTCCTCCCCCTACCACCCAGAAAAGGCGAACTGAAGCCACACAGAGGGGGCTGAGATGTCTCTCCCACTGTTCCCAGAGCCCTCAGGCTGACTTCCATCACGGCAGCACGCAGCTCGCTGCATGGTAGGGACCCTCTGTACGTCGTCTTCCTCTCCCCCCACGTGAATCTGACCAACAGCCTCGGGAGAACAATAACTCCCCCTCCCCCCCCACACACACTTTTTAACACAGTATCAACAGGGCCTGGCATACAGCACACACTTAATGAGTCTTTGTTGAACAAATGCAGGCTGTTTAGAATTTTCACAGCTGCAAGCATTTACCTTTTCCCCCAGTGCCTGATTCTTCCCATCGTGAAGCGGTCCTGAACGCTCAACACTGGATTTGTTCACCACTTCTGCAGCTTTTAAAACACAGAAAAGGAACCTGAGACACTAAGGAAACACTGATATCTAAGTCATACAACGAGTGAACATTGAAAACGGCCTCCACAATGGTGCTATTTACCCACTGTTTACTTACTTAAAACAACATAATTCACAGCTGAGCTGCCTAGTGCCATTGTAACAGACACTTATGTAAAGCATCCTCAAACCAACTGGAGGCAGATCTGTGTAATCATGAAATGCTCATTCAAGATTACTACCTGGTGTTTATAGTTGAATACTTGATTCCGAAAACCCTTGTAAGAAACCTTATAAATATCAAAGGTTTGAGGAAATTCTTAGGCTGAATACTACTACCATAGAACAGTTAAAAGAGATTCAGTAAAACATCATTAATACGAACTTGTGATTTAAATTCGGCCCTCATCGTGGTCAGCTGGGGCTGAGTAGCAAGTGCTGGGGTCTGGACCCCGCCCCCGCCGGCAGGACCCAGGAGTGTGTGCTCCCCACCACAGTGGCTGCCCACGGCGCTGTGCCTTCCCTCTGCAGATGTGGGAACACCCAGGAAATGCAAGCGCAGGGGGACCTTGCTCTGACGGGAAAAAGTTACCCTTAGCGTAACTTCAACAAGAAAGGTACAGGGCACCGGTGATCAAAACTTAGAACCTTCTGAAACGGCAGGACACAAGGCCCACACAAACGGGAAGACCCAGCGCTGGGATGTACACAATGCGTTTAATTCCCCCAAACACAGACTCAGTGCAGCCCACCTAGAGACCATGCAGGGCTTTTAACTGAAGAAATAATTTCAAAATACATATCAAACGTTCACTGTCTGAACACAGATAAGAAGAGTTTAAAAAAAGTAAGAGACTTGTCTATGTGGATTATCAGAAGACACTAGGAAGCCACTGCAATCAAATCCACACGGTATTTGGATAGGAAGAGAAGAAAAGATCTCTAGGTCAAAAGAGACAATCCAGAAACTGACCCCGAGACTTAGGAGACTTTCATAGGGACAGTACAACTAGCACAACTGCTAACAGAAAACAGTCCACTGGGAAAATTGCTAGGGACAAAAATGACTGAGAGTTAATACCTGTATTCTATAACAAGCCTTGCACATTGTCAAAAAAAAAAAAGACAAATAACTCAATAGAAAAATGAGCGAAACGTAGGAAGCGGCAACACACAACAGAGCGACTGGGAAAGGCACATGTGGCACACTGTGTGACGCTCACACGCGCTAGCAGCCGGGCAAATGAAAACTAAGTGTAACTGCAGGTGGACGGGGATAGGCCGTCTCGCATTCCCGGCAGGACTGTGCGGAGGACTGCGAGTCCTCACTCGGTGTCGCCAGTAGGTTCTGCGGCTTTAGACGTGTGACAGAGCCACCTGTACCCTGGCCTAGCTGCTGCGACAGAGAAGGGTTAAGCTCCTGTGGCACTTCATCCAAGGGACAACAGGAGGACATCGTCTGAGGTCCTGCTGTAGTCAGAACCTTTCTGCAGAGCAACTGTCAACACTTACTAAAATTGAAAACACATGCCTCCCCTGTGGGAGCTGGGGGCGAGACGGGATGATACCATGGGAGTGCAGCTGGGCCTCCTGGTGCCACTGATGTTCTGTTTCTGGGTCTGGGAGAGGGTGGCAGGGCGTTCAGTTTACGGGGCTATAAACTTGGATATATGTGCTCTGTGTGTGTGTAACCTCAATAAAAACAATCTGATTTAAAATACATAAATCATGTAACCAAACAACCTCACTCCGGGCTATCTGGTTCATAGAACTATGTGTAACAGTAAATAGGTTTAAATCAGGGGTGTCGAACTCATGTCCACCGGAGGCCACATCGACCTGACCGTTGCCTTCAAACGGCCGGAATAATCTTAGGACTGTATGAATGTCACTACCCTTAACGGTCAAGGAGTTGGAGTGGCGTCCGGCCCTTTGAAGGCCACCGCGAGGCTGACGTGGCCCCCGGTGGAAATGAGTTTGGCACCCCTGGTTGAAATCCAGCACTGATGGCAGTACTGCTTTACGGCAAAGCACTAAAAACAAAGCACACGCCAATCAGGAAGGAAGTCGATGAATAAATCACGTAACGTCCATGCTGTGAAGCAGGCAGCCACTGAAAGAGTGACTTAGAGCCGTATCGGATGACCTGAAGATGCAGAAATCGGTGAAAACACGATCCCATTTTTTGATCGGTGACCAAACCTCCCCACTGGTGCACACGAGTGTGTTGTGCACTGGTGCACACGAGTGTGTTGTGCACGCACAATGGCACGGTCCTTGCCCCGGCGGCCGTCTAGGAGACGGGGGTCTGTGTTCGGAACAGGCACCGGGCAGCGCTCTCAGGGTCGACGTCTGCAGGTGAGTGAGGGGAGGAGGACGGTGCCACGATGCTGCCACTACACAGGTCCGTCCGCAGCTGACGTGGCCCTGCAGAGCTGTCCCACTGGGTCCAGGGCGCGGGGCCTCGGCACCCAGCACCCGCCGGCCACTGGGTGGGCTGCTCCAAGGACGGCAGTGTGCCCTTGCGCCGAGCAGCTGTCTGCAGAGGAGGTGAGCCAGGAGGCTGCGTGTCAGCAGCTCGCCAGCGAGGCCCCCAGCCCCTGGGGGATACATGGTTCCCACCCTAACGGGCGGGCGAGCTGGGGGGATGGACATCGGGCACCCGCTACCGTCCTGCCCTGCAGCTCACTGCCTGCTGCTCCCTGCCACCTGCTTCCAGTGCGTTTTGGAGCAGCTACTTCAGGACTCGGGGTGGCCTCCTGCCTGGAGAAAACTTTAGAAAAACAACGGCACAAGCAGCTGGTCTCAAAGTTGCAAATGATACGTCTTCCTTCTTAATGACCCACCTAAGGTCTCCTCACGCTGCCTGAGCACCTCTGTTGGTCCAGGTAGCTCCCTGAGGGAGTGGCCAAACCCTCACCCCTGAGAGATGTGAGCCCCTGATCACTACACCCTTCTCAGCCATGGCTGATGTGTGTGCTGCGAAATTTGGGCAGGGGACCAAGAGGTGACCGATCACATCACCTCGGTGCCAAGTACACGCTTTCCTGCCCCCCTATGCAACAGCAGCCCTAACTGACAATGACCAGGAGGCTCACTGGAGCCAGATGGAGATGACGTACCTTGCCTGCCAGTCTCCTCGCATAAAGAACTTGAACTGACTGGGCAGCTGGAGCTTGGAACTGAATGGTGCCCTTCCTGTGCCCCCGGGGGGCTGCCCCTCCGGGAGTCAGGACCACCTGCAGAGCCCAGAGTGCTGGTAAACAGGGCCACTCCCACCTCTACCTTTGGGTCCCAGGCCCTGTAATTACACACACGGGGACACTACCCTGGGTGGTCACTGACGTGCAGTGCACACTGCACCCTGGAGGGTCCTGGTGCGTCGCTGCAGGGCGTTCCCCCCAAGGCCAGCGCTGAGCTGCCTCTGCTGCAGCCCACCCCACCGCTCCCTCGGGCTGGCATTTATGGGTGTGTGGCTGTGAGGGAGTGTGGGGTCCCACGGTCCCACGCCCACTGAAGCTCCTCTGCTGTAAAGTGGGTCCCCATGCATAACATGATGCTAAGCGGGATTCCGTGTCAGTGGAGCAAACGTTCTATGAGCCCTGGGCAACAGCTCAGGCAGGCCCCGCAAACCACACCTGGAACCCGTGTCCATGCGAGTCAAGGTCCACCTCTGCACCCCCGGGGACACGAGGGGCTCAGGGCTGTCCACTTGCCAGCAAGAGCCTGACCGCTCTCCTCACAGGGTGGCACCACTGGGGACTCGGCGTTTGGTCTGTGTTGGAAGGAAGGCTGGACATTCAGCGACGCAGCAGCCAGTCAGCCACACTGCTGGGCCCTGGCAGCCTCCACCCCGGCCTGCGGCTACTCCTTTAAAGAGCCCGGGGTGCCAGGACCCGGACAGCAGGTGACAGGCTGGGGGACATCCGCTGGCCAAGTCTAAGTCTGTTCCTTCCTTCGGCACTCTACCTGAGTTGCTCCCTGTGTCTGCTAATACCATAATCTTAGACTCCTCTTTACTCCGTGGTAGCTAATCTCTTACTGGTTAAAAAGCTTTAAAGTTCCCTGTTCCAATTGCTGTGCTTTTCTGTTCCCTGACTGACCCAGGCATGCACTCACACAGCCCCTTGGCCGGCCCAGGTCCTCTCCACTGGCTTATGCAGATGTCACGGCCAGGAGGGAGGAGATGGCAGCTTCTCAGGGAGCATGCGTACTTCTTCAAGACAGAAGCCTCTTGTGAGTGGGGTGGGGCACTAGCTCTTAACAGAGGAGCAGCCACTTTTGCAGGTGCCACAGGTATCTGGGATTCAAGGTTTGAATGCACCAATGCACATCTCAGGGTCTGGCCCCTCTTCCCGCCCAAGGCCCCAGCCTTGATGGAGCACACCTGCCGGGGCTGAGGAGGAATCCGACTCTCCGGAGCTCGGCCAAGTCTCGAGACTGTAAGTGCTGGCCTGTGGCTGCAGGTGGTCTCTTTTTAGGCTGTCAGGGAAGCCCTGGGGTTCCCACCGTCAGCCTGTACTTGCTAAGTAACCACTCTCAGCACACTGTCTTCTCTGCAGTACTGTCCCAGCAGCCCGGGCAACAGCTTCCGCTGGTACAGACCAACCACCTCTAGTGACGACTTTAACTGCACTGCTGCCGCTCGGGTCCCCAGTACAACTGTGATGAAGCCATCCGTGCCGGCCGGCCTGAGGGAAGCCAAACCCCACACCACCGCAGCTGCGCTCTCAGGCCGCTTCCTGCGCCGACTGGAGCAGAGCAGGCTCCCTGGGAACCAGACCCAGCTGTGCTGCAGGAAGTTTACCTCGGGGTGGGGGGTGGGGGGCAGAGCAAGTTAAAGCACCCAGAACACTTCACAGTCAAGTTCTCTAAACGGAGCTGCAATGAATCAAATGCACTAATTCCACTGCAATGCACGCAATGTGGAAGCATTGCATTGTGATGATGAAAGAAGTATTTCAGCAGAACCTTGAAAGACATTGATTTCACTCCACTCTGAGTGGAGGTGGGAAAAAAAGGGTAAGCAGAAAGTTGGAAAATGCCACAGGTTCGGAAGTTACAGTCACATCGGAAGGGGGCACAAAGAGGGAAAGGGGGGCAGCACCAGAGGGTAAAGGGCAGGCGGGGCCAGGCAGGAGGAAGAGGGGCTGTTCCCGCAGACAAACCCTGCAGCAAGCAAAGACAGAGCTCAGCTCCATGGAGCCAAGACCAAAGTGGCAACAAACTGAAGGCAAATAACAATTCGGAAACGACTGCCAGGCCCAGGGGGAGAGCAGGCAGCTCTGTGCAGCTAAGACCCAGCGCCTGGAATGTGAAAAATGCCGTCTTCACCTCTAAGCTCTACCAAGTTAAATAAAGAACCTGAAAAATGTATACTAGCAAACGTACTTGATCTCCACAGGTACTCAAGACAAAACACAGATATACGCTAGTATGTGCTTTAGTCACACGAATAATCCTACCCGAGTACCCGGTCAGCTGACAACCTTGGAATCACCCTGAAAACCACTCCCCCAGCATTTATTTACCAAGGTGTTCAGTGGCATTACCGGACAACAAAATGACAAAGAAAATCCAACTCAGATGAACCCCATTCTGAACCTAGTTTAAAGGTGCCCGAGTTAGGGTAGAAAGCTGAACTGCGAGTCACAGAAGACCCAGCAACACAGTAAGATACAACAGCTAAGAGAACAGAAGTTTCTTTCTCTTGGGTTGCCGTGAGTGGCCCCAGATGGTGGTGCAGCTGTTCCGTGAAGTCCCTCTGGAACCCGGGTTCCTTCCAGGACACTGTTCCCCGATCCTCGAGGACGCGGCTATCATGTGCGGGGCAGGAAAGGAGGCACTTCAGGTGGCAACTGGAGGGCGGGCAAGAGGCGGCCAGCTAGGAGGCGAGCGGGAGGTTTCCAGGCTGCCCTGGAAACGGCACGCACACGTCACTGATGGGGACCTGCCGCCTGGCCACACACCCCTGACTGCAAGAAGACTGAGCCTTGTGGTCTGTGGGTCTCACAAAAGCGAAGGACACTCTGGTGGTGCGGCAAACTCGGCCACAAAGGCCTAAGGAGCAACACAAGGTGCCCGTGACTAGGAAGTGAGGAGTGGTTGCATAAAAAGTCAGGACAGTGGTCCCTGCAGAGCAGGGAGAGGGTCATCAGTGAGAAGGGAATTCTGAGGTGCTGGCAGTGTAAGCAAGCGGCAGTGACATGTGTGCCCTCTTTATATAAATCCGTTAAGGTGTGGTTTCAGTTTCTGCATCTTTTTTTTTTTCCCCCCAGCAAAGGGTCTTTAAATAAAAGATCAGTCTTGCAAGAAGCTCATACAGTCCAATCCTTACTCGGATACCTATCTCCAGATACTTTGCTTGGTCTAGCGTATCACAAAAGTAGAGCCCACAGTGACCTATTAATGTTTGGTTTTACTTTAGTGTTTGTAAAAGCAAATATTGGTAGTTTATTTCCGATGATTTCTGAGTTCAAGTTTGATATTTATTTGGTATGAAATGGGCAGCGCATGACAAGACCCAGGAATCACTCTGAAGTCCAGCGTCACTCACCAGTAACCACTAGCAATCCGACTTTAAATCAAATGTCTATGAAATAATGAAACTGGCGGGACTCAGTGGCAGACAGACTCTCTGAGACGGTCTCATGACCCATGCCTCCTGGTGCTCACGCCCTGGTACACTGCTTCCCGAGTGTAGGTGGGACTTGTCGACTCGGTTCTAAACAACAGGAAGCAGCCCAGGTAGGAGGATGTTTGTGATGATGCCACCTAACACTTCGATGCCAGTCTTGCTAGGGACGTACTCTTGCTGCCCCTGATGAAGCGCTGCCTACAGCCAGAACCCCGTAGAAAGGAACCGAATTCTGCCAAGGACTTGTGAGCATGCAAACGAATGCCCCTCCGTGTGAGCCTCGGCCGACACTCTGGCTCCGGCTGCACCCGCTCTGCCGCCCGGCAGAGGCCACGTGAAGCTCGGCCCAGACTCCCGAACCCGAGAAACAGAGACAACCGTTGTTTCGAGTCACTAAGCTTGCAGCAATGCTGTTATGTAATAGAAAACACAGAATCCTTGCGAAAATCCACGATTTTTCCAAACCCAAAATACCTGACAAAAAGTAAAACCTCATCTTGTCCCATCATCTTCTCCATAAACTTTGGGTTTTCACAGGGTATTTTGAGAACACGATGAGAGGTCACGAGCTGGGCCGACTGCCACAAATGCATCTCACCGGACACCACGTAGCTACCAAAGGCATTTCATTGCTGCAGGTGCCTAAGGGCAGTGCACTTCCACCTGTCAAGCGAACACTGCTTGTATTTTAAAAATCAAGTATGCAGAATACAGGAGAAAGCTCTTTGACGTTTAAATGTCTATTTTTCCCTACTATTCCCCCCACCAGCGTCATTCCCCCTAACACACCAAGTATGCAGTCCGCACCCAAAAATTCTCACCAGTTCCTTGATTAGTGACGTCTACGAGACACACAAGCAACAGATGCCTGGACGTGAACAGGCTGAAACGTCGAGTGCCCCCACACCCTAACGAAGAAACTGCATTCATAACAGCATTTGCACTCTCAGTACTCTCAATTATTTCATCTCAATATAATTCATTCTACCTCACCCGCTTACAACTTACTCTGGAAAAAGAAAGAAATTATTGGCCCCGACTTACAAATTTAAAGTAAAAACTACTTTGCTATTTTTTTTTAAGGAGGTGGGAACATTTCAGCCCACTTGTGAGCATGTCACGCCATGAACACGTACACACTGGACACGCCCATGTCTGCCCCGTGGGAGTTTACGCACTTCTCTGCAGTACAGTACGTATTATAAAGACACTTCCCCAGGCCACCACACACAACACACAACAGGCAGGTATGGTCTCCTTCAGGGTCTGTGGGCGACCAGTTCCAGGACCCCCAGGACTACCGAACCCTGCAGACGCTCCAGTTTCTTACATAAAATGGCGCAGTGTTTAGGCACACGCCACACTGGCATACAGGCGACAGCAGGGCATGCCTACACTTCATTTACGTGGACTCTGCATCCTGCTGGGGGCATGGCAAAGTCATGTTTTGCTTTTTTCCAGAACATTCCAGGATTTTCCCATTTGGACCTGCAGCTGGTGGGACCTGCAGATGTGAGACCCACGGATACGGAGGGCCGGCTGTGCCGGGTACAGGTTCGGCGAGAGCTAAGGCTGAAGCAACGAGCACTGTCAAGGAGGCCCTCTCTTTCAAGGTTCAACAGCTGGTGGATTCTAAAGGAATGTCTGACAGAAATGCCTGGAGGGAGAAAGAGGGTGTTACATTTTAAAGCAGCTAAGGGCCATGAGAACACACAAGTTTAGCGAGCAGACCCTCGGTCATCACTAGTGAGAGGAGAGTGAGGGGAAGCCGGGCTCTGTTTGTGGGCAGGAGCTTCAACACACAACCCGAGTTCCATAGGCTAATTTTGCTACAGTTCATTTTCAAACCTCAGTCTTAGGAATTCTTAACATCAAAGTAACAAAAGGTTCATAAAAATTACTCACTCTTTTCATTCTCTCTCCAATTCACAGACTCCACTAAATTGCCTGAATGCAGAGCAGACATAATCTTCTGAGCAACACTGGAGAGTGGTATCTGACAGAGATCAAAGCCTACAAACGCCTCATAATTTTCCATTTTCATAAAATCCTAAATGTAAGATAAACATAATACCTATATATTAATTTTGAGACTTCAAAATAAGATACAGTTTGAAATCTTTTTATGTACTGAGACTTTCATAAAAAATTACTGTATTCACCACCACGAGGAATAAATTTTCCCTGTAACACATTGCATAGCAAGAAGAAAGCAATGGTTAGAGGCTCATTTAGGGTATTACAATAAACAAGTAACAAAGTAAAACACATTTTTTAGTTACCCAATTTTGAAGCAAGTGATTTACTCAAACACCACCTGAGGTTTGAAACAGCTGTTATCATCTGCTAGCACACAGATTTACTAACAAAATTATTTTTAGCTGACTTGCATGACACACCACCTGACGTCTTTTCACTGACACTGCTCAGCGATACTGGCCCTGGGGCTGGGCAGGTGAAGGTCTGGAAGAAACAGTACAAATCATCAAGTAGTTGGTCAGACATCTCACATATTTGTCCCTAAACAGAATTTGCTCTTAGGCAAGAAACCAGGTGACACCTTTTTTTCCATATTACTTAAGAAAAAATTTAATTTATTGCAAGGTAGAATAAGGGAAAAAAGGAACAAAAAACTGAGGAGCTAATAGCAGAACTTAGATAAAATTCTTTTAAACATTTTTTTTTGAGAATCATCGATTAGTTGATTCTTGCACGCCCCGGACTGAGAACCTGGCCCGCAACTCAGGCACGTGCCCTGACTGGGAATTGAAACAGCAACCTTTTGGTTCGCGGGCCTGGGCTCAACCCACTGAACTATACAAGCTTGGCTAGACAAAATTTTTGCTACAAAATTTTAAGACTTCATAAACTTTTAAATAATGTACAAACACTAACTGGCAAAACATCTTTGCTCAATGGATTGAAAAAATTATCAGTGCTCATCTGTCACCTACACATACCCATTTTGATAGTGATAGTTGAAAAATTCCATAAAGATCACCTATAATACAGTTTTTAGATGTGAAGGGCAGGTAATATATTCTTGGAGCAAGAATATTCTTGCTGTATCTTTTCTCTATAAAGCTTACATGGTATATAACACAGGCCACGTATAAATCAGGCAATAAAGCATTTAATGTAATAACTGATAAATTATTTTATACCAACTCTTAAAATGATTTCTGTGCCCCAGCTGGTGTAGCTCAGCGGACTCAACACCAGCCTGCAAACCAAAGGGTCGCTGGTTTGATTCCTGGTCAGGGCACATGCCTGGGTTGCAGGCCAGGTCCCCAGTAGGGGGTACACAAGAGGCAACCACACATTGATGTTTCTCTCCCTTTCTCCCTGCCTTCCTTTCTCTAGAAATAAAATCTTTAAAAAATAAAAGAATGTTTACTATACTTAAGAAAAATGATCTCTAACTGTCCAAATACTACACTTGTGTCCCAACTACTATAGTCAACGTTTAAGTATTTTTGCACCAAAGAAACTGATTAGAATAGCATTATGCATCCCTTGAGCAACCACTTCAATGGAATTTTGAAATTTCATTTGAAAGTGTAAGCCACATTGAAATCAAATAACTGCTGAAATGTCTTACAAAAAATTTAGGACCTCAGACCCAGCCTGTAAAAGGAACAATGGCAAACAGAGACTTGACATTTGTTGTGGCGTAAGTAAGAACATTACGAGTCTCAAAGTCTACAAAAGAAAATTACGAGAATACAGATAGAGTAGCAGAATTTTATTTTACAGTCAAATATAGACTTGGCTATTCCATATAATAAAGTCTACAGCTTTAACAATGTTGATTCAAAGGACTATGAAATTTTAAAATACTTAACAGCAAAAAATTCCTATTTCTAAAAAAAAAAAAGAAATTAGTAGAGGTACAAGTCTATTTAAAAATATTTGCATTCTACAATATAGTAGGAACCCACGCCCCCAGTCCACAGGGAATTCATTCTAAGACCCCTAGTGGATGCCCAAAACCACAGAGAACCCTACAGATGCATTTTCACTTGAAGAACTTCACGGCTTCTCTTCACCATATCCAAATTGCCAGCACCACTGGTCTTGCACTTCGGGGCCATCGTTAAGTAAATTAAGGGCGACTTGGACACAAGCACCAAGACACTGCAACAGCTGATCTGGTAACCAAGACAGCTACTAAGTGACTAACGCACAGGCAGCACACGGTGTGAAAACGCTGGATAAAAGGATGATTCACGTCCAGGACTGGATGGAGCAGGTCTCACACTATCCAGAATGGCGCACAATTCAGAACTTGTAAGTTGTTTACTTCTGGAATTTTCCATTTAATCTTTTCAGACCATGGTTGACTGCAGGTAAATGAAATAGCAGAAAGCAAACCTGGAGATAAGGGGGCTGCTGCTGTAATGCTTTTTCCCTACGTGTAAAAAAGTCACCAGGTCCAAGTGCCACCAAGCAAATGTTCAAGTCATAGAAAGCGCGGGTGGTGCTCTGAATGTAAGCGTTATATAAAGAAGAAAACAAGTTGATGTAAATCTTGAACTCATTAAATATTCCACTGATCTCAAGTTTTTAAAATTTTAGTAGTGTTTATTAGCTACATTCTCCTCCTAATGTGTAAAATATTAAACACTTGTAGTAAAGATTCAGTTTTTAGTAATTTTCAATCTTTGAGACCAACGGCCTTAATCTTTGATTGGTTTTCTAAATTCTCAACGATATTTTTCAGATAATCTTCATCTTTTAAGAAATATACATATAATTCTCTTTCCACTTGAAGCAGTTTATTAGATGCCAAAATTTTTCTCTTTGTCTTCACATCGGCAAGAGTATCAGTAAGAAGATGATTTAGCTTATTCAGTTGAGACTCAACTTGATGAAATTGCTCTGTTAACTCCTAAAAGGAAAATAAAAATTGCTTTTAATGCAAGAGCTCTATTTGTAACACTAATTATAAATCTCAAATGTAATTTACATGAAAATATAAATGATATTCCCAGTCACAAAATTTTATAAAACAATTATCTATTGAATCAAGACAAAAATCAGTAAAACGAGTTTTAAAAACCTGATCACAGCTACCACTTCACACCTATTTGGATGGCTATTACATATTACATATTTTTAAAAAGGAAAATGAAAGTGTGTGCAAGGACAGGGAGAAACTGGAACCCCTGTGCATGGGAATGTAAAAAGGTGCAGCAGCTGTGGAAACGTTTGACAGTTTCTCAAAAGAGTTAAACATGGAATTACTATGTGATACTGCAGTTCTACTCCGAGGTATTTCCCCAAGAGAAATGAAAGCAGGGACTCAGATACTTGTGCACCAATGTCCACAGCAGCATTTCCCCCATATGGATGAAACTTAAGGACACTATGCTGAGATGAGCCGAACACAAAAGAATATTCTGTAACTCCCTTTAATGAAGTACCTAGAGTAAACAAATGCAGAGACAGAAAAATGGAATACAGGTTATCAGGGCTGGGAAGGAGGAGGAGTGGGGGTTGAAGGAGATGGAAAAGTTATGGAAATGTATACATAGTGGTCATGGTTGTCAATGTACTTAACACCACTGAAATGTACACTTAAAAATGGCTAGAGCTGTAATTTTTACATTCTGTATATTTACCACAAATAAGTAAAGAATGAAAAATTTTTGCTTACCAGAATTTTAAAAATCATTAAAAAAAAAGACAACTACTCACAAGCCTTCCTGTTTCAAGGAAAGGTAGGCTAGTTATTCAGATCAATCCTCCAACAGGAAAAAAATGTAAAAGGCAAAGTATTTTAAAAATCAAACAAAAGCTTTCTGCCCTGGCTGGTGTGGCTCAGGGGACTGAGAGCTGGCCTGCAAACCAAAGGGTCACTGGTTTGATTCCCACTCAGGGCGCATGCCTGAATCCGGGGCTAGAGCAGGTCCCCAGTGGGGGGTGCGTGAGAGCCAACCACACACTGGTGTTTCTCTTCCTCTCTTTCCCCCTCCCTTCCCTACTCTCCAAAAATAAATAAATAGAATCTTTAAAAATAACAATGATAATAATAAAATCCTAAAAGAAGCCAGAAACAAAAGAACTATAAAAAGACAAAAGACAAGCCACAAATAGGGAATATGTACATGCGCGCGTGCACACACACACACACACACACACACACACACACACACATATATAAAAATAACAAAGGATTGGCATTTAAAATAGATTAGTATCCCCTACAAATGATTTTTTAACGGACCTAAAACAAGCAAAGGAGATGAACAAGCAATTTTCAGAAAAAGATGAATGGCCAGTAAACAACTGAAAGGGAGCAAAACCTCCCTTTTAATCAGAAAAATGCACATTACAACACCAGTGGGATGCTATTTTGTAACCACAGATTGAGAGAAGTGTTAAATCAGACAATGCTATGTGATGAAAAGGACACGGACAAACAGCATCTGTTAGACAATGCCGGTACAATGCGGCTCAACTACTCTGGAAAACAATTTGATGAACACTGTGACAGTGCACCTATGATCCGGCAATTCCATTTGTGAGAGAGAGTAAGAATGAGTGTGTATGTGTGCATACACATGAATGTGCAACTATGGGACATGCAACAGGACTATCCATGGCAGTGTGATCTACAATAACGAAAACTGGAAATAACACAAATGTCAACAGAACAGATAATTAAATCATGGGGTTTCATACAATGGAATATTAAATATATAAAAGAGAAAGCCATAAATGAGCTACAGCTTTGCATACATCTACACAGATGAATCCCAGTATCATTAAAAAACAAACAAGTTACTGAAGAGCGCATACAAAAATAATATGCATATAAAGTTCAAAAATATACAAGACAAAACAATATATAGTCTAGGAATAGATAAACGTAATAAAACTATAAATAAAAGCAAGAAAATGATAAAATTGAGCATAGTATTTGCTCCTTGAAAGGAGGGGAATGCTCTTAGGAGGAGCACGCTATCACTAAGTGTACACAGTATTTTAACAATACCATGCCAATACTCTATTTGCTAAGAGGTGAAAAAAATACAAGAGTGGTTTCATTACTTTTTTAAATTCTTAGCACTAGCATTACATTTTCTTGTATGTCTGAAATACTTTATAAATTTTGAAAACTGTGCACACTATCAAAACTGCCTGAGGAGTATATTTATATGTGAAAAAGGTCGACATTTTTTTTTACTGTGGCAAGTACCCACCTGATCACTAAGCAACAGCTGGTTTCTTCCTTGATACAAAATATCACAAAGCAAGTCCACATCATTATTCAGTTTGGACAGAAAGAAAGAATGTTCTTGAGCAGATACTGCCAGCTGGTCTTGTACTAAAGAAACATCATGTTTTAATTTCTCAGCCACTTCCTCCAGGTTTTTATGGGTTATAAACAATTCCTTTTTCTTATTCTCTCCTTCTAAAAGTTGATACAACCTAAAATGTGAAAATAAAAATTAGAGGGAAAAAATCCTCAAATCAGTAGTTTTCAAAATTATAATCCACTGCATTGGGGCATCTTTGTGCACAGCTAACAACTTAAAAATATTAATCTGCCTGCTGTTAAGCCAAGTAACTAAAAACACTGCAACGAAAATACTCTCCCTAGAAAAATATATACTCAAATTATTGTATCTGAAGCCCCAGTTTTCCTATATAAAAAATAAAATTCTTCTTTAACTGCCATTAACCTACTTCAGACAATGGACATTTCAGAGATACCTCCAGGGAAAACACTTCTTCCACAGAACACACCTAAGTTCTGGCTGTTCTGGGAGACGGAGGTCAGGTCAACCTGAGACTTAATTTTCACGTTACTATCTACCTATGTTAAAGGACTATTGTTGATTTAAAAGAGATAATTTGAAAATATAAAAAATGTAAAATGTGTAAAAAGTAAACAATAAAGAGCTACATAAACAGAAACCGCAGCCCTATCTATGTCTCGTTTCCTTCAACAACAACAGAGGATCAGATGATTTTCCTCTGGCCCTGGAGAAAAATGAGGAGCAGGATCCAGACTTTTGAGGCCTCTGACTAGTTTAGCCCACCAGTTTCAGCACCCCCACACCATCAAACTGCTTCAGACATCCAGGAAAGGTAGGGAGCTAGCACTCATTCTCACCGACTCAGTTGCCTAGACACAGAACTGGAGTCCTCCCTCTACTGCCACCTTCTCCGAAGGTAGTCACCTACTGTGCACCACCCTGTGTTCAAACTTCCTGCGGTGGTTAAACTCCTGCCCTAAATTTAAAGTGAGACATCTCAATAATGGTGTTCAAGGTGAGTAGGACCTGGTGTGTAGTCACGCCTCTGACCCAATCCTCTCAGCTCTACAGAAGCTACTTCCACATTTAACATAAATGGTAAAGGGAACAAAAAAATTAAAAGGAAAAAAAAAAAGGCACATAAAAGTGGGAGAATAAAAAGGCCAAAAATGGAGTGCAAAGAATTTTTTAACCTTCCCTAATTTCAGTTCAAACTAGTATCCTACAAAAGGAAAACCACCACTCAGCACTGAAACAATGACGCGCACCTGTGAGCAGAATGATCCTTGGTGTCGATGGTATTCCTGGGGTTTCCCTGCTGAGATACTGATGGGTCAGCTAGCACTTCTAATCGCCGGTGGAGTACCGTGTTACTTTGACTCAGTTCTTGAACCAGGTTTTCAAGTTGCCGATGTATGTCCCGATGCTTTCTCAACTCAATTTCATACGATAACTGCAGAAGTTCAAAAGATGCCTTTTGCTTTATCAACTGATTTAAAACGAACTCTTGTCTTGCTGTATAATAATCTTGCTTGGCAATCTGTAGATCAAAATCTCCCTTTACAACGGGCATGTTCAGTAACTGGGCATTCTCTTTTATCACAGCAGGCAAGGTGCTCTCTTTTATATGAGTGATCTGTTCTTCAAGTTTCAGAATATGACTGCTCAAGCTAGAAATTTTAGCTTCCAAATCCTCTTTTCCAAGAGCCTACATAAAGAAAGCAATGACATTTCACACTGTATGTATGCAGTTCAAAGTTTTAAAACTAGTTTCACTTTCCATTTTAGGTTAACAGATACCGTGCTCAATAAAAAAAATAAACAACTTCCTATTAGCAAAAGCCAAAGTCACAGGAAAGGTGCGGACCGAGTCCAGGGTAGAGCCCACACGAACTGCTAAACTGGAACACGAGTGCCGCCACACACACACAGTCCTGGCCGCCAAACACAGGGAGCTTGTCACACTGGCCCCGATCAATAAAAACCATCAGCACACTACTCGATGACTGCGAATGCATGCTATTTAATTTCGTTTTCAAAATTAAAATAATCTCAGTAGCTGTTCTGCCAATTCTGTCCGCTGCTTTTGGCAATTCTGGAGAATGACAGCACTGCAGACGTCATTGCTCCGAAGTCCGCCAGCTGGAAGTGCCCAGCTTGTTACTGGTACTCGGTTCCAGACAGCCCCGCGCTCGCTCGGCCAGCCAGGGCTCAGACGGTCCAGAGGCACGCTCTCCAGGACAGCACTCGGGCACCTGCAGCACACCCACCCGCGGGCCCCCGGAGCCAGGGCCCAGGGCGCCGCGCCGCTCGGAGCACACGCCGCAGCGGACAGAGCCCAGCACTAAGGTCCCCCGCGCAGGCAGAGGGCACTCCCGCGTCGGCGCCAACCCGAACCCGAACCCCAGCACAGAGCACTGCCGTTTCAAGTCAGGGAAGCGACGCGGCGGGGACCGCTTCTGCGCCCCACTAGTCGGAGGGTCCGCCCGCAGGAAACGCGGACACACGCGGACACACGCCCGACCACGCACTGGCCCTACAGACAGGGCGCGTCCCCGGGGCTGACGCGCGTCCCCGGGGCTGACGGTCGCGGTGGGAGCCCGGCCCGCGCCCGCACTCGCCCGCACTCACCTGGGCCGCGGGGCGGCGAAGGGCGTCCTCCGCCCACTCGATCCGCGCCTCCAAGCTCCGGTTGCTGGCCCTCAGGTGCACCGCCTGGTGCTGCGCGCAGACGAACGCCAGCCGCAGCCGCGCCATCTCCAGCCGCCTCGCCTCCACGGCCTCCGGGCTGGCGCTCAGGGCCGCGGCCCGAGGGTCCACGAGCTGGAAGTTCTCCTCGTTGGAGCTCTCCACGACCTCCCGCGCGCCCGGGAAGAACTGGGTCTTGGTGTACCGGGCCAGCGCCGCGGTGCTCTGCTCCTCCCGGCCCAGGTACTTCTCCGGGGAGCACTGGTACAGGAACACCGGCGGGCCCGCCCCCGCCCCCGCGCCCGCGGGCGCCCCGAGGAACGCCGCGAGCTGGGCGACCGCGTCCGCGGCGGCCCGCAGCGCGCCCCCCACCTCCCCGCTCACGGAGCGCAGAGCCCCGCGACCCCGCCTCAGCGCCTTGGCGGCCGCCGCCTCCTCGGCGCCCAGCCGCGCCGACGCGTGCCCGGCCGCCGCCGCCAGCAGCCGCCGCTGGTCCCGCCGCCGCAGCCGCAGGCTCCTCAGTTCCCGCAGGGCGCGCAGCTCGCGCTCCAGCGCCTCCACCTCCGCGTCGCGCGGCGCGGGCGCCCGCGGGGCCGCGCAGGTGCGCAGCGCCTCCTCCAGCGCCGCGCCCTCCAGCACCGGCCGGCCCGCGCCGCGCAGGCGGCCGAAGGCCTGCAGCTCCGCCTCGGACAGCACGTTGCGCTCGCTCACGCTGCCGCAGAACCAGCGCAGGAAGGGCTCGCCGCCGCCGGCCTCGAACAGCCAGTCGAAGTCCTCCGCGTGCAGCGACTCGGCCTCGGGGTAGCCGATCCTCCTCAGCGTCTCCACGAAGTCTCTCCCGCAGCTCATGGCCGCGCGCCGGCGGGCTGCCGTCCCGACCCCAGACCCACGCGAGACCCCCTGCGCGCCCCGTGCACGGGGGGGGGGCTTTCTAGGGCCCGCGGCGACCTCTCCTAGGCGAGAAAGACACGGGCGTCAGGCGGCGCGCCAGCGGGGCGGCGGCCGGCGCGGAGGGCCCCGGCGGAGGCGGAGAGCAGCAGCAGCAGCAGCACGAGCCGCGAGGAGAACCCCTCCCGAAAGAGGGGGACCCCGTCTCCCGAGAGCCGAGGCGGCCCGCGACGCCGCAGAGCAGCGGCCCCGCCCCGGGAGGGCGCGGACGCCGGCGCTGCGAGGCGGCTGAGGACGGGCGCTGTCGGCCCGCCGTCCACTCGGGACCCGCCGGCCCCGGGACCGAGCCGTCACGAAGCAAAACACCCCCCGAGGGGCCCGCGGCGGCGGCGCCCCGCCCGGCTGCAGCGCGGAGCCCTCCGGGCGGGTCCTCGGCTCACGGCGAGTGCGCATGCTCGCACGGCGCGCCCGCCAACGCCGCCGCCTCGCGCGAAACACAAACCGCGCAGCCCCGTCAGGGCGGACGGGCTGGCTCTGCGAAGCTCCGCGTCCCCACCGCGCCTCGGGCCCGCGGGGGCCGGGCTTCCCGACCCGCAGGCTCTGGCTGAGCCGTGCGGGCGCTCCTCGCGCTGCTGGAAGGAGCCCCCCAGGGGCGCCCGGAAAAAGAGGGGGCAGCGGGGGGTCGCCGCCGCTCCTACAGCTGCGCGCCGCCCAGAATTGCGAGGCCGGCGCCGCTCACCTCAGCGAGTCCCGCTCGCGCTCCCTCAGCGACCGCCGTCCGCGCCGCGCGCTCCGCGCCTCGCACTGCCTCACGGGAGCGCGTCACCGCGCGTGCGCAGAGGACCCAGTCGGGGCTACAAGGCGACAGTCTGTGCTCCGCCGCAGAGGGCGGGCGACGACTCTCAAGGCCAGAGCTGATTGGCTTTCTGCTTTCGGGGCGTGGCCGCGGCGGAGGCGGGGCCGCAGCGCGCATTGGGCGGAAGAAGAAGTCATTGGGAAGTTCGGCCTCTCGCTCCCGGCTCGGGCGTGGAGTCCTTGCACCCCGTCGACGCGTGCCCTTCCTGGACCACGGACCCCTCCGTTCGTTCAGCTCCTTGCACTTTCGCACTCAAACTCCCGCACCCTAATGACAGGCTTTTACAGGACGGCTCGGCTGTCAGCCGCGCGGACAGAGCCAGCCCTTCGGCTCGCCACGTGACTCGGCAGCCCTGACTCAGCGCCGGTCTCCGGTCCTAGCGGTGCCGAAGGGGCGCTTCCTGGGAGAGGTGGAGGGAGTGAGCAGATCGTGGGTCTGAAGCCATCGGAGCACTGCTGGGTGGTCTGTTTTATTACTCGCTTTACAGTCTCTTACCATGAATATTATTTCGCAATCGCGGTTTGAGGGTCAGTCTTCGACTAAGCGCTAAGCCAAAGCCGACGTCCTCCACAATCCCGTTTTCAAAACATCGCTTCCCAAGGCGTTGTAAACTCAATATGCAACAGTGTTGCTAGAGGATGCCAGAAGCTAGCGTGTGTAGGCAATGAACGAAAGAACGAACGCCCTGAAACAGGTGGCAAAGTCCATGAAAACCTGGTTGACGCCCCCTCCCCCGCCCCCTCCACTGTACCCAGACCTTTGGGATTCTCCTTCGCGCTGAACGGAGCTCATTTACATCTCTACCAGACCAAAGCCTTTTCACTTCCCAATCAACTGCAGATCCAGGCCTGATGATGCAGGGTTCTCCCCACACCGCCAGCACCAAATGGTTAAGATGGCTGGTTGGACGACGTCCTCGCCTAGTTTGACATTGGAAGGGCACAAGTCTTTCTGCCTAATTTTTCTAAATTTGTTTAAGGAGAGGGGAGAGAAAGCTGTTCCAAGGCAGATATCGCAAGTCTTGAGTTGAAAATACTTAGTTAATTCACTTTACTTTTTGTCCTTCTAAAAAGACAAAGCCTGAAATGATCGGAAAAACAAACACGGGGAGGGGTCACGGGGCGGTGCCCCGCCTGAAATGGGGGAGGAGGTGGGTCCTGCGAGTGAGCTTCTGCGGCTCAGTTAGAGCCGCCGGCCGGGAGGAGAGGGATGGGGGCGGGGGAGTGGGGGCAGGGGACAGGAGACGGGAGCCCGGTCGGCTTGTGTGGAGGAAGTGAAGGCTGTGCGGGCACTGCCCTCAATTCTGCTGAGGAGGCAAAGGCTGAAGAACAGAGAGAAGGGGCAGAAGGACAGGAGGTGCGGGGGTGGGAATGCAGAGCAGGGGGGAGGATTTGGGCTCGGGTTCGTTTTAAGATGGGAGGAACTGGGGGATATTATAGACTTAGAGGAGATAAGATGCCAGGAAGAAAGGGGGCTACTTTATAGTGATATCCCTAGGGGACGGGAGGGTGAGCCCCCACCCATGCACATGCGGTTATTCTAGAAGCCCACTCTTCCTAGTGACTCCCGGGTCATTTCCTGCGCCCACAAATTCTCCATGTGATTTTGAGTTACTGACTGTAGTTAATTGTTTGAACAATGTTAGTGGGGCCAAAAAACCCCATAAACTATAAAGTAAAAATCAGTGGTATTAGTCCCCCCACACACAAATTACAAACACAATAGGTTCGACTATACAGACTTAAAACGTTTTCTTTGCATACATTAGGGTATTTCTGCACTTGAGGCTGCATCTGGAATTGAGGAAAACAAACATGTTACCCTTACTTCCAGGACAAGCACCCTTTCTTCCAATCGAAATCACCTGCGGTTTCAGCGAGGGTGCTTACTGAGTCCCCAGCCAGGGCCCCCAGGGCCAGGGGATGTAACAGACTAAATAGACCTGCACAGAGCTGTAGGGTCTAGTGTTTTTGTTTGCTTTTTCTCCTTCCTGTAGGAGTCTTTTTTCCTCTACCGCTATTGAAAAAGTTTTTAAGTTTGGGACGGTGTCTTTTCGGAGCTGTTTAAGCCATAGCCTGATGTTACAGAGCGTTTGCTTTTAGATGTCATGTTCAGTGATAATGGCAGGACTCCATTCTTCAAACAGTGGGGAGTGGGGACCCTGTCCGAGGAGGGGAGTGACATTCTGAGGCTCGTCTCACCAGCTGGATTCTGCAGCACCAAAAGTGACGAAAGGCAGTGTGAGACAGGGGCAAGGTGCGGGAGGGCCTCCTGGCTTGAGGGGGCCCAGCTGGAAGCAGCACTTCTTCCTGTTCGTCCCTCCCCCTTGCGAAAGAGAGCAGATCTGCTCATCCTGTGGGGTTGGAGGAGGGTGGGAGAGGAGTTTGTCTTCGATCGCTTCAACATTCAGGTGACAACGGTGAAAGAAACCTCAGTCCTCAGACTTGGAGCTCACCAAGATGGGCTGGCGAGGACAGGGCCCGGGGGGCGGGGGGGGGAGCAGGACAGCTGTGGGAGTGAGGGGGCAGCCGTGGGGCCCGGGAGGGGGGCGTGTGGTCTCATAAAGAGCCTTAGGAAAGGCTGAGGAGGCAGGAGGCAAGGAGGCAGGAGGAGCTGAGAGCCAGCCACCATGAGCCAAATGGGCACGTGGCATAATCCCACTTACATTCTGGGAAGACCCCATAGGGCTGGTGTGCCCGGGGACCTGGCCTAGCTCCAGACCGGGAACGAAGGAAACAGCATAGAAAGGGGCCTCTCTCTGATTCGCCCAGCACCCAGTTTGGGCGGCCATCAGCCCGACCAAATTGGGATGGAGAGAAGTCTGGGCGGCTCAGGGCCCGACTCCCAGAGGAGGGGTGGTGGCAGCCAGGAGCGGGGGGCGGGGGGCGGGGGGGCAGGGAATCGGAGGAGGGGTGGGCTCTGCTGAAGGCACAGGAGCAGATGGGGAAGAAGCAGGCATCTGGCTCATTCCTGGAGGTGACAGGGGCAACGCCAGCACCAGCGTCACCCGGGCACCAGGAAGACAGGCTCAGGCATCCCTCTCGGGGGCGTGTGCTGGAACCCAGGCCTGAAATGTGGAGACGGAGTCTGCGGATTTCGGTCAAGTGCGGAGTGCGGCTCCGAGAGCCCTCCTGCCCTCAGTGAAATGTGGTGGCGATTAAGTCACTGGGCATTCAGACGTCCCCCTTTGTGTTGGAACCCAGCTGCGTCACCCAGTGGGAAGCCCCTCCTTTTCCAAGGGTGCCCACAGGGGGACCCACACTGGTTCCAGAGGCCAGAGTGCTGCTGCTGTGGGAAAGGAACTTAGATCCCCCAAGACACCCCAAAACCACCTGTGGGTCTCCTCGAGCCACCTCCAGTCTGGGTTGGCAGCCCGTGTGGACTGCCCGACTCTCCGTCACTCCAGGCAGGCACCTCTTCCCCACCCCCTCGCCCTCCGCAGGGGGCAGGGGGGCCATACGGTCTCATGCCCCCTCTCTGCACTGCAGGCCCCAAGGGCGGGAGACAGAGGCCACGTCTGGGACGTCCCGGGGATTCTGAGGACAGGTCCAAGGAGGGTTCTCGGATGCATCCGAGAGGGCCAGCAGTGGCCGCACAGAACGGCCCTCGGAGGCAGGCCAAGGGCACGTGCTGAGGGTACCGGGGCAGCACGCAGTACCTTCGGGGCTGAGCGGCCCTCAGCAGGCAGTGCCCAGCCACAGGGCCAGAGATGAAGCCGGGGTGCCTGCCCCCACAGCGCCTGGTTGTCAGACAGGTGTGGGGGGTGGGGGGCATATTCCGACTCGACCTCCACCTGCATTGAGGTCCAGCTGCGACTGTCCAGGGAGGCGGGGTGTCTCAGTGGTGCCACCCAGCAGGAGCGGGAGGACCACGGGCCAACAGGTGCCCAGACAGCCAGGGCCTGGGGCAGGGGGGAGAGGGCGGAGAGGCCCCCCCCCCCAGGGGTGAGGGGAGAGTCGAGCATAGTGATGGAAAAGAACCGGAAGCCACAGGGGAGAGGTATAAAAATCTGTATTTATATTACAAAGACAGAACGGTACAGCACAGTCCCTCCCGACGAGCAGGTGGGTGAGTGACCTGTGTCTCTCCAGCGAGGATCTTGTTATGTGCCCACCTGGCCAGCACCAGGCCTTCTGGGCAGCCCCAGACTCTGGCACGGAACCTGCCCCAGGGCCCTGGACATGGCCCAGGTCAGAGTCCTGTGTGCAGAGTGGTGGGGAGGGGGCCCGGGTAGGCTGGCCCAGGGAGAAGCAGGGGTGGGGAGTGGGGGCAGGCTGCCTGGCCCAGCAGATGGGGATTGTCTAGGGAAGGCAGGAGGAGGGCCCGCAGGGCCACAGTCGGGCACAGGGCGCCAGCCGCCCAGGAAAGCAGGCGTGGGCACCGAGCCTCTGAGACGCACCCTGCAGGGGTGGGCCCAAGGCTCTGAGTAGGGAGAGCCTTCCTGCAGCCGTGCTGGCCAGCTGGGCCTCCACCAGTGTGCAGGCCAGGCGTGTGGGGGCCACCACCCAACGAGGGTGGGGAGCAAACCTGAGCCCAGGGTTCCAGGGTCTCAGCCACCACGGACGACAGGGGCCTGCCCAGGCACGGGAGGGCACACAGAGAGACAGGGTGGCATCCCCAGTGGCTCTGTTCTGGTCCCGTTTGCGTTCTACAGACCCGACAATGCTGAGGTGTGCTCTTAACCTTCCACGTGGCCTCAGCAGGGCCCTCTCTGGGTCCCCTTGGCTACCAACAAGAGCCAACCGGTGCAAACAGTAGGGAGGCAGCGGAGAGGCAACAGGTGTGCACCTCCTAGCACCTGACCCTGGTCCCAAGGACCGCCTCCTCACGCCTGCGGTGCAAGGAGCAGCAGCTGGGACCGCAGCACCCCTGGGTGGCCTGTGAGGCCAAATGCCCTGGCCCATGCGGGAACCACAGCCTGAAAAGCCATGGGCAGAGCTGCCAGTACGGTGGGCCGAGGGCCACAGCTGGTCATGGGGAGGGTGCCGGGGCCAGAGGTGGGGGCAGAACCTTCCCAGGCATTAGGGGTGGGGCGGTGAGCTGGTGCTTTCAGAGTCAGAACACACGCCACCCCGGGGCCTGCCTGCTGTGTCCTGGGGCAGGCTCGTAACTGCAGGTACGCTCCCCCGCCCCGAGGACATGGGGGCTCGAAGGGAATGCGGAGTGAGAGTGGACACGCTCGGGCAGATGGGAGAAGCCCCCCAGGGCCCCCCGAGACCCCAGTGCCGCTGGAAGGAGGCACCAACAGCCCCGACCCTCCAGGCCTGCTTTTCACCCATTCGCCCCGGCCCTCGGGGCAGGTTCTGTGCCAGAGCCGTCTCCAGGGACCCCTCTGCCTCCGCGAGGCCACCCACCCTGGGGCGCCCATCTGTTGGCGAGACCGAAGACAGACACGATCTGGAAATCGGTTACAGTGCACCCGAGAGAGAGGCCGACACTGCTGTGGGCCGGCCCGCCGCCCACCACCTGCATGCGGCTGGGTGGCCCCTGGGGACAAGGACTTCAGGACGAAAGGCCAGGAGCAGCCTTGCGTTCAGGCCTGGCCACCCAGCGTGAACGTTGCTCCGTTAGCTGCCACCGTCTGAAGTCCGGAACCCTCGGCCCAGGCAGGGGAGCAGGGAGGGGTCCTGCTGGGTTCAGGTTAGCAGACCCCTGACCTAGAGGCCTGGCTGCACAGTGGGTCCCTGCCAGCCGCGGGGGCAGGTGACCCTGGGGGCATGGTCATGGCTCCTCCTGCCAGGTGACAGAAAGCAGCCTCTGACCTGGCCCTGCAGTCTCACTGCCCAGAAGGTGCGGCTGCAGGAGGGGCCACTCCAAGGGGAGGGGCCGGGAGGACACCTGCTGGGCAGGCTGGGGTGGGGGGTCCTCCTAGCCACAGGGGAGATGCTGCTGGTGGTGGTCGGGGTGGGGCCAGACAGAGAACACAAGGCACACTTGGATGATGGTGGCAGGCAGGCGAGTCCCTGAGATGCTGGGTCCCTCCCACCCCTCAGCAAACGGGACGCAAGGAGGACTAGGAAAATAGAGTACAAAAATCTCGTACGGGGAAGGGAGGCGGCGCTCACCGTAGACCCGAGAGCCGGCTCCCCTGTTTAAAAACGCGCTCTGTGTCTTTTGGGAAAGCTCCCCTGTTGGGAGCCCTGCTCTGCCGTGCAGCCGCAGGGTTGTTTGTTTTTTGCTTTTTTAACAGAAATGGGAAACCAGAAAGCCCCCTGAGGACCCAGTGGCTCCAGTTCGCGGGCCTCTAGCATACACCTCGGCCTCTGCTGGGAGGTGAAACCCCTTCCCACGCAGACTGGGCGGGTGCATGGGGGTGGGAAGGGAGCCAGGCACGGGCCGGGGGCCAGCGTCCGCTCGGGTGACCCCAGAAGACGAGCCACCCCAGGACCCCTCTGGGCTGGGTTACCGCATGTGACTGTGCGCGTGTGTGCAGGCGGGCGGTTGTGTCTAGGTGCGTGCGCGTGTACACCTGAGGGGCCTAACAAAGCAGAAGCTGTCCAGCTGGGTGTGGGGTGGCCTGGCCTGCCCCGGGAGCCTGGCCCTGGCTCCTGACCCCCTCAGGCGGCAAAGACCCGCCCCCCCTCCTGCCCCAGGGTGCTCACCCGAGTCCCGCCCTTCCTGGATCTCTCTGTCCATGCCTCAGGAGCCTACGTGAACCAACAGACAGATGGACAGACGGACGGACGGAGAGCCACACCTTCCTTCCTTCCTTCCTCAGTCCACTTCTTTCTCCTGGTGTCCGGGGTGGGGTCTGAGCTCCCCACGGCGGCCACTAAGCCCCTCACACGGTGCCCGCCGAGGTTTGCAGCAATGACATTTAATACTTCTGGAATGATTAGGGATCTGAGGACAGACCACGGGCGGCTAGGCTGGGCTCCGGGACTCGGGAGCTGGGCCCGCCTCCCTGCGGGGGTCCCTGACCAGCTGGGAGTGGCGGGCGGCGAGGTGGGCCCTGACCGGCAGGCGGGTGGAGGTGGGCAGCCCGGGCGGCCGCTGGAGCTTCCAGAATGGCACGGCAGTGGGCCCGAGGAGAGGCTGGAGAGGGCTGGAGGGCTGGTGCGCTTGGCTGGGTGGCGGGCGGGCTGGGAGCAGAGGGTGCCGGGCCTACGAGAGGGCGGGGCGGGCGGGCCGCCGGCAGGGGGGCCCGTAGCCGCCACTCTGCAGGCTGTAGTGGTCATCCACGTCACTGTTGCTGCCAACACTGTCCAGCTCGCCGGGGCCAAACTCCATGCCCTCTACATCCACTTCTGGGGGAGCAGAGGGCACAGGGTCAGGGGCCGTGAGCATGCTCTCCGAGCCCCCGACAAAGTCAGGGCAGTGTCTGCCTTTTGTGGAGGCGGCAGAGGCTCCAGGGGTGGGGTGCGGGCAGGAGGGGGCTCCAGCTCCGCGGCTCAGTTGTGGACACCGGCCCCCAGGCACAGCGCCCAGCGGGAGCCCAGCTGTGTCCCTCATGTGGGCAGGTCGCCTGGCCTTTGCGCCTTAGCCGGCTGATCCCATCACTCCTGCCCGGGCTCACAGGAGCTCAGACAGTGCACGGACAGGCTGTCGTGCTGGCATCTGCCGCCCGCTGCCGACTTCCCCACCACTCTCCCCGGCCACCGCCCCGGCCCGCCCCAGCCTCCCAGCTCCCTCTCCCCAGGGGGGGCTGCGCGCAGCCCGTGCCCACCTTGCTCCGAGTCGTCGGTGGAGACAGCGGAGCCGGTGCTGTCCGTGCGCACACGCTCCAGGCTCTGCACGGACAGCTGCTCCAGCCGCCGCTTCAGGAAGCGGTGCTCCCGCTGCAGCTGCTCCTTGATGCTCAGCGCCCGGCGGTCCTGCTCCTCCAGTTTCTGCAGGCGGGGGAGGCCGTGAGCCCGGGGGACAGCCCTGCCCCAGGCCGGGTCCCCTGTCCCCCACCCGGCCTGTGCCCAGTCCCCACGGGCCCCAAAGGCGGGCGCACTCCCGCCTGACCCCAGCTGGGGGGGTCACATCAGACACCCCCTCCCAGCCCTGAACTCTGCCCACCAGCTCAGGAGGCTCCCAGCCGCCGGCCGCCTCAGCCAGGCCGGGTCCCACGGGGGCCTGAAGCCCCTGAGCAGCACTGCTCAGTCCTGGCCAGGCCCCGCCTCCCAGAAGGCCGTGCTGCCCCGGCCACGCTCCCCTGCCCACACGACGCCCATCCGGCCCAGCCCCGCACCCTCTGCACACCGTCCCCGGCACACAGGCTCTGTCTGCTCTGACGTCGCCCTGCCTGTGGGTGCCTGTGCTTGTGGGGTCCTCAGGGGCCTGCAAGGGGGCTGAGACCACCCCGGTTGGCCCGAGTATCAAGGGACCCCAGACCAGCAGCTCTCTGTCTCACTCGGCCGTGCCCCGCGCCAGCCCTCAGCCCCCAGGCTCCCCCACCGCCGGGCACCTGCTTCCTGCAGGCCTCCAGCATCAAACGCACTCTGCCCCCCCGGCCCCCTCTCCTTCTGGCTGCTCTTCACAGCCAGGACCCTGGAGAGCCCACGGTCACCCACCTCCACCTTCCCCAGCCCCACCCAATGACCCCACGTGTGCCCAAGACTTCCTCAACCCTCAGAAGCTCCGGTTGCTGCTCACTGCCCACCCCCAGGCCCCGGATGTACACCTGCTAGGCAGCCCCCCCACCCCACCCTCGGGCCCTGCGGACACGCCCCCAGGTTACAGCTGGATGGGCTGGGTCAGATGAGGCAGCCGGCCAGGGTTGCTGGGGCGGAGGGTGTGGCCCTGCTCACCTTGATGTGCGTCTTGGCGCGCTTAAGGAGGCTCAGCGTGGTGTGGCGGGTGCTGTCGGGGCCCAGGGGCACCAGCTGCTTCAGCTGCTCCAGGTACAGCCTGAGCTTGGCCCGTCTAGAAGAGCCAGAGACAGAGCTGTCAGGTGGGCAGCCGGGCCTGCGGGGCCAGTGGCAGCCAAGCGGTGGAGAGGTCTGAGGGAAGGCTGGAGGCGGCAGGCTGGACCAGCCCCCGAGGCCTGCTGCTGAGGCCCCTGTCTAGTCCCCCCGCCTCGGGGTGGGGGTGGCGGCTCCCCCAGTCTCAGGGCAGCCCGGCACTCGCAGTGTCCCTCCAAGTGTCCCAGCAGAGGAGAAGAACCCGCAGCCGGGCCCCGGTGTCCGGCCGGCCCGCCGCCTCCCCCCCGGGACCAGGGCCAGGCGCTGCCTGGGAGCCCCAGCTCACCCTGCAGTCACTGCCCCCCACAGTGGAGTCGGTGGGCAGGGGGACAGCCTGGAGGAGGTGGGGGAGGCGAGGGTGGGGTGCTGGTCAGGCTGCTCCCTGAGATCCAGGGGCCTCAGGCCAGCTTTATGCCCCCCCCGCCAAGTGCAGGGTGCTCACTGGTCACTTTTGTCACCACAGAAACAGGAGTCCGTCCAGTGCTGAGGCCCAGACCCCCCGCACCCCTCCAGGCTGGCATTCCTTGGGAAACGCTTCTTTCCAGATCTTGTCCCTGTGTCCATGCAGACAGACGCCGTTGTCCCACGACTCTGCAGCCATAGGATGCAGGGGTCCGTCCAGGCCCTCAGGCCGCAGGCCCACACAGATGCCGCCTTTCCCGCTCCCCCAGTCTGGGGAGGGCCGGCGGGCGGACCGGGGGTGGCTCAAGCTCTCCCCACAGCCCACCCAGGCCCCCAGATGCCACGGCCTGGGCCCCACCGGCCCTCACAGGCTGCCGCGCTCCCTGCTCAGGCTCCGTCCCGGGAGAAGAGCCGAGAGGCCGCGGGCTGGAGTGCCCGCACTGCCCGTACTCCTCCTCATCGCCACTCCCTACAGTCCAGGCCCCGGCAGAGCCTCCCTGCTCGGCCTCGGGGACCCTGGAGGAAAGTGGGCAGGTGGCACCAGCTCGGGACAGATGGGCGCCCAGAGCCCAGGCCTGTCTGTCACCCACGTCCACACAGCACCCTCCCGTGATGCAGTGTATCTCACCACCCCCACCCCAGTCCCCTGGGCCCTGGGAGTTCTCTGGATGAAACCAAGTCAGAGCTTTGGGAAGAACTTCCAGGACATGGGACAGAGGCTGCGCCTGGTCGGCCAAGAGGCCGTGAGGAGCCTGGGCCCCAGCAGCCCAGACCTCGGCGACCCGCGTGCAAAGCGGTCCCCAGGCTCTGCCTCCGGCTGCAGGATCTTCAGAGGTGAGCCCCTGCCCCCCACACAGACACACGGCTGGGGAAGGGGGCACGTGGGTGGGCTCGGGACCCACACCTACGGGGCTCCAGCCACCGCTGTGTGAGCCCTGGTCCCCCAGAGTCCAGAGTCCTCGGCCTCCTCGCCCCCACAGCGCCAGGGAGCTTGCCCCGTGGCAGGTGGGCCAGAACTGTGCAGAGCCGCAGAGACGCTTGCTCACCACCCCCTTCCACCTCGCCCCCCCCCCACCGCCACCCAGGGCGCGAGTGGGTTTCCCTCGTCCGCTTGTTCCACAGCAAATGGCAATTCTACCGTTGACACGTTCAACACGCGATCTTGGCGGACCACCAGGAAGATGGTGAGTGAAAGTACCCCTGAACTCCACCCCGCAGAGGCAACCAGCAGTATCATCGTTCCCACCCATTCCGCACGCTCGCATGGTGGACCGGGGCGTGGGGGGGGGGGCCCGGCGCGCGGGGCCCCGGCGCGGGTCAGCGGGAAGTGAGACAGCGGACGCACACGAGAGACTCAGCAGGACACAATGAAGAGCAGGAAGCATGCGTCTCCAGGGGAGGCGGTTGGCAACGTTTATTTCTTTGGTTTTGCGTTTTGTTTCGCGTTTGCGTTTTCCAGGTTTTCTATGCTAAAAAAACCACATCGTACTTTTACAATCAGAAAAAGACACATTTGTACAAAAGAAAGAAAACACAGCTGGAAGACAAGTCACAGTGGAAAACACCCGCGGTACACGGAAAAGACACACGGTTAGTATTCGTGACATTCTGAGCTCGTACACAGCGGAAACAACAAAAGGAGCATCTCGATGTGGACAGGGCCACAGGACACAGACAGGCGGGCTGCGGGACACAGACTGGACACAGAGCCGCCGCCCCCCTGCCCCCGGCTTCCAGGACGTGGGGACTCACCGAGGACGCGCTAGTTTGGACAGAAACGAGGGGGCGCTCGCCGGCTCCGCTGGCCAGCGCGCGGGCCCCTCGGGCTCTGCTGCCGGGCGCAGTTCTGAAGGCCGTCACAGAGACGCGGACCTCCAACCCACACTTCCACGCGATCCGGGTCCCGCAAAGCTACCCCCGGACCCTCGACACGTCCCACGTTCGCTGCAGCCCCGGCTGCGTTGACCAGGTGGCCAGACTAATACCTTGCGGTACAGGCGCTGGTCCTGCACGGCGCCGGGGAGGAGGCAAGCCCGGGGACACAGGGGACAGTGCTCAGGTAGTGCCAGGTGAAAGGTCAAGTGCGGAGACAGTGGACAGTAAGGTCTTGTTCTTACCCAGGTCAGTACCTGCAGGGGAGGGGAGGAGGCGCTTGCAGCCTCCCAGCTGCTCGGGACAGCAGGGCAGGGGGTTGGGGGTTGTGGGGGTCACAGGGAAAGTCCAGGAGCACCCTTGACAGGCGGGACCCATCTGCTCTAGCAATCACCAAGGACACGCTTCTCAACAGACAGAGGCCGCCTGAACATACGTGACAACACGCCCACCCAGCCCTGGGAGCGTGGGTGGTGGGGCCCCACCACTGTGGGGAGTGGACATCCCCAGGCATGCCCTGGGCTGCAGGGTGCTCTCACCAAACCCTCTCGGAGGTGGTCGCAGGGCCAGGCCCCCCGCCAGCGCCCGTGGCTGTCCCCGGTATTCCCAGGAGCTTTGGAAACCCAGCGCTTCCTGGGGGAGCCCCGGGCGGCCGCAGGAGCCAGAGCCTGCCTCTGGGGGTCACTGTGTTCGTGGCAACAGCAGCTCCGTCTCCACCGATGCCCCCCCCCCGCCCCCCCCTCCCGCCCCCGGCCCCGGGCCCTTCCTAGCTCCTCACCGCAGGCCGTGCTCCTCCTCGGGGGCCCACAGCTCCTGGGCAGTGTCCCCCAGCGCCCGAGGAGCAGGGTCCCCACCGTCCACACTCAGAGCGCCCCAGGCCCGGCCGTCCCAGAAGAGGCAGCAGGGGAATGCGCTGGACATGGGGCAGCAAGTGAAGCCCCTTCTCCCCTCCTGGTCACCTGCGTTTTCTGGCTGTGGGGTTGACGCAGGCCGGGAGGGGCCACACAGGCGGGTGTCCCCCAGGCCCTGGACAGGCCCCTCCACGCCGAGGGGAGGGGGCCTCAGGGAGGGCCCTGGGCTGGCCTTTGGGCTGAGCCCTGCGGCTCCACACCACACGCACCGGCTGAAGCCCTGGGCGGGGCCTGGGAGATCGCCCTGTTGGGGAGCAGGAGCCCTCCAGGATCCCCAGGCCTCCGGCGTCGGTAGTCCAACACTGGCCTTAGAGACTGGGCTAGCGGGAGCCCCGTCCGAGAGGCGGGAAAGAGGAGGGACGGCCACCGCGGCCGGCCTAAGCACGTCCCCGCGGCCCGACAGGAGGCATGTCTGGGGAAGACGGAGTCCGGGCCCGCCGCCCCAGAGGCCTGCCGGGTGCTTCCTCCTGCCCTCGGGACGGCACTCGGCCCTCCCTGCGCCCGCGGCCAGCAGCCTTCGGCGTCGGCACCGGGCGGCACAGGCACGGCCACGACCGAGGTCTCCACCGGCACCCCCAGGCCTGTGGGCTCCTCAGGCTGTCCACGCCTGCCTCCTGGCCAGCCAGGAAGACACCCCTGCAGTGGGCAGGGGAGGCCCCCGGCTGCCTAGCCACCCTGCCTCTGTGTCTCAGAAGGGCCCCACGAGGCTCAGCCCAAGGGCAGGCTCTGGGAGAAGGCAGCTGAGGCCAAGGCCAGGAGCAGGGGCGGCTGGAGAGGTCAAAGGCCAGTGCCTGCCCTACTCGGAAGGGCTACCATACCCTTGCCACCTGCCCTCCCCCGGCACCATCACCTCTGTCTCTCCGCACTGAGGGGCAGTTCTAGGCGCCGCCCCAGCAAGCCTTCCCCGGAGTGGCCCACGTGCCTGCTCGGGCTCCTGGGTCCCCCTCAAGGGTCCCCCCTCCCACCTCGGGCCAGCAGCTGCCCCAGGGCCTGCCCGACTGCCTGGGGCCTGCACCTGCCCCACCTCCGCGGCCTCGGGAGCCCCTCAGAGGCACAGGGCCGGTCCAGGAAGTGCAGCTCCTCTAGAGAACACCGTGTCCTGTCCCTGCCCCGCGCCCGCCCTGCGCGGGCCTGGTCCCAGGGGAACGGAAGTTGGCGCTGCCGTGGCCAAGTGTGTGTGTGTGGGGCGGGGGGGGGCCGGCGGGGGGAGGGGGACAGAAAACTGGCCGAGCTCCAAACCCTCCCACAGCAGGCCAGGAAGGTTCAGCTGGAATGCGTACCTCCCCCCAACCCAAGAAGGGAGGGAAGAACTGGCCCATTATACAGATGAGAGCAAAGGTCAAGAGAAAGCTCCAGCACAGTATCCCCAGGGGGTCATCTCTGGTGCTAGCATCGGGGTCCTGCCTGTGGGGTCTTCACGCCCACCCACAACACCCACCGACCTCAAAGATCAGCCCCCAGGGCACCGCCTGCAGGGGCCAAGCCTGTCAGGGCCTCACCCCCACACCTGACGGGGGAAGCCATAGGGCCCGGGGGGGCTGGGGCTGGAGCAAAACACCTCCCTGGGGACTGTGCTGCCCATCCCGCTTCTCAGTGACAAAGGTCCCCCTCCTCCAGGAGGACCCAAGTGGACCTGGCCCTGCAGCCAGAGGGAGGGCATGAAGTGGGCTCCGCTGGGCGTTGCTCTGGACCAGCGCTCCCCACCCGGGGCCCGCATGGCCTGGGACCGGCTGCCGGTCCGTCTGCCCTGCAAACAAGCACGCAGGAGGCCCCAGATCCAAAGGGCTGACCCCCCCCCCCCCCATATAGAGGCCAGCATCTGGAGGTCTAAGGTGCACTCCCTAAGGGACACCCCGGAGCAGATGGATCTCCTCCGCCAGGGAACTGGCCCTAGCTGCCACATGGCAAAAGGACTCTGCCCCAAGTCCCTAACGCCCACCTGGCTCTGGACCCAGATGGACCCCCCAGGCCTGGGCCCCCACCCTTGCCTCCCAGCACAGGAGAGCCTGAGAGCAGAGCCTGGCCTCTTCCTCCGAGACCAGCCGGACCAAGGCGAGGGCACAGCCTGGCGGCCACACCCAGCACACCTGGGGTGACAGGTGGCCGGACGTGTCAGGTAGCTTGCACCCAGGAACTGGGGGTGGGGGCCCGGGGGTCACTTACCTGTGCTTTTCTAGTTCGTTGTGTGAAGACCTGTTCAGAGAAACAGAGAAACAACGCTCACTGCACTGCCCAACCCCCAGAGTGCCGGACGACGGCTCCACCGAGGGCCAGGCTCTACAGCCGCCCGTGGTGGGGCGGGGGGATCTGGGCCCCAGCATAGCCCAGAACAGGGAGCGCCAGCCAAGCAGGTGAGCAGCTGCTGACCGAAGGTTGGGGGGACCTGGCACCAGGGACGAGGACAGGCCACACAGAGGTATGGCCACATCTGGGGTGCTCAGGGCCTGCCAGCTCACCTACTGAGGCATGTGGGGGCTCGGCCTGCAGAGGGGTCCAGGTCCCCTTCCACAAAGGGCAGGTGTGGCCTTGGGACCTGTGGCAGCCAGTGCTGCCGACCCCCCCGAGCTCCCAAAGCTGAGCCACTGCCTGGGCAGGGAGCCGCCTGCCTTCTCTGTTCCCTACGCCCCGAGGCCAGCGGTGTCCTTGGGCCTGCGCGAGCTGGCATGGAGACCAGTGCTCGGGACAGAGGGCGATCCTGGTCAGAGCACCCTCCCACCCTCAGGCTCCCACACGGACACCGTCACGGCCCATCATGCCAACGGGACCCACGGGGACAGAGCAGACCCAGCACCCCGGAGGCCACGCACGAGGCCTTTGAGATGTGGCTGCTTGTGGGCAGTGGGAGACCAAAACTGGCCTTCCACTTCCCTCCAGGTCACAGCTTGGCAGACGTGGCCACCCTGCACCCGAGGCTCACGCACTCGGTCTTGGAGGCTGTGGCCCCATCTGCTGCTCCAGCCCCGCCGATCGGGCCCGCTTAGCCGGAGTAGAGAGTCCAGAGCACTGCAGTGAGCAGTGCCAGGGTCTGCCCTGTGGGACAAGGAGGCATTTCCACGTCACCCCCGGTCCGGGCAGGGACCTCTCAGGCCAGACAGGGCTCCTAGGCTGGCCAGGCTGCCTCCTATGTGAACAGAGACCCAGGCCACCTCGGGGCAACCAGACCTGGCCCTGTGCCTGGGGCTTCTGTGGACCTCAACCTGCCTGCCCGCCTGCCCGCCCTCAGGTTCTCCTGCTCCAGACACTCAAGATGAGGCATCTCCCGTCCCCACCCGTGGGGTCTGGGTGCCTCCCCATCCTGCCTGCCTCTGCTACCTGTCATGGTTTGTGGACCCAACAGTCACCTGCGGCCCACGGTCCCCTATCTCCTGCTGGGGCAGCAGCCGCAGGCCTGCCTGCAGAACCAGGTTCTGGGGCCTCGAGTGCCTGCGGGTCACAGGGGCCGGGCAAGCTGCCTCCAAACCCCCAGGTCCAGGACAGGGCACGGCCACCAAGCTCCTGGCTGGCCTGGGCCGCAGACGGGCTGCGTGGCTCTGTGGTCTGCCCCCTTGAGAGGGATCATCGAGTGTCCTTCCATGCAGAGAGGCCCACCTGCCCACCTGCTGGAGGCCTGGGCTGGACTCCACCCTGCTGGGGAAGAGCGCTGGTCAGGAGCAGGGTGACAGGGAGGGGCCCAGACACCTGCAGGAACCTTGTGGAGAGATGTGTCGCCCAGGTCCCAGGAGCACCCTGTCCTGGGCTACGCTTCCCACGGTGGCCAGGGGAGAGGTAGGACTCCCTGGCCAGGGCTACCCTAAATGCGTTCCCTGCGCGACCTGGCTTGCCCCTCGCGTCAACCGGAGGCAGCTCCTCTGAGCAGTTAGTTCCCTGTAGGGCCTGGCTCCCGGCGGGCCGGCTCCGGCCCTCCTGCTGAACCCTACCCTTCCTCACCTGGCAGGTGTGGGGATGTCCCACCACGTCAGGACCACGGGCACGCCAGGCCCTGCTCTGTACTAGCCCTGGTCTGGCCGGGCTGAGGCCCAGTGGGGCCGGGACAGGCTCGAGGGGCCATCCTGTGAGCCCTGGGCTCCCAAGGCACCGGGACGCAGGGCTCTGCCCAGAGGAGGAGCAGGAGATGCACCCCAGGCCCCGAGACGCTCCCCAGCAGCCTCAGGGCCTCCTCCATCCCAGCAAGATGTGGGAGACTAGGACCCCACCTTGGACAAGAGTCCCAGAGGTGGGAGGATGGCCAGTACTTCAATCACTTTGCCTGTTTCCTTAGCCCTAAAATCCTGAGGAAAATAGTATTTCCTTCATGGCCCTGGGTGGCTGCTAGCTAACATGTGGGTAAAACACTTAGTGTGTAGGGAACACAGAGTGTTAGCTGTGATGCTAGTTAGCCTAGTTATCAGCCAGGCCATGGGGTCACACCCTGGAGTTTCCCACGGGTGGCCAAGCGCTTGGGACAGTGAGAGCCAATCGCAGGGGCCTGGCTAGTTCACTGAAGAGGCCTGAGGCAATGCCCCTCACCCCCAACACGAATGTACTTTCCCAAACTGTCCCCAGCAGGGGACCAGGGGCTGGGGCTCAGAGGCACGTCCCAAGCCAGGGCAGATGGAGACTGAACCAATTCCGTGCCAGGCCCAGGGCGCCAGGGCGTCACAGGAGATGGGTCCCTGTGCCAGCCTTGCTGTTTCCCAAGAACAAGCAGGCCACAGGAATGAGCCGCACCCTCTGCCAGGGGCTCCAGAGCCCCCTGCAAGTGCAGCTCCCAGTCTGGGGACACAGCCTGGGCCAGAGCGGGCCTTGGGCTCTGGTCCTCCTGGCTGCCGGGAAAGGGGAACCCCACCGGAGCCCTCGCTGAAGGTCCCCACTAGTCCCCACCTAGGGATGCACAGGCCAGCTTCAGGGTTTCTGCAGCCTGAGGGTAGGGGCTCTGGCATTGGGAGAAGCTGTGCAACCTGCCCCCTCTTCTTGCCCCCTTAAAAAGGGCCTCCAGCCCCAAGGAAGGGGACTGGTACACTTGTCGCCCCAGTTTCACTTGTCTGAGCAAGCTGGCTGGGTGGGAGCGTGGCTACGGGGCAGCGTGGAGGAGTGGGGGTCAGGATAGGGCCTCCGTGAGCCTTCTTTGTCCAGGCCCGTGGGAGTGGGGAGACTCAGCCCAGCAGCAGGACTTGGACTTTGGAGACAGTCGGATAGATGTGCACCCTCCCCAAGCCCCCAGCAGCCCTAACGTTGCTCTGTACCGAGCCTCAGTTTCCCCGGACCCTAGGGGCACCGGCCAACGCCCACTGACAACTTTTTTTTCCTGCCCGGAAAAGTCCAGAACAACTTAGGGGCGGGGAGCCGCTACTGGAGGAGACCCCGGGCGGCAGGGCTGTACGCGTGGCACTGTTTACGCGAGAGGCCGAGGAGGCGCGGCCCGCAGGAAGATGGCGACGGTGCGGGCGGGGCCGACCGGGCGGGGCTGCGGCCGCGGCCCGGGCGTGCCTCCTCCTCCAGGCTGGCCGCCGGGTCTCGCGGCAGCTGGAGGCGGCCGGGCTGCAGGTGGGGGCCGGGGACGGCACCGGTGAGAAAGGAAGCCCGCGACCGAGCAGGGCGGGGGCGGCCGCGCGGGGGGCGGTACCTGTTGTTCGGGGCCTTGCGCACCAGGCCGGCCGTCTTTGTTTTCTTCCTGGCGAAGTCGCCATCGAAGGGCAGCACCGAGGCGTATCCATGCTCGGCCTCTGAGGACAGACGGTGCAGTCAGCGGGCCCCGCCCCGGCCCCGCCGCCCGCCCGCCCGCGGCCAGGAGCACAAAGGGGCGCGGGCGCTACCTCTGTCCCTGCGCTCCAGGTACTCGGCCGCCTCCAGCAGGATCAGCAGGGAGTTCAGCTCCATCCTCCGGCCCGCCTGCGCCCGCCCGCGCGCTCCGGGACGGCGGCGGCCGCTGCCCGGCCTACTTCGGCCGGCTCCGCTCGCCGCCCGGCCCGCGCGCCCGGCGGCCCCACTGCCCGGACTCCCGCGGACTCCGCGAGCGCTCGGCCGCCACCCTCTGCTTCGGGCCCTCAAATTGACACTTAAGGGCGAGCGGCGGCCGACGCAGCCAATGGGGGTGGACACTCCAGCTCCAGGGGCGGGCATTGGCCTAGTCAGAGGCCAATCAGAGCCGGCCGAACGCCTCGGGCCGGGCCCAGAATGTTGACAGATGCGAAGCTCGGTTCGGATAGGCCAGCCGCGCTAGTAACAATTTAGAAGCCCAAGCTTAGCAACAGCACGTGGTGGCCCGGCCCCCACGCTCGCTGACTGGCGGTCCGCATGCATGTTAAGTAGGCGCAGCGCGCCGATTGGCCCAGAGCGGTCTATGTAAAACAGGGGCCGCGGGCCAATGGCCGGCCGCGGGGCGCGCAGCCAATGAGGGCGCCGCGGCCGGATGCGTTGCCGAGAGGAAGCTGAGCCCTGTAAGAGTGAGCGCCGGCCGCTGGGCCCTGAGCGAGACCCGGTTAGGGCGCGGGGAGCGTAGGGAGAGCCCCGCCAGTCCTGGGTGCGCAGGAGGAGCCTGTAGCCCCGGGGCGATCTGCAGTACTGGCTCCGCGGGAGCACGTGGCCTCGCGGTGCCCTCTGCAGTATCGCGTGCGTCTGCAAACGACATCCTTCCGCGCCGGACCCAGGGCAACCCCAGGAGAGGCCGGGGCTTGGAGGAGGGGCGTAGACAGCCCAACAGCCAGATCTCCTTGAGGATGTCAGCTGGGCAACTGAGGCGGGGGTCTCTCTCAGAGCTGTCCAGTGGACCCCAGAGCAGAAGGAGGGGCCTTAGGCCTAGAGAAGGGGGCAAAGACCTGCCGCCGCAGACGGGAGGGTCTCCCGGTGAGGGCAGGGCTGCGCGCTCCTGTGCGACTGGAGGGTGGGGGCGCTCCACGAGGCAGGTGCTGGTCCCTCTGGCCGCGGAAAAGCTTATCGGGGAAGAGAGTTGCCTAGCAAGCTCCCAGCTGGCGATGGGCCCTGGTGGTCCCTGACCCGCAGGGTGAGCAGCCTGGTGGCAGCCCCAGACCGGCCTCTGTCCCCCTTGACCTTCCCTCTTATTGCCTCCCAGGAGGCCTGGGAGCTCCTGAGGATGGGACCACAGGCTGCTGAGTGTGGGGGATAAGGCGGCTGGACCCTCCTAATTTCTAAGTGGGGGGTACTGCTGCCCCCAAGTTCCAAAATAAAACATAATAAACACTATAAAGACCTCAGCACATTGGTCCTGGGACCTCGTGGACTCTTTCCATGCATTTCCTTGCTTGTTTCTGTATCCCCAGTTCGCAGATAAGGACACAGGGAATCCCGAGGTTTAGGGGTTCCCTGGGTTTCATGGCAGTCCCCCACAGAATGGAGATTAGGGCTCCCATATGGGTGATGCAGTGTGGAGACCAAGCCACCTCCTGGCCCAGCACGACTTGCTGGAGTGACAGCCACCGTGGTGTGGTGAGAAATGGGGGGCACCCCGCAGAGTGGTGGAACCCTGTGGGTCCTGGATGCAGCCTGTGTGTGGCGTGGACAGCCCTGCCCAGACAGTAAAACCACCTCTCCGTGTTGACCCCGTGCTTCCTGGCCCTGACCCACAACCACCCCGGGGCCACGGCAGAGCTCCTAACAAGAGCCAGGGGCCATGGAGGGCTGCTCAGCCCCGGGGAGGGGCGGGAGCATTGTGGGCTCTGGGGGACAGGAAGCGGGATCTCCTCCTCACCACTTGCTGGTCAGCATTTTGCAAGTCACTCCATCCCTGCGTCTGCGAAGAGGGGGCTGGCGGGCCGCAGACCTAAGTAGCACCTCACCCAGTGTGCGCGCACCTGCCGGATGCGGTGGGGCCTGCGGTGCGCCTGTTGCCCCAGCGGGCGGCGCAGGTGCCCAGGGCTTACGGTGGGACCCGCGTCCCTGCCTGAGACCAGAAGGGGTCGTCCCCACCTTGCCTCCACTGACATCTAGGCCATTTCGGGGACCCCTCCTCCAGCCACATCGGGTGCCGCGGGGATCCCCACAGCCTGTGAGTGTGGGCGCCATGGTACCGCGGGCAGTGGGGGCAGCGGCGTGAGCGAGGGGCGTGACCGGAGCACTGGGGCCTGGCGTGGGCAGACGCGTCGGAGACCCAAGCGGAGGAGCAGCCCTAGAGACTGCGCTGAGTGCGCGGGCGGCGCACAGCGCGAGCGACCGGAGGGAAGGGAAGACAGGTAGCGGCGGTCGGCTCTGACCGCACCAGAGCCGACCGGCCCGGCTGGGTGGCTGGGTGCCGCGGGCTAAGTCGCAAGTCGGGGCGAGGAAGAGGCTGAGGACGCACCTACGGAGAGCTGGCGTGCTGGCCCGCTCGGGGACCACGTGGGGGCGGGGCCCAGGCGCCCGGTGTCCAGTTGTGTAGTGCGGGTCTCCAGCAGGTGCCCGTCACGTGCTCCGGAGAGCCTTCCTTGAACCGGGGCAGGGCCCGCTGCCTCCTCGCCGCGCAGCCCTTCCTGCTGTCTCTCCCTGCCAGGGACAATAGGGGCCTGGGGCGCACCCCGACACCCCTCTCCCGGTCCTGCTGTCCAGGCTCCTCTGCCCTGTGCCTTCCTGGCCTGCCCCTCCTCCCCCAGCCCATGTCCAGGTGGCCCTGGCTGCTATGCTCGCCCTAGGGTGGAGTCCTCCTCGCCTCTGGCGGGCTGCTCTGAGGGCCTGAGCCCAAGAACCCACCCCAGCTCCCCATTCCCGGGCCGTCATCCAGCGGCCTCCACACCCAGACGGTAGCAGGTCAGGCTCCGGCGAGTGTGGTCTCACCCCCAGGGTCCTGAGTGATGAGGGTGAGGGGACAGCAAGGCCAGAGCGGGGACTCCGGCTGTGCTACTGCCCCCGGTGGAGCTCTGGTCCTAGCGGTGGGGCCTGCTCCTCCCTGCTCAGACCCCTCCCCGGGCTTCCTGGTGCCCTCGGGAGGAACCCTGGGGTGGCCAAGCCATGTCCCCCATCTGGGCACCCCCACTGGCCCCCCTCAGTTTCTCGGGGCCGTTCGGTAGCTCTGGCACCCCATTCTCCACAGACACCCTGCTCGCCCTCCAGGCTCAGTCAGCATCGCCAGCCCCAGTGGCCCCAGGGTGCAGGCCCCCAAGAGCAGGAAGGTCCGGAGTGCCAGGGTTCCCATCCTTGCGGACCACTTGGGGACCCCTGGACACGGCAGCAGAACCCAGACCTTGCTCGTGTTCCAGTCGGCGTGCGGGCGGGTTTGAGGCGCTGCCCCGTGCTGCTGTGCGGGCCTGGAACCCATTCCTGCCCCGTCTCGGGGGCAGCAGAGGCTCGACAGGTTCACTGGCCCCGCAAGGGGACCCTCCTGCCTAGGCCCTGCTCTGAGAATGGGCGCGTGGGTGGGGGCTGGGGCCACCACTCGATGGAAGGCTGCCTGGAGGAGGTGGCTCTGGGTGGCCTGGGAGGAGACGAGTGCCTGCCTCCAAGACTGGGCAACATGGGGTGGGCGGTTTGGGTCCCGCCTGCCTGCCCTAGCTCCTGCTTCAGAGTCCAGAGGAGAGGAGGAGACGCCCCTCCGTGGTATTGTACGTCCACACCCCAGCCCTGGGTCCGAGGTGTCCAGCTCTGACCAGGGCCCCTCTTGCCCGCTCCCTGAGCTGTTTGGGTGGGGTCTCCCCTGCCTGTGGCCCTTGCTAGGCCAGGGGTCCCTCTGGACCCTCTGCCTCCCTTAAGGACCTGAAGGACTAGGCCTTGGCCAGCGGGTGTGGCCAAGCTGGTGGTCCTGACTGGACATGGAGTGCCCAAGCACAGCATGGTGACCCGTGCAGACAGCTCTCTTTGCCCACCCCGCCCCCCTGCGGCGAGGCTACTGGGAGAGGAGGTGGAGTGGCGGGCGCCCCCTGGTGGCCATGAGGGGCTACAGCCGGGCCCCAGGATGGGGAGAGGGGAGTCTCCCCAATGCTGCCCCCTGAACCAGGCCTCCTGGGATAGCAGTCTCATTGCCTTTATCAGAAGCCAGGACACCAACAGCATTTCTCCTTTTATGTACCCCCTCAACCCCTGGTCCTGAGTACCTGGGCCTGGGGGCGGGGCAGTTGGGGCAGCCAGGCCCAGGGCCCCAGCCTGCCACTGGGAGCTTAAGGGGCGTGTTGGGGAGTGTGCCGGCCCTCTCCCTGGGCCTGTGCATAGCGCAGAGAGAGGCGAGGTGCCCAGCTGTGCCCAGCCCCCAGTGGCCCCCAGCCTTCCTCCAGCTGCTGGATGGGCATGCCCGACGTGGCTGAGGCTCCCGTCTCCGGAGCTGCCTCCCCAGGAGCGGCCTCCAGGCAGGGCCCCCCGCCCGCCCCGGCCAGTGCCGCCCCACCCTCCGCAGGGCTCCGGTACCGTTCCACCTCCTGAGAGCCGGGGACCTGGCCACGCGGCCAGCTCACTTCCACGAGCCTTAGTTTCTCCGTCGGCGACACGGGGGTCCTGCTCCCTTGGAGGGTTGTCGCAGGGGGAGGACGGGACAGCACTCGGAAAACAGGGACCGGAAGGATGACCGGCGACGATGGGGCAGTGGGGAGACTGAGGTTCGGGACGGCCGACCTGCTGGAGGCCCGAGGCTGGCTTTCGAGGGCTGCGTCGGCGCCGGTGCCCTTGGCCCTCTCCCCGCGCCCGCCGCAGGCTCTCCCAGCCCCGGGCAGGGATCTCTGCCTTGGACTAACCCTCCACACCCCCCAGGGCCTGGCTCTGCCCCTGGGCTGGGGCCGGCCTTGCAGGAGGACGGAGTGGCCACGCATCCCAGTGGGCAGGCAGCGGCCCTGGAGCCCCTGTAGGCAGGGGTGGGGGTGGGTAGCCACCCTCCTCTGGGGGCCTGGTGGGAAGGAAGCCAATCCTGCCCGCGGGTTGTCCCGAAAATCTGGAACCCCCAGCCTGCTGGCGCGGAGCACACGCGTGAGCAGAAACCCCGTCAGGTCCCCGACGGAGGGAGGGCGGGGTGGCCGTGTTCACAGGGAGACGAGCGAGCGTCTGCAACCCATAAATAGATTTATGGAAATGATTCCGAATCACAGCATTTAGAAAATAAAAATAATCTCCATACAGAATCCCCCCCCGACCCCAGAAGCCGTTTTCTGCAGGTATATTCCACCATTAAATAGTAACTGGGGTTCATCCTATAAAAGAAGCAGGAGGCGTGTCCTCTCTCTAAAAATAAAGCTGCAATTGTCATTGCAATGTGAAGCCTGAGATTTAAGCCTGAGGAGTGTCCGTGCGGGGCCCGGCGGCCCCGGGGTCCGGGGAGGCGCGCCGGGGTCCCGGGCGCAGAGGGAAGGGGGTAGCGGCAGGCGGGTGGGCGCTGTCCACTGGTCCTTGGCTGCCTGGGCGGAGAACCCAGCGCCTCGGCCTGCGGGCGTCCACGCTGCCCCGTCCCCACTGGCAGGGGGATGGGGGCGGATGGACTGGGCACGGGCAGGGCTCCCCTGCAGGAGCACTGGGGACAATGGGGTGCGTGCTGCTGGGCCGAGGCCCTGCAGGGCCGGGCGGGCGGGCAGGCGTGGTGCAGGGGGATGAGCTGGGCGCCTTGGGCCCAGGGCACCGCGGAGATGGACACCGTAGTCCCTCCGGGCTGGCGAGCTCACGGGGAAGCTGCGTGGGGCTGTGAGCCCGGACCCTCCCTGACAGGTGTCCCCATCGCCAGGTGTGCCGCGGGCACTGAGCTGCCCGGAGCTCAGACCGCGACCGCGCTTCCCGTCACTGCGTGAGCAGGCCTTCTGCTGCGGCGGAGCCTCCAGGGGGCACCTCAGCGGGGCAGGCGGACAAGCAGAAGGGGAGCCTGCCCTGCCTGGGCAGCCACCTGGCAGCCCGCGAGCCCCTGCTGCCGAGGCTGACCTCCTAGTGGCCCCGCCAGGTGGGGAGGACAGTGTGGCCAGGGCGGAGGCCCTGGGCGTTCCGGAAGTCTCCGCAGCAGCAGCAGCGGCAGCAGCAGCGGCGGCAGCTTGATGAAATGCAGCGAAAACCCTCCAGGCACCAGCATCTGGGTGGAGGGGTGGGGAGCGGGGGCAGCCCTCTGGGGAGACCTTCGGGGCCCTGGCGGTCCGGGGAGCGCCGGCACGTGTCACAGGCCGGCCTTGTCGCTGTAGAAGGGCGTGACGTGGAACATGTAGCAGTGCGTGCACACGCGGACGGGCTTCACCTGCCCGTAGCGGGGCAGCGGGGCCGAGTGGGAGGAGCAGCGGGAGCAGAAGATCTGGAAGGCAGTGGGGGGCAGTGAGCGGGGAGGGGTCCCCACACCCCCCGGGGCCACCGCCCCTGCCCTCGCGCACAGACAGAGCGCCCAGAGGGCAGTGTCAGAGCCGGGAGGGCCGCCCGCTCCTCCCTCCCAGCCAGACCCAGCAGGGCATCGGTGGGCGGGGTCGCCTGGCCCCAGGGCGGGGCTGCGACCCTCAGGAAAACCTGGGACAGGCTGTGGCTCTGGGAGGCCGGGTTCAAGGAGGGAGTCCCACACCAAGGCTGCTCCTGTCGGACTCCCTGTGCCCGCCCCGTCCCCAGCTCCGAAGCAGTGGGGAGCAGGCGCAGCACCCCCCAACCCCGTGGGCCCGGTGCCCAGAGTCCACGCTCTGTGTCCAGTCCGAGCAGGGCCTGGGCTGCAGGGCCTCTGCACAAGGACCCCAACGTCCTCACCGGTGCCCCCCACCCCGCCCTCTATCCCGGGGCAGCGGTCTGACTCCCAGCCCTGGGGCCATGTCCTGGGCGGCCCCGGCCCCACCCACCTTCCCACAGCTGCGGCAGTGGTGCTTCCTGCGGATGACGGTGAAGGGGGCTTTGCACGCGGTGCAGAGGCTGCAGGCCTCGTCCGGGACCCACTCGGGCGGGTCTGCGGCAAGAGAGCGGGGGTGGGGAGTGCATCAGGCAGAGGGGGGCAGAGGTTGCTTGGTGGTGGCTAAGGGGACCGTGCGTACACCCGGGAGCCGAGGAGATGCTGGGGTGGGAAGCGGCAGGCCTGGGCGGCCTGGGTGGGGGCCGCTGGGGGAGCGCCACATCCACCACATTCACGGTGGTCTAGGGCAGAGAGCAGGCGTCACCCACGCCAGAGCCCCCCACGCACCTTCCAGGTCCCCGTCCCGGGTCTTGGCTGACAGCTCAGATGACGACAGGGTCTCCTGGCACAGGGCACAGTCCTCCAAGGCCGCGCTCCGCAGGGTCTGGGTGACTGGAAGGGGAAGGGGGGCCGCTGGGGTCCGTGCACCCTCACCCACCCTGGTCGGCGCGCCTGGGTGCTGCCAGTGCGGGGGGACGGCCCCCAGACCCAGGCGAAGGTCCCATGTCCTTCCCAGGAGCGAGGGGCAGGCACCCTGCTTGACCTGTGCCCACTACCTCACCACGTGACTCCATTGTGTGTGTGTGTGTGTGTGAGCACGCCTGTGCGAGCGTGTGCAGGTGCATGTGGGAGAGCATGCCCATGTGTGTGCACATATGTTCACGAGCGTGCTCGCGGGCCTGTGCCGTGTGGAGTGCGTGCACCTGAGGCAGCTCCCTGAGGGCCTCTCCCCGCTCAGGACACAGGGCCTCTGTCCCCTCTGACTCTGGCTGGCCCCTGACCACGGTGACAGAGGGGGTCCGAGGGAAGTGACACTGTGTCATGTCTGGGCCTCGTCTCTGAGCGGACGGGCACCGTCCCTCCGGCCACTGTCGGCCACAGGAGGCCAGGCAGCCTTGCTGGGTGTGTACAGGGGGCAGGTGGGGAGGTGGCAGGTGCCACCTGCGAAGATGTGTGTGTGACGTGTGTGTGGTGTGTGACTGCTGCTGCAAAGCTGCAGGCGGTGGCCTCTCGGGGAAGCCCCAGGGCCTGTGGGGTGGGCCCCGGGCCCCAGCAGACAGCCCGGCACGGCCGGGTGGTTTCTGTGTGGGGCACGGCGGGTCACGGAACAGCTGGACGGCCGCAGACAGGCTACCCATGCCCGGGGCCGGGAGTGCGGGTTCCCACAGGCTGGCCCCTGAGGGCGGCAGGCACCTCGGTCCCACGGCTGCAGACACTGTCCCAAGCGGGCACTCACCCTTCTTCAGCTTCTCCTTGTCGTCCAGCTCTGGCTTGGTGGCCATGACCTCAAAGAGCGTCTTGAGGATACTTCTCAGGTCACTGGCGTAGTTGGTCTGCAGCTGGTCGGCCACGCCTGGGGGAGGGACCGAGGGAGGGCAGGGTGGGCCGGCCGGCCAGCCTGGGGACTCGGCGCATTTTCAGATGGGCCGGGATGAAAACCGCCGCCCAGCCCCGGGGACACTCCTTTGGCAGACGCGAAGGCTCAGGGTACGTCTTAGCCTTGGGGTCACGGCCACCACTCCCGAGGGATGATCTCAGAGCCCCGGTGCGCCCACGCCACGGCAGCACCTGCCACTGTCACGGCCACTCGGCGCCCAGACGTGCCGCCTGCCCGGCAAACACGCGCCGCCCCGGCAGCGGCTCCCTCCTTCCGGACTCGGCCGTTCTCAGGGAACAGCCGTGCGAGCCCTTTTGGGGGAACAGCCAAGCCGAGGGGAGCTGTGTGCACCCCGCCAGAACGCAGGTGCCCTGTGGCCCGTCCCGGTGACGAGGCTGTGGCCCACCCTTCCAGAGGGTTCTGTGCCAGCTGTACTGAGCACCTGCTAGGCACAATGCCCCTTAACTCTCAAAACTGACCCTCGGGGAAGCCCCCGGGCAGTTCTGATCCTGGGTTCATGACCCCGATTCTGCAGGCGCCAGTCCATGGGCTGCGCTGCGCCCACGCCCACCCCGGCCCCCTCCCCTGCTGCCCTGAGCAGGGGAGGCCCCGGATGGGGCACCAGGCCTGGGCCCCTCCCCCGGGGGTGGGCGGGAAGGGCAGGCGGGGGCGAAGACTCCACACTTTTTGTACTTTTGAATCACGTGGGTGTGCGCTTATTTAAAACACACAAAACTCAGGGAGAACAGGCAAGAGACGCTGTCTGGCTCACTCCCCTCTGAATTCCCGGGAGACAGGACAGTCGCCTTCCCCAGCCTCCGGCTGCGAACCACCCGCAGGGAAGGAAGGGAGCGGGCAGCGGGATCTGAGCCACCCCCCCCCCTGCCGCGTTCAGGAAGCTGCGGGGCCGCTGGGGGCCACCCTGGCCACAGACGAAGCCCCCTCCCCACTTGGAGAGGGTGACCCGTCGCAGTGGGGAAGCCCCAGGCAGGGCCCCCCGCCCCGCCCCGCTCGCCCCCCCGAAGCACGGCCGCAAGCCCGCGCCACCCCGGGCCCACACACGGCACCTGAGATGCAGACAAACAGGCGATGGATCAGGTCGTGGCTGCCGTGGAACCTGGACCGGATCTTCTCCCTGGCGGCCACAGGGGCCGCCTCCACCGCGGTCTCGTCTGACGGGCGGGACCCGGCCGGGGAGCCACTGTGCGGAGAAGCAGACACAGGCCGCGCGGAGTGAGGCGCGGCAGGGGCCCTGGACTGGCACTGCGCGCTGGCTTTCTCCCGGGGGGGGGGGGGCGTGGGGGGCGGGCGGGCCCCTGCACCTGCCCGGAGTGTCTGCCGGCCCTGACCGCGGGCAGCGTCTCCGCAGGAGACGGCAGGGGAGACGCAGACACACCAGGGAGAGGGGAGGCTGAGCGGCCCGGCGCACTCAGGACTGAGGGACGGCCGGGGCACCAGGCTCCTCCCCGGCCTCCAAGGGGTGCGGCCCCCCTTTCTGGGGCTGCCTGCCGTTCAGGGGTGCCCTGGCAGGGCCGACAGCTGTGACCGCCATATCTGCACTGAGCCAGGGTGCTCCCCCGGGCCGGGTGTGTCCTGACCCTCCCGTTCTCCAGCCCTCCACCTCCCGTCCCCGATTTCTGCCATTTGGTCCTACTTTCTGGAAAGTGTCCTCCATTTTTTTCCTTTTAATTTCCCCTTGGCATTTTAATTTCCTGCTCTCACTGTAGTTTCCTGGTTGCAAAAATCTTTCATCTATCTGGAACATTCCTTATAAATTTTAAGGAGTTGCGTTGGCCGCCTGCAGGACCCCAGCACCTGTTTCTTGGAGGAGCCCTCTTTCCAAGGCCAGAGACTTCTCCCCAGCAAGGGCCTCGGAGGGCGGAGCTGCCTGGCAGGGGTCCCCTCTCGTAAACGTGCCGGGGACTTTGGAAACACCTCTGGCTCCCGGTGAGTAAGTCAGGGTTGGCCCACTCCCAGCTGGGGTCACTGGCACCCCAGAAGCTGCACCCCACGCTGTGCAGCAGCTGAGTGCACCGGCTGTTCCAGCGAAACCCACAGCGAAGACGGGAAACCCAGGGGGTCCGGTTCTGCCGGAGCGAGCGGGTCGGGGGTGGGGCGCGGCTCCCGCAGTGGGTGCATGAGCCCCTTCACACACAGCGGGAACACAGAGCTGCCCCACCCCTGACGCAGGCTCACCCTCCCAGTGCAAAGCCATTTGGGAAGCGCTAAAGTGGGGTGCTGCTGAGGACTCGGCCGCTGCAACCTGGGGGGTGGGTGTGTTTCGTGCATTTGTATTTAATCTTCCACCAGGACAGGAGGATGGGCGTGGGGCCGGGTGTGCCAGCCGAGGGAACCTCAGGCTTCCAGGAGAACCCCAGCTACAATCTAGGGCTCTCCCCTCCCGGCCTCCGGGTTCTGAAGCAGAAGCCCCTGACTTTCAGTCTGGGGGGCCCAGGACCTGCATAAGGCAAGGGGGGGCCTCACTGTCCAGGGTGTTGGCTTCGTGCAGCACTGCCTGTCTCAGTGGCAGCTTCACTCGGAAGACCTGAAAGCAGGGGTCAGTCACTGAGCACATCCAACCTAACAAGGCCCAGAGGCTCCGAGACTTGCGGTGGAACGCCAGGAACTAGAGCAGCCACGGCCAATGAGAGCTACTTCCCGTGGCAGCTCAACGTCACGGCGTCAGGGCAAAGGCAAGGGCAAACGCACAAGGAGATCTGGGCTCGAGATCCGGGGACGTGCGGTACACAAAGTTTCACCCAGCGTCCCTCACGGCAGCCGGACGGTGGGAGCCACCGTGCGTCCCCCAATGCAGGAACGGCTCAACAAAACGTGCCCCACCCCCCCACGGTGGAATGTTCTTCAGCCTCAGAAAGGAAGGGAATGCTGCCCCCTGCTACAACGCGGCTGAGCCTGGAGGGCACGTGCTGCAGGACATTAGCCAGTCGCCAAGGACAGACGCCACGAGTCCGTCTGCCCACACGAGGAGCGGGAGCGTCAGAATTGCAGAGCCGGAAAGCGGGAGGCGGCTCCCGGGCGGGGGCGGGGGGCGGGAGTGAGTGAGTGACGCGGACAGAGGGTCAGTTTTCCAAGGTGGACAAGTCCTGGAGCTGGACAAGGACACGGGCTACGCAGGCCTGGGGGTGCGCACTGCGCCACCAACGTGCGTGCGCAAAGGGGGATGCACCGCACATTCCACGTCTGCTCCACCAAACGTATAAAAAGCGGGAGAGAAACATGCAGGACGAGGGGAGGACACGGGAAAGACGCGGAGGCCTGCGTGCCCGGGGGCGGGCTTGGCCGGCGCTCCCTACGAGAGGCGGGAGGGAACGCGTGCGTCGGAGCGAGGACGTCACGGTGCGCACGGCACGCCGTGCGTGCGGGGCGGGCAAAGGCGGCTTCCAGCCGGGAGTGGGCGGGACCCAGTTCATTTATCATCGTGGTGTTTTCCACGTGAACAACTGTACCCCTCCTTCTGCCCTTCCCTGTTTATCAGTAAGGCTGTTCTTTTGAAAACGCAATTATACGAAGACAGGGTAGCAATAAACAAGCTGAAAGTGAAATTAAGAATCACGCCCGTTCGCGACGGTATCAAAACGATTTGGGTACTTGGAATAAATTCAACCAAAAAGTGCAAGAGTTTCACACTGGCAGCTGGAGCGCGGCACTGGCCTCGATGGGAAACGACCTGAACCAGCGGGAAGGCAGGCTGTGTGCGTAAACGGGGGACGGTGTTGTTCGGACGGCAGCAGTTGGCCCGCTTGGTCTGCAGGGTCAGCGCGACCTGGCCGAGGTATCAGCTGCCCTTTCCTTCCGTGCAGACGTGGACAAACTCGTGCTAAAATCCACGCGAAAATGCAAGGACCCAGAAAGACCAAAATGATCTCGAAAACGAAAAAAAATTGAGGTTGGAGAACTCCCACTGGTGATGTACAGTTCAGTGGGAAATGACACGGATCCAGAGGGGCACCGGCCTCGACGTTTATGGGGCGCGGAGGTCCGTCACTGAGGGAGCGACAGGGGGTTCCAACAGCGGGCTGGGAAGCCTGGGCTCCGCCTGCAGAGGAAGGAAGCTGGGCCCTCACCTCACACCACATGCGAAAACGAACTCAAGATGGATCAAAATCCTGAATGCAAGAGCTAAAATTCTTCAAGGAAAACATACATCTGTGTGCCCTTGGATTAGGCAACCGTTTCTTAGACACAATGCCAAAAGCACAGACCCAAAGACAAAACCGGTGAACCGGCCTTCATCAGAATTAAACACCTTTGTTCTTCACGAGACACCATCCAGAAAAGCAGACACAGCCCACAGCACGGGGGAAAGTGTTGCGGATCGTGGGTCTAGTAAGAACTCTTCCTGCACTCCAGTATAGAAATTGCTTTGTACTGTCATCCCCATAACCCAGAGGGTCACAGGTTCGATTCCCAGTCAGGGCACGTGCCTGGGTTGTGGCCCAGTCCCCAGCTGGGGCAGGTGCAAGAGGCAACCCAGTTGACGTTTCTCTCTCACACTGATGTCTCTCCCCCTCTCTCTCCTCCTTCCCCCACTCTCTAAGATCCGTAAGCATGTCCTCGGGTGAAGACAGTACAATAAAGAGCAGGGAACTTCCTGAGCCCGAGAGAGCCGCCTGGGAGGCGCCGGAGCCCGCGTCACGCCATGTAGCAGGTGCCGAGTGCTTCCCTCTGAGACCAGGAACAGGGCACGGCCACCCTGTGTCCTCACCGGGCAGACGCACAGCCAGGGAGTGAAGGGCATTCAATCGGGGTGGGGGGGGTTGACTCTATTCATAGGGGACATGTCCATCTGTGTAGGCAATCTTAAAAAAAAACCCTACTGTAACTAACAGAACTTAGCAAGTTTGCAGGTGACAAGATCAATACAAAAGTTAATTTAATTTCTATTAGCAATGAACCGTTGGATACTTAAATTACAAAGCAGCACCAGTCATAATAGCATGAAAAATATAAAATACTTAGGGGTAAATACGACCAGAGATGCATAAGGTTTCTGCAGTAAAAACGATACAATGTTGGTGACGGTCGTCAAAGGCCTAAATCAGCAGAGAGATTTACCGTGTTCGTGAACTGGAAGACTCCACAGGATTGAGTTGTTAATTCTTCATTCCCAAGCTGACGGATAGGTTCGACATAATGCAAATAAAATTCTTAGCAGGCTTTTTAAAAATAAAAATAAGAAAGGAAGAAACTGACAACCTGGTTCTTCTGAAAGTCACAGGTCACGCGCGAGTCCCAGGCAACCTGGACAAAGGAGAGCGAGCTGGGGACGCACCCTGCCTGGCCTCACGGCTCCTTGTGAGGCCCCTGCCACGCAGACAGTGTGACGTCGGTGACCGCGCAGACCAGGCCAGGGGCGCAGCCCAGAGGGTCCCGAAACAAACCCGACGGGGTCTGGCCCCGGGGAAGGGCAGCGCGACGGAGAGCAGAGTCTCTCCCAGCAAACGGAGCCAGGACCGTTGTCTCTCCCTGCGCAAACCTGAGTTTGCCCCGGAGCCACGCCTCACACCGGGGGCAAAAGTTAACTCGGACTGGTAAGAGGCCTAAAAGTAAAACCAAAAAGTAAAAAACTTTTGGGGAAAAAAAGGAAAAAAGTCACTGTGGCTTTGGGTTATAAAAATAATTCTGAAGCATAATATCAAAGTTACAATCCACACACAAAAAAGGCGATAAACTGGGCAAACCGGCTTCATCAAGATGAAGAACTCCTGCCCTTTGCAGCCACTCCGAGGACGCGAGGACCAGCCCCAGGCTGGAGGAGAGGCGCGTGGGGGGTATGCGTCTGGGGAAGGACGCGGATCCCGTGGGAGAGCTCTCCAAGCCCCCCGGGGAAGCGGCACGAGGAAACAGCACAGATCTGAACAGATGTTTCGCCCGAGGGCACAGGCGGGAGACAGTGAGGCCGAGTGAGGAGGGACAGTGTGGGCGAGGCTGTGAGGGACTGGGACCCTCTGCTTCGGCAGGGATTCACAGACCAGTTTATTTCGGGTCGGCTGTTTCGAGCAGCACCGGAACGCCACACCATGTCCACCGTGCTTGCGGGGCCCCTGGCTCCGATGCTGCGGCCTCCGCTCCGGAAGTGCCACCATGCCCCCACTCTTCGCTCGCCTCCCGTGCCCTCCACTCGGGCTGCCGCCTTGGCCCTGCTGGCCCTGCCACCTTGGGCTCACCCCCTCCAGCACCTGCAGATCTCAGGAATGTCACCCCCTACGGGAGGCCACCCCCCCCATAGCCCAGCACTACTTCCTTTCCTTCCTGGCTGAGGGATGGAGGTGGGGTGCAGGAGACGGGCGCGGAGGTGGTGCGGTGGGCTGCGGTGGGCTGCGGTGGGCTGCGGTGGAGGCAGGCAGACAGGAGGGGGAGGGGAGGGGAGGGGAAGGGAGGGGAGGGGAGGGGAGGCGGCCAGGCTGCAGGGAGAAGCTGAGTCAGGAAGGAGGGGCCTGAAGCTGGACGAGACCCCACGGGCGGGACACCTGGGAGGGGCGGGGCCAGCACGGGTCTGTCCCAGGCGGGTGGTCACCCCAGTCACCGCCGCCCCTGGTGCCCGGACGTGTTCTCCCCCGCTCAGTACCCGGTGGTCTGCCAGGGGGACCTAGGGCAGAAGTGGCCTCTGGGACTTGGAAACTCAGTCTGCAAAGTGCAACCAAAGGCGTCTGTCAGCCAAAAGATGTCAGTGAACCAAATCAAAGGGCACCTGGGGAAAGCCACCTGCAGCAAACGGAGCGGACAGAAGGGACGTTCTCGAGTCGGTAAGGGAATCCTGGCAACCCAGCTGGACAACCCTCGGAGGACAACCGGTGGAGGACAACCGGCGGGGCAGCAGCGCCCACCCCTCAACCCCCGAGGAGCAGGACGCCGAAGCAGCAGGAAGCGCTCTGAGAAGCAGGAGCTGCAGGGAGGGGCGCAGGCTCTGCTCTGGGGCTGAGAAGAGCAGGGGCCAACAGCTGCAGCGGGGGACGGCCCCTGAGGAAGCCCTGACAACAGGGGCAGAGCTTCAGGGACCCCACAGCTTCGCTGCGTCACTCTGTCCTGAGGCACCGTTGCTAAGGAAACAGTCGGGAAGGCAGAGCCCTGAGGGGCGCGACCAGGGGCTCACCAACCTGGAAAGCGAGGGAACAAACTGGCGAGTGTCCTTGTGACCCAGGGAAAGTCTACGAAGAAAACCGTGTTTTCAACGGTCTTTGTGCAACACAATCAAAATAACATTCGGTGGGAAAATAACAGAACTGCTCACAGGATTTGGGGTGGCTTTAATTTCCTTCCTTTATTCTCGTTTATGTCTTCATAAGTTTCCACACTGAAAGGCGCCCAGCTGCTCATCAGGGAAGAGAGAGAGTCTGTGTCATTTTTTAAGACCGCAGGGGCTGGAAACACACGTTAGTGATGACACATCCAGGGAAAGCACGGAGGCCCTCGAGACAGACGGATTTCCGCTTTCTAGGCAAGTAACTGATTCCGCTGCCTTCGAGTACGGAACGTTCTGGATAATGAGCCGCGGCTACACAGGGACAGCACGCTTTTTAAAAAGTGCTAACGTTTCCCCCAAAGGCTAATCTGGGAGCCCCGAAAAGGTAAGAAAGGAAGCCAAGAAGGAAAGTCCACTGGTCCCAGCCATTCTGCCCAGGACCCTGGGCCAGGGCAGTGAGCTGAAGGCCCGCGTTTCTCCTGGCTGGGACCCTCCTCCAGGACCCCCGCAGCCGCAGCCGCAGCCGGGCCCTTCCAACAGGGCGGGCGGGGTGCTGTCCGGCTGGGCGGGGGAAAGACGCTCCAGGGCTCCGTAGGGCAAGCAGACCCGGGTCACAGCTCCACGCGTCACCTTCGAGCTTCGAGGCACCACCTCAAAGTGGGGCGCCCAGGCCTGACTCCCGCCCCGGACGGGGAGCTCCTGAGCGCGGGGGCCCCGCCGGGTCTCCGTGCGCCTCCACCTGCGGGTCGGAGCGATGCCCCGCCCCGCCCAGCAGACCAGCCGCCAGCACCGAGAAGCTCACACACGCTCCCTAACAACGCAGGCCGCGTGGATGTGGGTGACATTTCTGCCTGCGGCTAGACGCAAGGCTCGTCTTTTGTGTCTGTTGATCAGTGCTGCCCCGCCACCTCGGTCCCCGCGCCCCCTCGGGCCCGTGAGGTCCCGCCCCCGGGTCCGGTCCCGGAGTCCGTGCAGCCTCGCCCAGCACCCGGGAGCCAGCCAGCCGGTGGTGGGACCGGGCCTGCCTGCGGCTGGGACGGCGCCACCTGCTGGCCGGATCCCCAGCTGCCCGCCCGCCCGCAGTGCGGGCCCCGCACCGCTGTCCGAGGTCCTGACCCAAGCCCCGGCCGTCCTGAGCACCTGGCCCCCTGCCGCGCTGCCCTTCCCCAGGCCCTCCGCGCCTCCGGGAATCCGGGAGGGTGGGGCGTCTCTCCGGCCCGCTCTGGGGCTCTCTTTCCTTCTCCCAGCTCGGCCTCGGCGTGCGTGCTGACGCTCGGCAACACGCCAGACACGAGGTCGCCGAGTGTGAGAACCTGGCTATGTGAGCTGTCCAGACCAGGCCGGTCTGCGGAGCTGGCTTCCTGGGTGCCAGGGCGCGGGAGGGGCGGGGGTCACCGCCGACCCCACACAGAAACGGCGGCCGCCGGCTGTGCAGGCTGTGCGGCCGACAGGGGAGCTGCGGTGGCTGGAGGGGCAGGCGTGGTCCCTCCGCCTGCAGGGTCCCGGCCAGCTCCTTGAACCACACGGCGGGAGGACGAGGCCAGAGAGGGGGTGGTGGGGGCCGCGCTGCCCTGCACCCAGAGACCCCCGCATGAAGACCCCTCCCCCGGACCCCTGCTGAGCACCCTCTGGCCCAGCTCCCCCAGCTCCTGGCAGGGGCCCCGTCCGGCCTCCATGCTGAGTGCCAGCCCCGCCCCCACACCGCTGGACACAGTGCAGGCCTGCGAGTCAGGGCCCTGGTGACAGTAAGGCGGCCCCGTGGGAGCAGTGGAGGCTGAGGACCGCCCCTGCGCTGCCCAATGTCAAGGACAGAGTGGGCACGTGGCGGGCTGAGCCTGCTTTGTCCAGGAGGAGTCGGGCTGCGGGGACAGAGGCGGCCTGGAGTCCAGGGAGATGGAGACGGGCAGGGCCTTGGAGGGGGAGGGAAGAGCACCCAGGGAGGGTACTGTCTGAGGGTCCGCCCCAGGGTGGTCTTGGGATCCCAGGTGGCCCACACTGAGGGCCCGTGAGGCCGAGCAGCTGTGGGGGCAGAAGCACGAGATGCCCAGCAAAGACGAGTGGAAAGCGAGCTCAGAGACAGCCATGCCCACTCGCCACTGCCCAGCCCACCCACATGCCCACCACGCCGGGGGCCAGGATGGGCCACAGCGGCCAAAGGGCGGGGGCCAAAGGCTGGGCACTGTGCCATCACCCGAAAGGCTCCTGTAATGTCAGGGGCCCACTGGGGGACATCTCCCAGCTGGGTGCAGCCCCCGGGCCCAGAGGAGCCTGGCACGTGATACAAGCCACCCGCAGTGTTGATGCCACACGCCGTCCACCTCACTGTGTGCACACGCCCCTCACTGCGCATGCACACTCCTCACTGTGCACGCCCCTTACCGCGAGTGCTCCTCACCAGGCACTCAAGCTCCTCACCCTGCACGCTCCTCACCGCACACACGTACACTCCTCATGGCACACGCTCCTCATTGGAGAGGCCCCGTGGGAAGCACATGGCCACTGAGAAGCAGCAGACACTGCACCCTGAAGTGCAAAGCCAGGGAGGACGAGTCCAGTGGCCCGAGGCTCTTACCTGGACCCTGACAGGCACTGGCGCCCCTCTGTGGCCTCTGCGGACTGCCCGGCGTCCTGCGGCCTGGCCTCGAGCTCCTTTTGCTGACCACTACCGCCGCCTCCATGCGACCCGTCTGCTGCGTCTGCCGGGGGCCCTGAGGGGAGTGCCAGGCACTTGTTGGAAGCAGGGGCTTTGGGCTCCTGGCTGTCGGGGGTGTCTTCCGAGGCTGGGGTGCCCTCGGGCAGCGTCTCCAGGGCAGGCTGGGCCTCCTCCAGTCTCTCGGCTGCACCCTTGGCACTGGCCTTGGCCATGCCCACATAGGAGGCGCTGATGACGCCCCCCGGGCTGCACTTGTCCTGCAGACTCTCGGCCGTGTCCTCCCGGCCGCCCCCACAGCCCCCGCAGCACACGCAGGAGTTCAGGAGACAGTTGGTGGCCGCGGTACTGAGTTCGTGGGAGCCATCCTCCGCGCCCCCGGCCGCGGGCTCTGACGGGGAGACGCCGTCTCCCGAGCCTTCCGGGGCGGAGCCGGAGCAGTCCAGCGCGGTGGGCGACTTGGGGTTGAAGATGACCGTGGCCGAGAGCTTCATGCCTCCCGTCCGGTGGGCGACCGTCTCGGCCGTCTCCACGTCGTCCGTGATCACCTCCCAGCCGTCCAGGGGCGGCGGGGCGTCCAGGCAGCTGCAGGAGTTGGGGCCCGCGGCCCAGGCCTTGTCGTCCTCGACGTTGTTGTTGTTGTTGGCCACGTCTTCCTCCTCCTCTGCGGTCCCCGCCTGCCCGCCCTGCCCTCTCTCCCGGGGCTCAGCACGGGGGCCGCCTGTCCACCTGGCCGGGCTGCCCGGGGCCTCTGTCGACCCGTCCACGTCGTCCATGAAGAACACCCTTCCCTCCTCCTCCTCGCCGCCCGGCTGCAGCAGCCGGCCTCCTGGGGAGGCCTCGCCCCGGGGGCTGTCCTCGGCCCCTGGCCTGCGTGCAGGGGACTGGCAGGCGCTGGGCGGGGACAGCAGGGACGACATCGCGTCCCCAGCCCGGCACACCATGCGGTTGAGCTGCTCCAGCTCCTGGTCGTCGTACTGCATGGAGCAGGCCAGCTCCGCCTCCGGGTTCTTGGCCTTGGCGGACAGCAGCTCCTCGGGGGGCAGGGGCGCGGGGAAGGCGGGCGCCAGGGCGGGCGGCACCGGCCCGTCGGCCCGGATGGGGAACTCCACGTCCTGCGAGATGCAGAGGTTCCTTTCCAGCACGTGCAGCTCATCCTCGGTCAGGGTCTGCAGCAGGTCCCTGTGGGGGGCGGGGGGCGGGGGGGGGGCGAGACAGGACAGGTGAGGGTCCCGATGGCCACGCCCGCCCGCCTGCCCCCCCGAGAGTGCACAGGGGCCCCCCGTCCCGTGTACACGTTTCCTCACTGCAGAGTGAGGTGTGGCGGCTGCCTGGAGCGGCCCCCTCCCCAGGCTCTGAAACCTGCTGCTGCGAAGGAGGAAGCGCTGGTCCTCGGGGACGCGGTAACTGCACTAATAAATGCATTTACGAGTGAAAAATGAGTGTTGGTTCCCACACAGACCTCCAGCTTCTCGTCTGGCAATTACCATGAGCCCTGTCTGGGTGCCAGGGTCACGCAGGGAGACAGGCCGGTCCCCGCCCCGGGGGTCTGCCTCGGGAGAGGCAGGAAGATAAATATTTATGCGAGGAATGATCGGATTACAACACCGCCAACTGCAACAGAGGAAAACGCTAGCCAGGAGGGGGTGCCTGGCTTAGTCTGGGAGACTTCCTGGAGGAGGGGGCCCTGAACCAGGGAGCGGAGGCCCATGGGCTCTCCGAGCCGGGAGGAGCGAGAGCCAGCCTGGGGCCCGAGGCCCACGTGGAGCCCTGGGTGCCGCCCTGGACCAGTGCGCAGGAGAGAGCGCCCCTCGGCAGCGCCCAGCCTGTGGGGCGGGCCGCCGTAGCCCACATCGCCCAGTTCTCGGCCCGTCCCACAGGGCAGAGGGGAACCACAGAGGGCCGGCGCCGGGCCAGCAGCCGGGGCGCTGAGGCTGGAGATCGGTCAGCACTCGACTGTTCAGGGACAAAGACCTGGGCCCCGGGGGGAGGACAGGCAGGGAACTGCCACGGGGCTCGGACGCCCAGATCCGGCAGCTGAGACCAAGACCCAGGCCCCCGCCCGCCGGCTGGGGCAGAGGAGGGCGAGGAGCTGCACGGCACCCCCACCCGACAGACAAGGGGGGCCGGCGGCGAACACTGCCTTCAGCACCGCTCCCCTCCCCCGCATCCACCCCCTCCCCTCGCCCCCACCTTATCTTCCGCAGCAGCGTGTGGAAGGGCCGGAACAGCTCGGACATGTCCTCCGCCTTGCGGTCCAGGTTCAGGGGTCCGTCCGCGTAGACCACGAGGCCGCTGCGTTCAAGACAGAAAGGCCGGCCTGGCGTCCAGCCCTGCACGGGGCCTGGGCCAGCCCAGACCGCCCCTGGGGCCTCCGCGGCCACCTCCCGCACCGCCTCGTGAGCAGCCCGCAGGTCGGCTTAGGAAAAAGCAGCGGCAGCTGCCACGCAGACGGTGCCGTGTCGGACTGGCCCACGTCCCTGGAAGGACTGCAGGTCGACCAGCACACACGTGTGCGCACGGCACTGCCGCCGCCTGGGCCAGCGCAGGGCCGTCCCCGAGACCCACCTCCCGGAGACGAAACGCACGCCTTGTGCGTCACTGGCCACCCAGGCAGAGGCTCTCGAGGACGAGGCCTGGGAGCACCTGCCCCCAAATGAAACAGAAGCCGGAGCCGCAGTCCCCCCGGGGGCAGCGGGCAGCCCCCGTCCACTGCGCTGGACGCAGACAGAGCCCCGCCCCAGGTCCCCCTCTCCCACGCAGCGGCCTCGAGCGCCCACACTGGGCCCCAGGTTCCGGGTCCCGGAGGGATCGGGGGTGAGCATCGTGGGGACACTCTGCACGGACAGTGAGGCCTCACAGCGGCGCTCTCCCAGCTGCCCCCGCCCACCTCCGCAGCCCTCAGGCCTCGGTCTCGTGGCCCCGTCCACGCCCCGACGTCCAGGCGCTGCCCTGTGTCAGACGCACTCCGGCCGCGGCCTCCCCGCGCAGCTCTGACAGTCCCGCCACAGCCCCTCCCTGGCAGGTCCCCGAACCCACAGGGACCTCTGTGCCTCGCGCTCCCAGCCTCCCCCAGGGGGTCCCCACGCCTGCCGGCCCCTCCCGGAAGTCTGGCCCACGCCCGTGCCCCTCCCACACAGGCAACCAGCCTCCGGTCACTGCCCAGGCAGCACGGCCCCCTCCCCCGGGCATCCTTGGGCCTCGAGAGGCGCCCCCTTCCTCTGTCCTGGAACCTAGCGCCCCGCTGACTGCTGTTCCGGGGACCCGAGTCTGCAGGCAGAGCCGCACCACAGCAAGCCCCCCCATACACCACACCGTGCACAGCCCCGCCCGGCGCCAGCACCCGCCATTATCCCGGCCCAGCCCGTCTCCCCGGAGGACCCTCTCTGGGTGCCTTCCATCGCCAGGCTCCGGGCAGCTCAGGCCTCGGCGCGTGCACCTGCCAACAGGGCGGCGGTCTCCGCTCTGCGAGTGAGCGGGGTCTCATCGCCCGCATGGGGTCGGGGCGGTGCCATCGGCGGGGTCCCGCTTGCTCAGGGACACATCCGGTCAGCGAGGTCAAGGGGCACGCAGCGCTGAGCCAAAGGACTTCCTCCCTGCACAAGAGTGGGTGCCCTGCGCCGAGAGCACGGGGCCTCACTCCTCGCTGGGCCCCACGCGGGCATCGAGGAGGTGCGGGGGTGGCTCCGGGCGCAGCGGGGGTGGGGGCACGCCCTGCGTGGCGAGGAGCTGGCCGCTCCCCTGCTTCGGGTTGTCTCTGTGCGGCCTGGGCCACGTCCGTGGATGCCCTGAAGCTTTTCATTGAGACGAAGCCCAAGCTGTGTCTTTCCCACCTGCTGCTCACGCTTTCGGTGTCCAAGAATCCACGGGCCAAACCGGGGACGCGGACGCTCCCCTCCTGTGTCGGCCGGAGTTCTCCAGAGAAGCAGCACCAGCAGCCGCCATCCACGAGGGGCCGGCTACGCGGCTCGAGGTGCCTGTGCCCTGTGCCCGCACAGAGCGCGGCCGGCCGGGTACACAGTGCAGTCGCAGTGGGAGCACCTGTTTGCCTACCCAGTGGGGGAGGGGGAGGCAGCAGACTCCACCCCCCAGTCCTGCCGCCCTTCCCAGCTCCCCTGCTTACCCTCTGCTCTGCTCCGAGAGGTCCCTGGGTGCCACCTGGGGGTCCCGGGCCACCCACACAAGGACAGGACCCTGCAAGGGTGCAGTTCCGGGGATGTCGACAGGGTCTTCACTCCCCCAGAAGTGCCGGTGGCTGACGGGGTCACCCCAGCCCCTCTGCGCACGCTGCCCCCCCACCCCGGCGGCCTGAGCTGCACACCCCCCCCCAAAGTGTGTTGCTCTCTGGGCTCCCGCCCTGGCTTCGGGAGTTTGCTGGGGGCCCTGGGGAGCTTCTCGCTCAGGCTTGTTCTTGTCCAGCCCAGAGGGTGCCGGCACCAAGCCACCCACCCCACCCTGGCGCCCGGAACACACCAGGGCAGCGGCCACGGGGCCACGCCGGCGAGTCAGGAGGTAGAACCAGAAGACCTCCTCGTCCCCACTCAGGACGGACCAGCACCTGCGCTCAGCTCTGGCCTGAGCTCCCGCTGCCACCGGCTCTCCCTTCGCCGTGACTCAGAGCCTCCTGCAGGTCCCCGCGGCCCCTCGGCTCCACTCCGGCCCCCTCCAGCCTGAGCCCCGTGGGACCCCCACCCCCGCCCAGGACCAGACAGAGGGGAGTGGAAGTTCAGAGGCCAGCAGGGTGGCCGAGATGGTGCAGCCGCACTGGTCGGGGAGACGTGGCCCCTGGGGGCCAGCTCAGTGAGAGCAGACAGGCCCGGGCCACTGTCCTCCGGCCGCCCGGCCTGGCGACGGCCGTGGTGACGAGGAGGGTGGATCGCAAAGAGCTGAACAAACGCCGCCACAGACTCGAGGGCGAAAAATCCGGAGACGCTGGGCGTCGGCTCCCGACGCTGTCATCTCCAACAGGTGCGCTGCCTGCGCTGCGCCCACGCGCTTCAGGACGGCTCCCCCGGAGGCCGTGTGGGTCTCTCGTGGGCCCGGGCTCCGGGCTCCGCCCACCGCGGGGCGTGATGAGAGTGACCAGTGGGCGGGCGGCAGAGGCCTCGGGTGCTGCTGGGCGGTTCCGAGCGGGCGGGGCTGGCACGCCACCCTGCTCCGCGTGCCGCTCCACAGGGAACCCGCCCAGAACCGCGGGCGCCGGGCGGCACTGCGCCTCGGGCGGCGGGGCCGGGGCCGGGCCGGGACACGGCGCGCACCGGGGGGGCTGCAGGACACGCAGCGGGCACAGAGGTGGGAGCTCCCTGTCCCTGCCGCCTGAGCTCAAGGCAGCTTCACCGTCTGGTGTTTTAAACCAGAGACCTAAAATACTTTTTCCTCGAATGAGTTTGGCCTCAGACAGCCATCTGCCTGGAAATAGAGCAATAGAACGGATCGTGCGGGCTGCCTCCCAGGGCGCGAGGGCAGCCCCGGCTTTGAGGCCGGACACTGCACCCCGGGCTGCCTGAGCTGGCACGCTGGGGACCCCTGGCCCTCACCCCCGGCCCTCACCCCCGACATCCGTGCGTGAAGGGAGGTGGTCACATTCTCACAGCAAAGGTGCCGAGGGTGTCACCTATGCTGCGCTAGAGGCTGCCCGCCGTGCTTCTCCCAACGTGTGTACCTGGGAGAAAGGCGACTGCGGACAGAGGGGGGGGCGGGGGGCCAGACGGAGGCAGGCAGGGTCGGGAGGCCGCCCTGCAGCCCGGGGAGGCGGCCTCGGGGGTGGGGGCGGGGGGGCCACTGGTGTGGCAGCTGGGCCGCGCCCGCCCGAACCAGGGTCCCGGCACCTTGCTTGCAGCCGGTCTCCTCACGGCAGGCACCGTGTTTGCTGTGTATAATGTGCACCCGTGTTTTTGGCCCAGACTTTCAGGAAAAAACCTTTCATTTTAATTATTTTTAAGCACATTTTATTGATTGCGCTATTATAGTTGTCCCATTCTTCCTCCTTTTATTTCCCTCCACCCTGCACCCCCCTACCACCAGCATTCCCCCCCCAGTTCATGTCCATGGGTCGCACGTACATGAAAGTTCTTTGGCTTCTCCATTCCCTACACTATTCTTAACCTGTCCCTGTCTGTTTTCTACCTAGTGTTTATGCTCCTTATTCTCTGTATCTTTCCCCGTTCTGCCCCTCCCCTCCCCGCCTCCTCTCCCCACTGATAACCCTCCGTGTGCTCTCCATTTCTGTGATTCTGTTCCTGTTCTGGTTGTTGGCTTAGTTTGTTTTTGTTTTTACGTTCAGTTGTTGATGGCTGTGAATTTGTTGTCATTTTACTGTTCATAGTTTTTATCTTCTTTTCCTTAGATAAGTCCCTTTAACACTTCATATACTAAGGGCTTAGTGATGATGAACTCCTTGCACTTGACCTTATCTGGGAAGCACTTTATCTGCCCTTGCACTCTGAATGATAGCTTTGTTGGATAGAGCAATCCAGAATGTGGGTCGTTCTAATTCTTTAATTCAGTGTTTCCTACGCACAAAACCAGTAATCGTATCGCAAGGCGTTACTGTGCCCGCGGACACCGCTCTTGCTTCCTGGAGTCACGGGCGACGCGTGAGCACGGATGGAGGAGTTAAGCCCCCCTCCTGCCCAGGCCTCACGGGTCTCCACGGCGTTTAACTCTCCGGAGTCTCAGGCCAGAAAGGCAGCTCTGGCCCGGCCCAGGGGTGCGCCCAGGGGTGGCCCTGCAGGCGCCCCTCCTCCTACACAGGGCTAAGGGAGCCCCTTTTTCCCAGCAGCAGCCCACCCTGCTGCACAGCCACAGCTCCACGCCGCTCCCACCACTGCACCCCCACCTCCCGCGGGAGGGGCCCCGTGGGGCCTCCCGAGGCCTGCGCTGGACCAGTCCTGGCCTCCGCCTCCCACCCCGACAGCCCTGGGCCACCGCACCAACAGCCAGGTCTCCACCCGGCACCTGCCCCCGGCTCTCTGCCCGGCTCCGTGTCTGTGTGCCAGCTGCCCATGGGGCCCTCCCCAGCTGCCAGCCCACAGGCCCTGCCACCCAGGTCCCCACGGGCCACCCCAGGCGCGCCCACCTGGCAGGAGGGGGTGCTCTCTGGGAGTCGGGGGTGGCCCGGCAGCAGCAGGCCATGCCCAGAACACCTGGGCTCTGACCTGGGCTCCGAGACTCTTTGCAAGCGGCTGCAGGCTTCCTGCCTCGGCGTGTTCAAGGCTATGCTCTGACCGCCCTGACCTGTCTGGGCCCATGCGGCCACCAAGGCTGACCGGAGCGCCCCGCTCCCACTGAGGTGCTGCCCCCCACACACTCCCCAGCCGCTCCCACCTGTGGTTCACCTACCGGGCTCCCCTCCCTGCCAGCCCGTGGGATTATTCACACAAGCCCATCACAGCTGCCCTCAGAACCACGGGGGGGCGGGGACTGCCCCCTGCTCCTCAGAGTCGCCCCCCAGCCCCCCCAGTCACTCTGCTCCCCGCGGGTCCCCCGCCCCTGACCTCATCTCCTTGGCCTCGGGGGTCAGGTACCCTGTACTATTTGGGGAGCAGGCTCCCACCCGCCGAGGGGGCTCCCACCCGCCGAGGGGGCGTGTGGCTCCCACCGGCCGAGGGACGGCAGCAGCACTTCCAGGCGACCACACAGTTCCCTCTGCGGGTGTGAGTGCCGTCTCCCGACCCCAGGAGGGCCCTCAGCCTGGGGCGCCCCGCCGGGTCTCCGCCAGAGGACCGCCGAGGCGGAGGGACACTCACCACACGATGGCCAGCCGGGGGATGGTGAACATGAGGGCGGGCTCATAGTCGTCGATCATGTCCTGCGTCAGGTACCCGAAGTCCAGGGCCCTGGCCGAGGGAGGGGGCAGTGAGGCAGGGCAGGCCGGAGCCGGGGGGTCGGCCCGCTCGACCTCAGCCTCGACCCCGCCCCGCAGGCGGTCAGGGGGTGACACAGGCGGGCGGCCCCCACGCCCACTGGCCGGACCCCGGCACCAGGGCAGGCGGGCAGGCAGGACGGCCACGAGGTCCGATCAGGAAGCTAACCTGGCCGCGAGCCGCTCAGCCAGGGAACTGAAACCACTCGAGTGACAGGAAATGGGGGACAGAACACGCCCCCGAACAAGGGACCCCGGGGACAGAGACGCCCCCGGGCTGGTCTCTCCCGCCCACGGCGGGGCTCCTCGAGGCCCCAGGGGCTGGCGCCAGGGCTCCCGGCGAAGGCACTTCCTTGCCTTCCGCTTAGTGACCCGAGGTCTGTCCCGACACCTGAACGCTGGGCAGCGTGTCCCCAGGGAGGAAGAGCTCGTGAGGTGACAGCGGGCAGTTTCAAGACCACCCTACCACCGCAACGCTGGTCAGACCCGAGGAGCGTTCTAGGTAAAACCTCAGCCCCAAAGTCCACCCGGAAAATCTGACTCTGCGTTGGAGTGCCAGGCGTGATGAGGGCGCCGGGGGTCTACCCCAAACCTGATGGGTAGACGGGAGCCCAGGACAGGTCCCTCCCTCCGGGCCTGGGCAGGTGAGCAGCGGTGGGGTGGGGAGACGGGGGTGGGGGAGAGCGGGGAGACGAGGGAGGGAGGGCGGGCGGGGAGGAGGCCCGGCTCCTGGAGGCGGAGCCTGTGCAGCTCTGTGCTCTGTCACAGGAACTTCAGCAGCAGGACCGGCCCCCTGGGCCCACAGACGAGGAGAGTTGGGGGCGGGCGGGGATGAGGAACCAGGCCGGAGCAGGCCTCCCCCGGGGGCGCCCCCCACCCAGACCAAGGGTGAGGCGGGGCAGGTACGGTCCCGCGGGCAGGTCCCTGGGACGAGGCGCAGCCCCGCGGTGGCCGCTCACCTCTGCACCGTCTCGCAGAACAGCACGATGACCTCCTGCTGCACGTAGTACTCCCGGGGGGACTTCACGGGCACCATGGCCGACACGTAGCTGCAACACAGGCCGGGCGTGAGGGCTGCCCCGGGCCCCCGCGCGCCGTCCAGAGGGACGGGGATGCTGGATGAGACCACGTGACAGCGCCGCGTCCACGCCCCCCAGGGCAGCCGCCTCGGTCCACAGCTCCAGCTGGACGGCACGGTCCGTCAGGGCTGCTCCCTGGGGCCCCAGCCCACCCCTCGGGCCTGGGCTGCCCCCACCCACCTCCATGAACATCACCAGCCCCAGCCAGTGAGCAAGTGAATGCACACGCAGGCGCCCCTGGGGTGTACCGGGGAGGGCGGCGGTGGTGGAGGGGTGGACAGCTGGGGTCCTCTGCATCCCCGGGTCACCTGGCCCGGCCTTCAGGATGCACCTCCACTCCCTGGAGAGGCGTCCCAGCCCCCCCCACCAGGGACCCACGCTGTCTCCCTGCGCAGCAACCCCGAGCCCAGCCACCAGCTCGGAGAGGCCTGGGGGCCACGCCAGGTGGCAGGTTCGCTGAGTGGCTGTGAAAAGGTGACAGTGTCCCCAAGGTGAGAACACGCTCAGCCCCCACGTGAGGACACTTTTCTCTCCTCAGTCACTCACTATGATTTCTCATCATGAAAACTTGTTGGGGCGTCTGGGGAAGAGGGAGAAAATAAAACTTGATCTCCCCTTCTCTTCCCGCAGAGAGCAGCCTTCAACACTGCGGGGAGCGGGGGTGGAGTTCCTTCAGGGGCTACCAGACGGGCAGGTCTCGCTACCAAGGGCCGCCCGGACCTGAACTCCGAGTGCCGTGCTCTCTCGCCTGCCGTGGGGCCTTCGTGTCCGGGTGCCTCTGACCCCTTCCCCACGGAGGCCTGCGGGCGGGCTGGAGGGCACTCCCTGCACTGGGGGGCAGGCTCCAGCTCCTGCCGGAGCAGCAGCTCCCCGGGCTGTGGGCGGGCGGGCACAGGGCGGGTGCACACACGCGGAGCTCCGTGCTGGTGCCAGTGCCTGGGCCGGGGAGGGGGCGGGGCCACCGGGAGATCCGAGACTCCCCCGACCTGGGGCAGGGCCCCCCACCCCATGGAGCTGGGGGTCCCAGTGGGCCGCAGGAGCAGCGGCCACCCCCCCGCTGCTTGTCCTGCGTCCCAGATCTGCACGCAGAGTGGGTGTCGGGTGACTGTGGGGTGAGCAGCCAGGTTGACAGGCTGACAGGGGCAGCTGGGACCAATGGCAGGCGAGGCTGGAAGGGGAGGGGGCGGCGGCAGATGGAGGCTGAGGCTCGTGGTGGACCGGAGACAATGACAACTTCCCTCCGCAGGGCCCACCTGGCGCCCCTGAGGTGTACCGGGGAAGGCGGCGGTGGTGGAGGGGTGGACAGCTGGGGTCCTCTGCATCCCCGGGTCACCTGGCCCTGCCTTCAAGATGCACCTCCACTCCCTGGACCCACTGGGCCTCGCTACCAGGGCCCCACACTGCCCCCCAGGGCTACGTGCGCTCACTCGGACAGCCCTCGGGCAGCCGCAGCCCCTCCCTGCGCGGCGTGCTCCCGCTTGAAACGCCCGACCAGCCCTGCAGAGCTGGCCCGCCCCTCCCTGCACAGCACGGCCACGCCCACCCTCTCCCACCCCGCCGCACCGACAGCCCACGCACGGCCCTCCGGTCACCTCAGCTCGAACTCGGCGAACAGCACGTCGAAGTGCCTCAGCGCCTCCCGCATCTTCTCCGTGTAGGTGTTGAGGTCCCGCAGCGCCTGGTCGCGGAGGGCGCCCCGCACGCCCTCCAGGCTGCGGGTCAGCTCCTTGGCCAGCGGGCGCATGGCCACGCTCTCCAGCTCCCGGTTCATGATGATGGAGCCGGCGGCCAGGCACTGCAGGCAGAAGGGGCGGCTCTCGGGGTCTCGCCTGGGCCCGCCCCAGCTTCCCTGCCCCCCCACGCTCCTTTGGCCTGCAGAGACCAGGATCCTCAGCACAGTCAGCTGACCCCGGGCAGGGCCGGCCCCCGTGAGAGGACTGTGGTCCCCAGAGCCAGGCACACGTGGAAAAGGCTGGGACGTGGCTGTCATCCCCGGGACCCCCCTGAGTGCTCTCTCCCAGGAACCCCTGCCTCACAGCCCCCCACTCCCTCTGGGGCCGGCGGGCCGGGAAGTGGGCCCCTGCCCCAGCTCCCCTGAAGTCCAGAGCCGTCATGGCAGAGGCCACGGACGCTCTCCCTGGGACCCGGCCCCCGGAGGCAGGCAGGAGGGGAGGGCCGGTGGAGCCCCGGGTTGTGGGAGCCTGCCTCCCCTCCACGCGGCCCACGGGAGCAGCCCGGCGCTGGGCTCAGAGCCACGCTCCGGGGCTGCTCAGGGCTCCCAGAGAAACGGCCAGATGACGCCCACGCCGGGGCCCCGGGCGCACAGCTGCTACCTCGGCACCGAACCACAGCTGGCCGGCCAGGTTGTCGTGCCGGATCTCCTCGGGGAACTTGGCGCAGAAGTCCCTGGGCGCACGGTCCTGGGGGATGCACAGGTCCATGATCTGGTTGATGATGTTCAGCACGTTGTCCTGCGACAGACAGGAGGGCGCTGTGGCCTGGCTGCGGCTGGCCGGGGGCCGGCCCCGGCGGGCACTGCGGGGGCAGCACGTCCCCGCCGGCCCCGCAGCTGCTGCCCAGGTGCAGATTCCAGAAGGATCCACAGCGAGGGGCAAAACTCCCGCCTCCCTCCCCCCACCTCGGGCTCAGGTGGGTCACGCCAGGGCGGGGCCCGGGAGGCTCCCTGTTGCTCGAGTGGAAACCACACGCTCGTGAGTGAGTGTGACGACGAGCCGTTTCACGCACTCACAACCGCACACCTGCCTTTGCTCGCCCGGGACTCACCTGGAACGCCAGCCGCAGTGCATGCAGGTGGCTCCGTGACCTCCTCTGCTCTCGGCACGATGCTGACACCTCGATGGCCCTCTGACCCGCCCCTGCAGACCCACTGTGCGCCCTGCAGCCCCGGCTGCCGTGACTGCCCCCCAGGCCCCTACTGAACACCCACACGTGAGATTCTCGGGGCAGAGCCGCAGACACGGCACGGTGGGGCAGACAGACGGACACCAGGCTGACTGTCGCTGCTGACTCGCCGTGTCACCGACACGCACGGTGTCAGCCCGTGTCCCCCTGGGCGTGTGTGCGGCCCTGGCAGACAGGACCTGCTGCCGGAGCGGCACCACCAGCAGGCAGTGCGTGAGGCCAGCCCCTCCCCCCACTGTCCCCAGACAGCACCCCGAGGCCTGCCCCCCCCCCCAGCGAGCGAGAGCCCTCACGCAGCAGCAGCAGCAGCCGTGGAGGTCGGGGCTCAGACAGACTCCCCGCGGGCTGGGCTCCTGGGCAGAGCTGTCGTCCCGGCCGCACCTGCCCGCGCTCCCTTGGGGGGCGCGCAGGCCAGGCACAGCGGGCCCCTCCGTCCAGGCCTGTCCCCTCCCAGCCCCTCTGGGACCAGCAGGTCAGCCGGGGCAACACGTGAACACACAAGCCAGGTGTGGGGGGCACCGCCCCACCCAAGGGACACGGAGACCCGGACGCCCTCACGCCGGCTGAGAGCCTGGGACGGGCCACTGAGCCCCTGCTCCCTCCGCCACGGAAACCAGCTGCTCGGGCGCTCCGTGTGTCAAAGGGCGGCGAGACCGCTCTTGCTGCACCTCAAACCACACGCCGTTCCCGTCTTCTGAATCGTCCTGTTCCTCGGACATCTACTGCTTGTGCTGCAGAATTACGGGAGCGCTGACATTTATTTTTTTCTTTAATTTGTCAGAGATCGAGTCAATGCCCACTCCCCACAGAAACCTGGGAGCAGCGGGAAGCAGGGACCCAGGGGGGTGCCCCGGGGGGGAGACCTGCTGGCAGGGGAGGGGCACGTCTCCTGACTCTTCCCGTCCTGGGGGGGCAGGGCTGCTCCGGCGACAGCTCATCCTGTGCACACGCACAGTTCTGTGCCCTGGGGCAGCCGTTGCTGTGGGGACAGGTCATCACAACCTCGCGAGTCCGCCTTGTCTCCAACAGCCACGTGAGACGAGAGCGGGTGACCCCCCCACGGACTCGCCATGTCCTCTCCTGCCGGGCGTCTGCCGAGTCTCTGACTCCCAGCCCCCACAAGGACCGGCAGTGCCTGCCGGGGTGCGCGACACTGAGCTGGGGGCCACTTCCTCGGGGTCCCCACACTTCTGGAGACGGCACGACACGGCCGGGCGGCGGGGAGTAAGCCGCCCTTCCGCACTCTGACTGCAGTCTGCCAGACTGCTTTCCGGAAAGATCGCGCCGCCTGGCACTCTCGCCGTCGGCCACTATAAACCTCCGCGTCCCTCCCGCCCCCCGCACTGGGCTTTGTCACGTGTTTCCTGGGAAGCAGACGTGAGAAAGCACCGTGGGGGGAAGCGCCCCCTTCGGTGCAGACGGCGGCACCCCGCGCTCCGTGGGAGACTCCACGCCCCACGGACGCGTCAGCCCGAGCAACCCAGGGACGAAGCCCAGCCGGCGCCCAGCGGCGCGGGTGTGAGCTCGCTCCGCCGGGCTCCCGGCGGGGGGGGGGGGGGAGGTCCCTTTCTCGTGCGTGGTTCTGTAACGGGACGCACAGACTCCGGCGGAAAGGAAGGGCCGTCGGGGCTCCGTCAACGCCAGCCCTCGCTCGGAGCCGGGCCGGGGGTCCAGAGAACACGGCACTGGTGGACAACACACGCTCACGCCCCACTGTGCGCCGAGCACTAGTCGCAGCGGCCCAGACGTGGGAGCGGCCCCAGTGTCCGCCCCCGCACGAGCGGGTACAGAAGGTGCGATGCGCACACACTGAACCGCCACCCGGCCGTGGACGTGGACTCCTGCCCGTTGCCGCAGCATGGACACAGGCGGACGGGCGTGGTGCGGAGTGCGGTAAGTCAGGCACAGAGAGACGGGTGCCACGCGATCTCACGTGGGCGTGGAATGTGGGACAGGGCATGAACAGATGAAACGAGAGGGAAAGGGACCCACGGACCCTGAGAACAAACGGACAGCAGTCGAAGGTGGGTGGGGAGGGAGATTCATAAACCAAAGCCAGCCAGGGCTCCGAGCTCGGCGAGGCAGCAGGCCTGGCCCCAGGCCACGCAGACCCTGAGTGGTGCGTGTGGACCTGCTCCCCATGCCGCCTGGCCCACGGGACATTGGCTGCCGAGGACCAGGCCAGGGCCTCGATTTTATTCCCCAACGGCGCCCCCCAAAAGTGCCTGGAGCTGCACCCAACGCAGAGTGAGCCTGGTGAGCACCCGCTGGGACGGACGGGACCTCCAGGCCCACCAAACACGGATGGAGCGCCGGGAACCGAGTGTGCGCCCCCCCCCCCCCACCCCGAGCAACAACGACAACGGAGGAAACGAGCCAGGCTTCACTACAGACGAGACTCAGGCACCAGGCGACCTCAGAGGGGAGAGGAGCAGCCGAGGGGAACTGCGACCGCCCTGGTCGCCGCCTTGAGGGGACTCTCAGGTCACAGCGCAGGCAGAGGTGCCCGGTGGCCCCCAGAAAACTCCCTGGTGGCAGAGACAGAGCTGAGAGTCCAGGGGAACTGAGGCACCTGGAACCCAGAGGATGGGGCGCCAGAGGAGCAGGCACGGCCCCAGGACGGCCCTCGAGGTCGAGGCCCCGAGGGTTCAGCAGGTCACAGGCCACCCCGTGCCGGTGAGGACCAGGCAGTGGGCCTGAAGGACTCGCATGAGTGGTGGCTGGACCCCCAAGGCTGGAACCGGGGAGCGGCACAGTCCGCCAGGCTCGGCCGCAGCCGCGGAGGGCGATGGTCCCTCACTACCCCAAGCGTCTGGTCCCGCCAAGCGTCTCAGAAACAGGTCCTGAAGCAGGGCCAAAGTGTGTCCGGGCAACCAAACCACAGCGCGCACCGAGGCGCAGAGAGGTTCGCGGGAAGAAGACCGCACTCAGCTCGTGGCAAGGTGAAGTTCACGCTGTCAGCAGCCCACGAAAAAACCCCCAGGCCTGCAGAGAATTAGGGACACGGGTCGCGCGAAGGAAAGAAAAGCGACCAGTCAAAACCAACCGAGACCTGCGGCGGACAGTGGGGCTGCTGCCCACGCAGTGAGACCGCCGTTCCCGCCGACGGTCCAGAAAGTTACGCGAGATGGCGATGAAGAGAGAAGGAGCCAGACGGAGGCGGGGGCGGGGAGGACAACCACCGGGTCCCACAAAAATGCGCGGGGGAGGGGGCACCTCGGGTCGGGCGCTCAGCAAAAAAGAACCCGGAGCTGGGAGGCGCGGCAGCTGACACTCCCCAGAGGACTCCGGGGTCGGGGGGTGGGGGGGGAGCGACAGTAACAGGACCGGTCGGCGGTGAGCTGCAGGGGCGACTTCGAGGTGCCCGTGTCCATCGTGCACACAATTTGAGGCCCAAAAGGGGAGGGAGGGGGCAGAACGCATATTTGAAGGAATAAAAGCCAAGTTTTCCCCAAATTCAATGGCAACTATAAACTCACGGATGCAAGAGGTTCGGTGAACCCTAAGCACGAAGAACACTGAGAAAAATACACGGAATCAAAGCATGGTCAAGTCGACCAAAACTAGGAAACCGAGGAAATCTCACAAGGAGCAGGAGAGAAAAAGACAGGTCACGACTTCTCAGTGGAAACAGTGCCTGCGGGACGAGAGGGGAGGGCTCCGGCCGGTGTGGCTCAGCTGGAGGGGCGTCCCCCCGCAGACTGACAGGCTGTGGGCTCAGTTCACGGTCAGGGCGCACGCCCGGGCTGCGGGTTCAGTCCCCAGCGGGGACAGTTGGGGTGTGTACGGGAGGTAACCAATCAATGTTCCTCTCCCCCCTCTCCCTTCCTTTCCCTCTCTCTAAAATCAATACGTAAGTCCTCAGGTGAGGGTAAAAAAGAGGAAGAGTGGAAAGAACATATTGAGGGGAGAAATGGTTAACAACTTACAATTCTACACCAAGCAAAAAAGTGTTTCGAAATTCAATCAAAACCCTTCTTCATGCAGGCGCGGGCTAGAAGAACTCAGGGCCAGCAAACCGGCAGCACAGGGAGATGCTGAAGAAGGACTTTCACCAGAAGGACAGGGAAGGGACACCGGGTGGGGACGGAGATCGCCACGGGGAAGGGCACGCGGCAGAGGGTGACCGCACGGAACACTTGGAGGCCCTCCCCGACACCGAATGTCGCCTAGGCCTCACCTCGCCCAGGGCGGGCCTGACCGCACTCACCTGGCAGGAGCGGAACTGGCTGACGAGCAGCGTGCACCGCTGTGGGTCCTTCCTCCCGTCCAGGCTGTCCAGCTCGGCGGCCACCTGGTTCAGCTCCTCATCGGCATAGTAGAACTGGGCGAGCAGCTGCGGATCCGACCTCTGTGGGAGACGGACACAGTGGGCGTGAGCCAGGCAGGAGGAGGGCGTGAGCCAGGCAGGAGGAGGGCGTGAGCCAGGCAGGAGGAGGGCGTGAGCCAGGCAGGAGACCGGCGGGCCCCGGGATGGCCCGTTCCCAGGCCATGAGCTGTGGCTGTGGCCCAGGGCCCTGACCCCTGGGCAGCGAGCAGTGTGGGCTCTCCCATCAGCTTCCTGCACCGGAATCTCTCTGCTGCTTGTCCCCGACACACCTGAGTCCCTCTACTTTACAACCACAGGCCCGTGCCTGCTTCTCGGAGGCCACCCAAGCTGTGCGGCCCCAGAGGACAGCATCTCTGTGGGGAAGCCAGACAGCAAGTCCCCACAGGCCCCCTGGGATAGACGACCCACAAACAAAGGGCCTGGGGAGAGTGGGGTCCAGGGGGCCACAGGATGATGGCCACCTCAGCAACGACATCCTGAGACCTAGCTCAGGAGTTGGCCCAGGTCACCGCAGCCCACTGGGGTCCTTCCAGACCCCAACCCTCCCCAACTCCCTTCACACAGTGGGGGTGCGGGTAGGGTGGGGGACACTCCCACGGAAGATGCCACGTGGTGACTGAAACCAGGGGGGTGACGCCAAACCCCCTTCGTCTGTTCTGCGGCCCGGCCCACCCGCCAACAGACACGTCTGGACCTGCGAGCAGGACAGGACCGAGTCCAGGGCATGGGGCAGCGACGCCTCCGGGGGGCCAGGTCTGCCTAGGACAACACGACCCGGGGCCACGCCCGCACCCGTCCACGGGAGGACTCGGGCGGGCCCTCCTCGGCACACGGCACAGACCTCGGGCCCCAACACACCGGTGCCCAGGTGACAGGCCCTGCTGCGTGAGCCGCGGCCAGGGAGGCAGTGACGGTTCGGGCTCAGGAAAGGCCAAGGGTGGCCGTGGTGCCAGCTGCCCGCCACTCGCTCCCATTGGACCCAGGGGGGGAACTGAGCTCCCAGAGGCTTCTCGCTCAGCCCCTCAAGAGGGAACGGGGGCACAGAGAGGTACAGTGTGGTGCCTCGGAGTAAGGTGTGCCCCGGTGTGCCCCCCGCCACACTGGTGACCTTCATCCTTAAACGCACGCATAGTGACGAGTCATCAGAAACCTACACGAAACCCTTCTAAGCTGCTCCTCACGCGCTTTGGAAAGCGGCCCCTCGGCAGAGGGGGGGCCACGGGCTGGGCGCGGGGGTCTCCTCCTTCAGGCCCGACGACGACGTTTCAGAACCACACGGAGGGGGTGGCCGCACACCCCTGTGAGTGCGCCAAACGCCCCGGAACCGTCTGCTCTGAACGGGATAGTTCCCGTCACCCCCCCCCGAACTCCACCTCAGTTAAAACAGAGTAAAGAGAGGCTCGCTCGGGGGGGGAGTGGCCCCGCACGGCGCAGGGTCGGGGAGAAGCCCCCCGGGCAGCACGCAATCGCCGACTGCGACTTCCGCCGCCACGAGCCGCGCTGGGCGGTCGCTCTCCGGTCTGACCCAGAGTCTGGGGCCTGGGTGTGGCCTGTGCCAGAAACACACACACCGACCCCTGAAGACGGGCCCAAAAGGGCTCAGAACACACCCCCCCCGGGAAAGCGCATTTCGGCCAACGTTTCCAGCCATCGAGGCCGGCCGCCTGCGCCATTCGGGGAGGGCGCCGCTCACAGCCAGCGCTGACCGGCAAGTCCGCGCGGACGGATCCCCTGCAGCGAACCAGGGGACTCCGGGGCGCGTCTACCACGAGGACGTGTGTCACGGCTGCCCTTTCTCCCCCCGCTGAACGCCCCGCCCCTCTCCGAGGAGAAGCCACCCCAGGAAACCCAGGGGCTCGCCTCCTCCGCGCCCCTCCCCCGCACTGCCCCCGCTACGCCCAGGACGTGACCGGCGGCCACGCCCGGAGCTCCGCTGTGAGCCCGAGTTCGGGGAGACGCTCACTGCGGGGAGTTCGCAGAAGTTACAGGGGACCGAGTGGTGGCATCGGCCCCGGAGTTCCAGGAAAAGGCTCCTTTTCCCTTTCCAGATCCGAGCACAACGACGGGACCTTCGGCTCCGCCCGTGGAAGGAAGTAAAACTGCAAAACGCCCCCTCAAGGGGCAAGGCTCTGTCCTTCTTGCCGCCCAAGGTGTCTCACCGGCCACGCGAGTCCAGTGGGAGCACCAGTGCTCCCCTGCAGAGCCCGAGGGCACTCACCACTGGGCACGTCGACGCCAGCCCCTGGAAGGCACCCCCAATCTCGCAGCCCGAGCCGTGCCCTGGTTCACCTGGTCCTCCCTGCACACGCCCGCCCGCCTCCCGGCCGGTGGCAGGACCATCCGACTCCAGGAGAGGCTTTGGAACTGCTGGGCCGGGAGGGCTCTCCAACGAGGCAGACCCCGGGCCACACAGGCCACGCGGGCCCTGGAGACGGCCACTTCTCAACCACGCAAGAAAGTTCAGCGGAGCTGCTGCTGTTCGCACGCCAGGAGCCCACCCACCTCGCGCAGGCAGAACCCGCCCACCAGCTGCAGCCCCGCCCAGCCCGCTCTCCGCAAAGCTACCTGCGCCCCGGATCCCGACTCACGTGGCCCCTCCATCACAGCTTGTTGCCGTATGTAGTCCTCAAATGTATTTCTGGCTGTTTTTAACTCTATAAAAAGCATGTCACGCGTATGTGGTATTTTGAGACTGGCTTTTGAGTTGTCACATCCTGTGCGCTGTGCCGCGCGGCGGCTGCCGGTCCCACAAGCGGCGGCCCTGCGAGCCGCCCACCGTGCACTTGGCCGCGCCCCCAGAGGGCGCCCCGTTCCTCCGGGGTTTTGCTGTGCAGGCAGGTTTGTGGCTGACCCCCCCCTCACCCCCGGCTGTGTGTGCACAGCGCCAGAAGGCAGGCGTTAGTCCCCTCCTGCGGCCTTAACAAATCTGCACAGACTCAGTGGCTTGAACAGAACACACCCCCTGGCGGTCCGGGGGACAGAGCCCCAGCAGGGGTCTCCGCGGCTGCGCCTGAAGGCGGCAGGGCCGCTCCTCCTCCCGGCCGGTGGAGGGGAGAACCACGCCCTCGCCTTTCCCAGCGTGGAGGCTGCTGTCCTCCTCCATCGGAGGCCCCTCCCTCTGCCTTTGGGGAGGGCAGTGGGGTACTTCCTGGACCCTCTTCCACAGTCACACCCCCCTCCCCCGCCACCGGCACACGGCGCCCCAGCTGACCCAGGCCCATCTCACAGTTTCCAGGGCAGCTGACTGGCGACCTTGGCTCCCCGGGGGAACCGTCTTCCTACTCTGCCACCGAGCCGGAGCTGTCCACAGGCTCGGGGGGTCCCAACAGGAGCATCTCGGGGCCATTATCCTGCCTGCCACTGGTGGCGTTTCTGGGTCGCACGGCTCGCACCCAGCAACCACCTCTCAGCTCCCAGGACCCACCTTCCCCAGCACGGACACAGGGTCGCGGCGTGCTGCCCCTGAGTGGGGCGGAGCCATGCCTCTCCATGGGCTGGAGTCCCAGCGCCCGACCCTGGGCCCGAGTTCCCCCGCACAAGGTGGCTGACCACACGAGGAGAGAGTTTCCAGCTCACAGTACCAAGTCGGGGGGCCTGGGGGTCTGGGTGGCAGACCCTGGGGTCTGCAGTCACGGGGACAGTCACAGCCGCGGCACTTGGCTGCAGGCGGGGCTGAGGTCCATTAGTGTTTCCAGGCAGGGGTGCCCTGGCTCTGACGCTGACTGGGGCGCCAGCAGGCAGGCCTGCCCTCCACTTGCCCCCAGACCCATGCTCGGCACAGTGGGTGGCTCCGCTGGTGACCCACCGATAGAAGACCAGGAAATCTCTTCCACGCCAAGAGCAAGGCCAGCCGTCAGGACCTCTCTGACCTTCCCACTAAAAATCCAACCTCAGACGGGGCCGGGTGGCTCAGTGGGTGGCAGCACTGTCCTGCACACCCGAAGGCTGCGGGTTCAACTCTCACCAGGGCCCATGCCTAGGCTGCAGGTTCAATCCTCGCAGGGGTGTGTGGGGGAGGCAGAATCCACGTTTCTCTCTCACATGGATGTTCTCTCCCTCTCCCTCCCTCCCTCCCTCTCTGAAACCAACAAGCATGTCCTGGGGGAGGATTAAAAGGAAACCCAGCCTCACTCCCCAGCCTCTCCCTTCTTCCCAGAAAATGGAGTGGACCGCGCTGGGAGGCAGGCAGGCTCCCGGCGAAGCATCTGCTGGTGGAGGTCAGAGAGGAGCGGCGCAGACGGAATGACCTGCCACTCTCCGGCCACGCCGGCGGGAAGCGAGGCCAGCCGTGCCACGGCCCCGCCACAGCCCCCTCCCCGTCGCGAGCAGCGAGCGCAGGGCAGAGCCGGAAAGGGCTGCACCGCACGCTGTGTTTTCTCCGGTCGGGTTTCAAAGGGAGCACAGGACCTCCGGCGTGACGCCCGACGCTCCGTGAACGTGCCCTGACCAGGGGCAGGTGACAGCGCAGACACTGCGGGAGGAAGTCTTTCCGTGCCCGCTCGGCCCGGGGCTTGTCCCCCGCAGCGCCCAGGGCTGCCGTGGCGGCGGCCCGTCCCGTGGGGCTGGACACAGAACATCTCATCGTCACCGACTGCGGGCAGGACAGGCCGGCTCCTGGGAGGTGTGCCCACCCCGGCTCTCCAGCCGCTGAGGTCACCGAGAATGCCAGGCCAGAAGGGACGGCCGGACCCACAACCACGGGGATGGCCTTTGACCTCTGCCCTGCCCCGAAGGGCACCGGCCAGCACTGTGGGAACAGACAGAGGGCGAGGGGCCCATGGATGACAACAGGGCTGTTCAGCCTCAGCACTTGACCTTGGGGCCAGTGGCCTCGCTGTGGGCGCTGTCCCGGGCCTTGCTGGGCAGCATCCCCCACTAGCTGCCAGCAGAACACCCCTCTAACCTGTGACACCAAGGATGTTTGCAGACATTGCCAAACGTCCCCGAGGGCCGGTCGCCCCCATTGAGAACCACTGGAGTGCGGGGAGGGGGGGTGAGAGAGGCATGGGGGGGGCGAGCAG